TTCTGAGCTGCTCGCCCAACTATAACAACCTGATGAAGCTTCCACTGCGTCTCACACTGAGTAATATTCTCACGGTTTTATGTTGAATATTCATTAACAACTGATTCAAGATCTGAAGGATTCACACGCGTGTGTCTGGTTTCTCTGAAGTGAAGCAGAATTCTACCAAACTGCATAAAAGCATAAAACAACATTCACAGTCCACACGGAAAATATCACAAACCAGTTCGGTGTCATTTCACACAGAGATGTGCGTCTATGACAACACGCTGATTATCCTCATAGATCACGGTTAGTGGGAGGGATGACGCTTCTCTCGCTCTACGACCTCTAACACGTCACACGTATGTGACCTGCTACAGCTCAAAAACAAGAAAGTCTCTTAAACTACAAATAGTCATATGAAGTAAAAGTTTGCCTCCATATATATTATCGTGTTTTAGTCCCGACTAGAAGCTGACTTTTGTCGAGTTTTGTTGAATTGCAGCACTGGAGGAATGTATTTAACTGTGTTCCACCACTGGACGTCCTGCGGCCGCCCCCCGGGGAGCAGAGCAGACCAGACGAGCCCGGGGGGCTTCTGGGTAGAGGGTCACACACACACACACACACAAACAAACACACACACACACACCCACACACACACAAACACACACACACACATTAAACTGTTTAAATAAAAGAGAAGTTTGAGTGTTTTTCTCTTTTAATAATGAAAATCTAAATCCTGCTGTAAAACGTCTCGGCCCCATTAGGACGACACCAGGACGTCCTCCGTCTTCGTCCGATGGAAGTAGCAGTGTCTCCGCTTCAGCTGCATTGCTTCATCCCGTCGTCCCTTCACGGCGCTCTTCCTTTCCTATGCGCCCTTGTTTCCTTCAGGCTGTTTGCACGCAGGCGACCGTGTGGACTGTCGGCTATTGGTTCTTCCTCTCGGCGCGGCGTCTGGGAGCGTCAGGGGGGCTGACCGGGATTTGTGGGAAGCAGTCGCCATGGAAACCAGGAAAATCGCAGCCCGCTCCCGAGTCGCACGCGGCAGCAGCTGTTCCACAGCGTTCGGTCGTGTTCACGAACAGGCATCGCAGTTAACGTCCGTCCCTCTGTCCCTCTGTGCGGATCTGTCCCTCTCCGTATGTCCCTTTGTGTCCCTCTGTCTCGCTGTCGGCCCGCTGTGCAGGAAGCTTCGTCTCTGTCAATCAGTGACGCTGGTGTTTATTTTTAGGGAGAGAAGGATCTAATGTTTGACCTCATCGCTTCCCGCGGGGTCACGTTGCTCTGCACACACGCCGTAATGTGCGTGGAATAAATGACTTTGAGTCATAACATGCATCTGACATAGAATGTTCTTTGCATTCCACTCGTGTCGGGATGTCTGTTTGAGTAAGATGGAGCCCTTTCTGGTCCATCAGCTGTTCTGACCTTTCATGACAATAACGAAAGGACTTCCTGTGGAATTTCACTGCAAAGAGAAACCCTGGCCGTCATTTTGAAAGTAACAGCTTCATGTCCAACCTCGTCCCTCTGCGCTCGCCTCGTCCTTCATGGGGATCACAGTGAACGTCCCCCATGTGTCCGGTGTCTCCTTTCTGCCCTGCGGCGGGGACAGCTGAAGGAGGCGTCGGTGGTCCCTTAGATACACTTCCTGCAGAGTCCCCCGAGTGGACGAGAGCAGCGGTCACAGGATGTAACTGTCCCGGCTTTGACTCGCTGTCCTTCTGGACCACAGCTGCAGCAGAGACACGCCTCCAGTGGCCGATTCCGACTTCCTGTGAAGCTTTGCTTCTGACGTAGCCACAGAAAACGCTTGAAAGCTGCTCTATTACCTACAAACCGAGCATAGAACGCTTTTATCATCCCACCTGCAGGCGGTGAGACGTGAGGCATCGGCGGGGAGAAGAACGTGCACGACGAAGAAAGCCGACCTTGTTGCATCTCATTGTCAGGCTGGATATTATGAATTACTCTGTAGCTCTGTCCTATTTGGACGTCATAGCACCCAGAGAGCGGCGAGGGAGTCTTCCGCTCCCGAGGCTCCGTCTGTGTAAAGGCCGATCAAACACGTAGGTTTTCGGGTTTCGGGTTCTCTGGAGGGGGGGGGGGGGGGGGTGCAGCAGAGTACACAGCCCTTCAGCCTCCTCTTCTTCTTTACTCAGCTCCTCTGTTCCCTCCTCCCGTCTCCTCATGCTCGCTCCCTTCATCATTTAGTCATCAGGATGTGCTCAGGGAGGCTAAAAGTAGCTCCCGCCTCCGAGTAGCTGAGAGCTCCACGCTTCTCCAGCTGCCTGCATCCAGTAGTCAGAAGGAGAGAAGAAACTGTTCCAGATGAAGCTCTCTGGGGCCATTTGTCTCCTTGCATCTCGGCTCCATTACCATTTAGCAGTGGATGGAGTTAAATTCACAGTCAGGGAGGAAAACACAACGAAGAGGTTCTGTAACGACGTTTTAGGACAATAGCTGAAACAACAGCACACGACTTTCCCCACTTCATCTTGCACTTTCCATGGAGACTTCAGGCTCCGTGCCCCGGGACCCCCGAGTGGTCCAGCTGAACCCGAACTCAATTGTTACATCTGCGTATTATCTTTTTTAAACAAATGTGCTCGTCCTCATTTACTTTCTGCCAGTCGGCCTCCTGAACAACAGCGTCAACACTCCAATTACGCTGAGAGCAGCCGCAGCTTTCCAGAGGATCAGCAGACTCTCTGTGCTCTGTTTGTGTGTGTGTGTGTCTGTTTGTGGTGTGTGTGTGTCTGTTTGTGGTGTGTGTGTGTCTGTTTGTGGTGTGTGTGTGTGTGTGTTTGTGGTGTGTGTGTGTGTGTGTGTGTCTGGGTGGCACTGCTGTTGGCATGATTCAGTGTGAGGGAGAGATTTACAGCTGAAGGCGATCCTGCACGCTGTCCGTCCAATCCGTTTCCGTGGCAACCGTTGCATTTTGGAAGCCATCGCAGAAGGAGACAAATAATTCATCCACTGCTCAGATAAAAGATGTTATATTATTACGAGGTTGGACAGCATGTAAGTTCCAGATATGAAAGTGTGAAATGAGGCTCTGCACCTCCAGTTAGAGCCTCAGAAGCACTGCAGAGAAATCCACACTGTGCCAGTAAAGTGCACAGATGGTCATCAGGGGTCTTCAGTGTGTTCATTGTAGTCCATCAGCCACGTCACAGTGTTGTGGTTGACGCGCTCTTGTTCTGGGTGTTTCAACCCGTTTCCTCCGTCTTCTGTCTCTCTTTTTTAACTCGATCCGTAACACATTAAACAGGTAAGAAGTGTCTTTCTGCGAACACCAAAGATAACGTTTTCATATTGAAAATCAGACCAGAGTGTAAAAGTTATCAGGTGATAAATCGACACGTGCAGGTGAACGATGGAAATGTGAAGTCAGTTCATGAGCTTCTGTCTCAAACGTTTCACGTGACGGTCGACTCTGATGCCGCAGCGCATCATGTGCATGACAAACCCTTCATAGCTGCATCTCATTGATCTCACAGTCTGATGCCACCATGTTCTCTCCGCCTGTGGCGCTTGTGTCCTGCAGATGGCGCTCCGCTGAGCGAGCTGTCCTGGTCCTTCTCCCTGGCCGTGGTGGCCGTCTCCCTCACCGGCCTCTTCGCCTTCGTCTTCCTCATGCTGGCCTGCCTCTGCTGCAAGAAACGCAAGACCGGCTTCAAGGTGGGCGTCTCCTCGCCAGCCGAGCGCCGTTTCTCCGCGACCTTACACATGAGAGCAATAGGATGCATGAACGCATCATCCTGTGAGGTTTTACAGAGAAACCTGCACGCGACCTCCCGCTTCGCCCTCATGCACATCACAGCTGTCAGCCTCCATCAGACCTCCACGTTCAGTACCCAGGGTGCTAATCATGACGTAGCTACACACAAAGGCAGAGCATGTGTTCATGCAGCTTTCCAGGTGTCGTTGATGTGCACGTGACGCGTAGCAGCGGCCAAAGGGACGGGGAGGAGATGTACGGTATGAATGTGTGCACATGAACACAAACGTGTGTGTGTCTCGGCTACGGGTTAAAAGTTCTCTTCATGCATTCATCGTTCTTCTGGCGAGGTTTTACCAAACATGCTGAAGATCATCTCCTTGGTCTGCAAACATGTTCATCCACACCGTCTCGTGGAGGACGCAGGAAACATCACAGCCTCCATCAGTCTGCACCAGTTTATCACCACACTTAAGTACTTCTGCACAACAAGCATGAACGCCATTGTGTGTTTCACACGAAAGGTGTTTGGTCCTTAATTTGACTTAGATTTTCATCCCGGGGACCTTTTGTTTTTTTTACTCCACCTAACAAAGTATTTATTTTCCTAGTTTTAGTAGAAGTTAACTACAGCTTTAAACAGCTGATTAGTGGAAATGTGCTTTTGTAGGAGACAGAGCTGCTGACATTTAACTGTCTACAGAATCCTTGACAAAGTCCTTAGTGTGATTCATATTTCATACTTCAACAACTATGTTGCATCATTCTAGAAGTTCTGTCAGAACATGAACTTCTCCCTCACTGCGTCTGTGTCCTTTGGGTCCGTCGGCGGCTCCTCCTTTCGTCCGTCTCTCCACTTTGAGCGTCTCAGGAAGCACCGAGCTGCAGTGTTACACAACATCGCGTCCTTTGTGTGTCTGTACGAGTGTTACGACCCGTTGGACGTCTCACACGTCTGCTTTGTGTCGCCGCCGGGTCGGACCTGTAAGGGTGTGAGCGAGGACGGGGGCCGAGGGGGGGCGGGAGTGAGGAAGGGCATACCCATGAGAGGGGGGCCGCGGGGGGCGGGCGTGAGGAAGGGCATACCCATGAGAGGGGGGTGGGCGTGAGGAAGGGCATACCCATGAGAGGGGGGCGGGCGTGAGGAAGGGCATACCCATGAGAGGGGGGCCGAGGGGGGCGGGCGTGAGGAAGGGCATACCCATGAGAGGGGGGTGGGCGTGAGGAAGGGCATACCCATGAGGCCGCATCCGGCCTCAGGGCCCCATCTGGACCTGGACACGGCCTCTCCCAGTGCAGGAAAAGGGAATTCTAAGAAAAATAAACTGGGCAGAAGCTTTATGAGTTCTACAAACAGGAAAGATGAGAAACTTCCTCCAACAGGCTGACGGGGGTTTGGGTTCGTCCTTGTTTTAAGGGTTTAAACTCTACTTTGTTAACGAGCTGCTTAATCAAGTCAAGAGTGTGCACACGCACAAAGGAGACACAAAAGAATGAGATTTACACGTCACTCACTTGGCACACGCCCCTCGACCCTGAGGTTCAAACACGAGGGGTTCTGATGCAAAGCTCCAGGTTCGGGTGAAGACTGACAGATGAAGATGAAGCTGAGGGATGAAGAAGTGTGTGTTGGTTGCCATGGTTCCGTGGGGAAGGGGACTGCCCTGCAGATGTTCTTTGGCTTCTGGCAGAGAGAGAGGGTGATGTCACACGTGTAGAATGTGAACACCCTCTTCCTCCCTCTTGTGTTTTTCTCCCTCACATTTTTGTGGGGGCTCAGTTTCTCTCCCCCCCGAGACGACCCTCAGCTTCGGTGTGGCCTGTGAACTGGGACACGGGGCTCCTCCCCCTTCCTCCCCCTGCCTCCCCTCTCCTCCGTCCTCGGTGGTCAGCTCTCTCTCCTCAACAATGAGTCTCTCTCTGCACAACCACGATGCCTCCAGAAGCTCCTGCTGCCCTGCATCCAGGGGGGGGGGGGCAGTGTGTGTGTGTGTGTGTTTTAATGGTGTCAGAGGAAACCTGGAAGAGGTCGAGATGCTGAGACCCAAGCAGAGGGCGTGTGAAAGGTAAGAGGACTGAGGTGAGATCTTCATCTCCAGCAGGAAGGCGCCTGTTGATCTGCAACTTTCTTGTGCATCTTGAAGACAAAGTTCTCTGTTGGTTTGAGAGTCAGAAAGCTGAAGATCTCCTCAGTCTCACCTCCTGCTCGGCTTCATGATTCTCTCTGTCTAGTTTCCGATTTATTGGTTTACTTTCTCACTTGTTGATTAATTGATTGCCGGTCCTGGTCCTTTATATGGACATTGTGTGTGTGTGTGTGTGTGTGTGTGTGTGTGTGTGTGTGTGTGCGTGCGTGCGTGCGTGCGCGTGCGTGCGTGCGTGCGTGTGTGTGTGTGCGTGTGTGTGTGTATGTGTGTGTGTGTGGAGGTGGAGAGTGAAACCATATGGTGGATGGAGGGCGAGTGAGGCCGTGTGAAGATTTGGATCTGAGGCCAAAGGAGGGTGTGTGTATGTGTGTGTGTGTGTGTGTCTGTGTGTGCGTGTGCGTGTGTGTGTGTGTGTCTGTGGGCTGAAGCAGGTCACATTTTCCGGTGTTGTGACGTCACGACTCTCCAACTAAGGGACTTTTATTCTGACATCCGCTCTGTGGATGCAGCCAACTCCCTCCTCCTTCTCCTCCTTCATCCTCCTCCTCTTCCTCCTCTACCTTCATACTCCTCCTTCTCCTCCTTCATCCTCCTCATCCTCCTCATCCTCCTCCTCCTGCTCCTCCATGCTCCTCCTCCTCATCCTCCTCCTTCTGCTCCTCCTCCTCCTCCTCCTCCTTCTGCTCCTCCTCCTACTTCATCCTCCTCCTCCTCCTCCTCCTTCATCCTCCTTTTCCTCCTCCTCTACCTTCATGCTCCTCCTCCCTCCTCCTCCTCTTCCTCCTCCTCCTCTTCCTCCTCGTCATCCTCCTCCTCCTCCTCTACCTTCATACTCCTCGTCTTCCTCCCTGTTGGGCCTCTTTGTTAATTCCCTTTATTCAACGAAGAAATGATCCATCGAATTAAGGAAAATGAATTAAAGAGAATTAAAGCGATGGATCTTTGTGAATTTCCATTATGGGATTAAAAAACAATGTATTTTTTGAGTGAATCACAATTATTCTGGTTCTTATTGATGGTAAATGTTTATCGGTAGATTCTTTGATCTCTCTCGGCCAATCAGGGATCTTCTGCTTGGTGCTGCGATGGAGATCATTGTGATCATGTGTCAGCTTGAAGAAACTTCCTCTCAGCACTAAAAGCTTCAGGCTCATATTTGTAATCACAAATAATCTTTTGAGGGAAGTCTGTTTTCTCTGTGGTGTTCAGTGGGACAAGTCTCCATGTCTTCATGTCTCCATGTCTTCATGTCTCCATGTCTTCATGTCTTCATGTCTCCATGTCTCCATGTCTTCATGTCTTCATGTCTGAGAGGAACCACTGAAGGCGTTTTAGGCGTGTGTGCGTATGCGTGCGCACAGCCTTAAAGGTTCCCACATGTGAGTCCACTGCCGTCGACCTTTTCCTCTGCGTGACCTTTGACCCCCTCGGTGCGTTTTGTCTATTTTTTAGGAATTCAGGAATGTGGACGGGAAGGACTACCATGCAGACATGTCCACTCTGGCCTCGCCGGCCTCCCAGAGCAGCCCGGACGTCTACATCCTGCCCCTCACCGAGGTGTCCCTGACGGTCGCCAAGCAACCAGCTCCGTCAGGTGGGTCCCCTGTTCTCGCATCGCTGACGGAGGCTCCGTCTGTCGTGAGCCAGATAATGTTTGCAATTTTATTTCTGTATTAAATATGAAGAAACATGGCGCCTGGACTTTTAAAGAACCGAAATTGGTTGTTTGAGGTTAAAGTTTCTCAAAAGAATTCTCAATCTTCACTTCGCACTTTTCCGCCGCCGAAAGGGATGAAATGTGAATCTGAATATCGAGCTCTGAAACCCTCTTCTGGCCTTTGTTTGAACCATTTGCTACACGTCTCAAAGGTGTGAGAGTGCGGAGGTGGAGTGAGGAGAGCTTCGCATCTGGTGCGAGTCAGAGATCGTCCCCGGAGAGAGCGCCGCCCTCGGCTGGGGCTCCACCCGTCCCACCGCCCCTCCCCTGCAGGTCCCCACAGAATGGACCTGCTGCTCCTCGGCGCTCCTTCTCTCCCACAAACATCTGCCTGTTGCGTAACGCGGTGCAGGCGGCCGGCCTCCGCTGCTGCCCGGAGGAATGTCCGGCATTCCAGAGCACAAAACCCCAGTGAGAGAATCTCGCTCTCCCCCCGTCCACGCCGCTCCGCCTCCCTGGGTCACAATGGTCCTCGCTGTGTGTTAAGCTGACGACTGTCCGGCGTGGGGGGGGGGACTTAATGGAACGTGCCCCCGCAGTTCACCCGCCGATCGGAATCCTTTTACCAGTTCAACGTTGACAATAAGAGCTGCAGAGAATAGTGAGAGGAGCAGTAATCGGACCCCAATTTCTGCTGCATGAATGTATGTGAGCATTCACCAGAACCCATCAGATCCGTTTTGTGTACACGATATGGACATAATGCTCCGTGGTTCTAGATGTGTAAGTGGACAAAGCATGAGGCCGACTGAAGGAGACGGTTTGATGAATTCAAACGATAGAAGAACTCCTGGTCGATACGGTTTCAGAGGCAGAAATCTCAAAACCGAGACCGTGTGCGTGGATTGAAACCACTTGAGCTCAGTGAGAAACTGGTGAACTGGACCTTTCAACACATACGAAATAATGCAAACCATCTGGTGTCCCAGTTCTGCAAGTCGGGGATTAATTACTGCCTCTCCCACCGACGTCACAAAGACCCTCCTTTGGCGAGAAGTGGCTCCTTCGTACTTCGACAGTTATCGGCACGAACAAATGTGCTGCATGTTCAGTGTCACGTTTCAGAGCTCTAACGCTCCATGAGGACCCGGCCCCCAGGACCCGGCCCCGCCTTGATGCAGCTGCTCATTCAACAAGTACTGACAGTAATTCTAACGAACACGGCCTCACATCTACCTCGACTTCATCGCCATCGAGTCACGCAACAAGGACGGACGGGCGCACGTCAGCGGTGAACCGCGATGTCCGAGGACAGCCGCACGGCTCGTGCTCGTGCGGACTGGAGGAGCATGATGGGGGTTCCATTTGACTTCCTGGCTGCTCGAGCGATTAAGCTGGACGCAGACCGCTCAGAGCAGACGGGCCGGTCGAAGGGAAATCCAGTTAGTGTGCTGAGAGACACGTGAGAAGCTTCCAGGTCAATCAGGGGGGTTCAGTTTGTCACAGTCAGTGAGCTGCTGATTGATATATGATTGACATGACTGATTGAAAGCCGTCTGCACACATATACAATATAAAAGCGGCGGTACAGTCTCCACTCTACTGATAGAAGTAGCAGTCGTGACACGGAAAACATCGAAAACAGGAATGTCGATGAAACAAGACGGTCTGAGAGAGAAATGATGACAGAAAATAAATAAGTATGTAAAGTGTAACAGCATCCGTGTTACGAGCACGACCCCGCGGACCGTCCTGCTAGCGTCCGGCTGCTAGCAGCTCGTTAGCGGAGAAGTCGCCCGGGTTCCTACGTAGCAAGTAGGGGGGGCGGGGCAGGTAAGAGGTGCCCCCAATCTGTCCTAACTGGGGCAGGCACCCACCAAATGAGGTCATTCCGCTTCGGCTGAGAGACCGTAAGTGGGTGCTAGGAAGGCCCAGAGGGGCCGGTGGTGTCCAATATGGCCTCCACACAGGGACTTTGACTTTGTGACAGTCTGAAGGAGGTGGGGGGGGTGGCGACAGCACCACAAAGACCTGCCTGTCTTCCTCCACACCCGAGAGTCCGAGTGTCTTCTTGGGGGACACGAGAGAAAGGGATGGATGGGGAGGGGGGCAGATCGGGGGGGTTTGACGTCAGGCCCGTTGCATTTGACTGAGCCGGGACGGGCGGGAGCACCCGGGTCCTCGGGGGACGCTGACAGAGATGCAGAGGAGAAGACGTGAAGGAGGATCGTGGGACAGACGTGTCCTCTCAGACACGGAGCGGTCTGTTGGACGGGAGGATTCCACGTGGACACTTAGGGACCTGGACGGGGTCACCTCACCTGTTACGCCTGTTTTGGGGACTATTTCTTCTTGTGCGTGTGGTGGATCTTTATCTGTTCATCAAGTATTTTAGTCCCAAACAATCTTACTATTGCTATCGAGACCTTTATATATCATTTTAATTCATCCACGTTTTTTTAACGGGTGAGTTGTGGAATGAAAGTTAAATAATTACCTCTGTTAGCATGTTAGCATCATGACGCATTTCATTTTATCGTTAAAACTCTTCAAAGCCTTTTTTATTACTGTTTAAATTGTGATTTAGTTTCAGTCTTTTTTCTGTCTTTCAAATTGTCTTCAGCTTTTAAATGTTATATATTATATTATTATACTTAATTTAAGTGTAAATAGCAGCAAACTTCTCTCATACGGACAATCCGGTTTTTCCTTTCTAGAACCTGCTTCCGATAAAAGTGCTTCTAGAGACGTTTTAAACTCGAGTATTCTACAGATTAGATTGAAGAAACATTAATACATTAATGCAAATCATTTGAAATATGAGATTCGCTGTTTCTTTCTCGTTAACATTTTAACAACAAGATTTGTTTTTATGAGATGAAACATCTTTGTGAAAGATACATTTTAACTGGATTAGCCGGCTAAATAAAGGTTGCATAAATAAATGAATGGATTTAATGGTTTTAATGGATTTAATGGATTTAATGGTGGCATCGTGTTACATGAAAACATTGCAGCCGTATCGTCTCAATCGATTCACTAATGGTTTGAAAATCAATTGCTAATAACTTGAGTTGTGTGATCCGTCAGAATGAACCTGATCCTGCAGTCATTGATAATACAACTTAAATGTGGAATTATTTGAAAAGACTGCATGGTTCAGTCTTGACGTTTTAAACAGAATTTTGTATTATATGTAAAGCAGCTGACTGGCGATGGTTCCACGTTAGCGTGGAATGTGTTAACAGCTCGGTAAATATCACAACAACATCGTCGGGCGGGGAAGATTCTAACTGTGACACCTTCTGCTCCTTCAGTTCAGCTGCTGAAGTCCACAGATCTCAGCCGCCACAGCCTCCTCTACCTGAAGGAGATCGGGAATGGCTGGTTTGGGAAGGTAAGGCCACTTCTGACGCCTCCATGACGTCCCCCGCAGCGTCCTCCCATCACTCTCAGTCCTGTTACTGCGAGGTGCTCGACTGTCATAACATGCTGTCTTCTCTCTGTCTCTCTGTGTGCGTCTCAAACTGTTCACTCATGAATATTCGTGCGTCCTCCATCCTTGTGTACCTTCACTGGGTACGTCCATCTGTGCGCGTGTTGCTCTGCATCTTTCTGTCTTTTGGATTCTCCCCCACAACCCCTGCATGACTGCTTCCCATCTTTTGCTTTGTCCTTGTCCTCCGATGGGTTGGTTTGTGTCTACTTGTCTGTCCAACTGTCTCCTCCGTGTGTTCACACGTCTCTCTGTGGACCGTTTCAGGTTCTGCTTGGGGAGGTGAGCGCAGGCCTGAGCACCACCCAGGTGGTGGTGAAGGAGCTGAAAGCCGGCGGCAGCGTGCAGGACCAGATGCACTTCCTGGAGGAGGCGCGGCCTTTCCGGTATTCATTTCCTCTTCTCACCTGACACTCGTCTTTCTGGTCGGATTTCTGTTCCTCTTTTTGTTCGTCTTTGTCAATTATTGAATCATTTCTAATCATTTTAAATGTCCCCAATCTCCACCTCTGCTCCTCATGCTCCTCTTCTGCTCTGCTCCTCATGCTCCTCCTCTGCTCTGCTCCTCATGCTCCTCCTCTGCTCTGCTCCTCATGCTCCTCCTCTGCTCTGCTCCTCATGCTCCTCCTCTGCTCTGCTCTTCATGCTCCTCCTCTGCTCCTCAGCGGCCTCCAGCACCCGGCTCTGCTGCAGTGTTTGGCCCAGTGCACCGAGGTCACTCCCTACCTGCTGGTGATGGAGTTTTGCCCTCTGGTCAGTATTACATTTAAGGATTTCCATATTTTGGGTTGAAATCCCCGTTAGGATGCATGTTGATATGAGCAGCAGTGTGTGAAATGATTCAAATGAGGGACGTCTGATCATTCAGTGGCACTAGTGAGGAGACTCTCAAGGAGACATTGTTGTTCAGAAACCACCATAATTCCTTTGTTTGTTCAACATAAATGTTTCAGCACACAGGAAACGAGGCCCCCGATTGGCTCTTGTGGGGGTCTCAATGCACGGTTACGTCTTCTGATGCCCCGTCAGGCGACACTGCCCCCCAGTGGCCACAGACTGTAACACACATATGTTCTTGTCCACCCCTTGTCCACGTCCAGGGGGATGTGAAGGGTTACCTGAGAAGCTGCAGGACCTCAGAAACCATGACCCCGGAGCCCCTGATCCTTCACCGGATGGCCTGTGACATCGCCTCGGGACTCCTGCACATGCACAAACACAACTTCACGCACAGGTAGCCAGCTGGTTCTGCTAACGAATACACACCACATGAGCGGGAACGAACACACCGTAGCGCGGCTTCTTCTGTGGATCAGGATCCTCGGTTGCTTCATGGAACAATATCCTGGTGCTGCCTGAGTAATCCACTTAAAGACTCCAGCATCAGTGATTTTGTTGCAGGCGGTGACCCTCCTCTCCGCAAAGACACCTAAGAATCATATGTGTGTATATGTATAATAATGCAATCAGTAATTTGCACGAAGGGCTGCTACAGTAAATGTTGTTGCTCCTCCGTCCTGCATAGTTGTGCATGTTCCTGAACAATGAAGGTCTGTAACAGCTGTTTACCCCCCCTGCCTTTTGGACCAGTGACCTGGCTTTGAGGAACTGCCTGATGACGGCTGATGTCTCAGTGAAGATTGGAGATTATGGCTTGGCACAGAACAAGTACAAGGTTTGTTTATCACAACAACAGTACAATGCATGGAAATAATTACTTCAAATGTTGGAAGTATTTGGGCTAATAAACGGATGAGTAACTAAGTAACCCCCCCAGAGCAGGTGGTCCACCATGGTGACTCAGCTGGTTGTGAGTCCCTCGGGTGCTACAAACATGTGTAGCATTCACTCCAGTGCGTTTCTTTAGAGTTTACACATTATTTCACCCGAGTGAAAGCGTCAAGAAGACTGTTGACTCCACCTGCTGTAAGCATGTGATCCGTCCCGTCAGGATGATTACTACAAGACATCGGATCAGACCTGCGTGCCGCTGCGCTGGATCGCTCCGGAGCTGCTGGACGAGGTGCACGGAAACCTGCTGGTGGCCGACCAGACGCCACAGAGCAACATGTGGTAGGACACGGACACACGGACACACGCACACACTCATTTCTCACTTCTCATTTCAAACATAGAACATTTTAAAATGTTTGTGTGAAAGAGACAGACGAGGTCAAATACGAATGAGAAAAGAACTTCTCTGTATCGCTACAAAGCCTAGAAAACATTAAGAACGCCAGTAAACAAAAAAGGGTTCAGTGACTGGACAAAGTATTTTGTCACATGGTGATACTTGTTTCTGTGGCTCCGCATCACAACACGCGTGACTTCCTGTGTCTCAGGTCTCTTGGCGTGACGATGTGGGAGCTGTTTGAACTCGGCACGCAGCCCTACAGGCACTACTCTGACAGACAGGTGCTGACCTTCGCTGTGCGGGAGCAGCAGCTGCGACTTCCCAAACCGCTGCTCAAAGGGCCGCTGGCTGAGCGCTGGTGAGACGCGAGCCGGACCAACAGTACATCAGCCAGGCAGTCGGCCATCTTCTGCACCGCTCAACCGTCTTTAACGTCTCGTGTCAGATTCTCGGGATAAATATGTGACTTTCCAGAGCGATCACACCCTTTTTATATCTCGTGTAAAGACGTAAACTTGACAGGCAAATCCTTTAAAATGGCCCTTTGGTTTTTCCTCCATCTTCTGCTGTCTTCTGTCCAACGCCATGGCGACGAAAGAGTCTACTTAACCGTGTGTTTTTCTTGGGCTCCTCAGGTTTGAGGTGATGCAGTTCTGCTGGCTCCAGCCTGAGCAGAGACCCAATGCGGAGGAAGTCCACCTGCTGCTCAGCTACCTGTGCGCTAAGGGGGCCTGCGAGGCCGAAGAGGACTTTGAGAGGCGATGGAACTCCCTGCGTCCCAACACCGTCTTCAACAGCCACCACTGTGCATCGGCAATGTCCCGAGACCACCCGTCATCAACCTCCTCCTCGTATCCCCTCCTTGAGCACTTCTCAGGCGCTGACGGCTACCACTCGGAGTCCGGGGACGACATACTTACTGTCACAGAGACCAGCCATGGCCTGAACTTTGAGTACAAGTGGGAGCAGGCCAGAGCGGACCAGTCAGCTAGGACCCTGGAACAGGTCAACCATCATCAGCAGGAGGCCTTTTACCCCCCCGGGGGCATCGTGGGCGGCTGCCCCACAGAGAGCCTCGGCCACGGACTTTCTCCTTCTTACTACCGATCCAAACATCTTCACGCTCCGAGCATACTTCCTGTCCTCAGCGCCCGCAGCCCCTCAGCAGGCAGCGAATACTACATCCGCATCGAGGAGCCGGGCGACTGTAACATCGATCTGGACTACACCATGTGCTCCTACAGCCCCGACTACCACGGCAGCAGCGGGAGCTTTCTGACTGGGAGCGCCGACTCAGGCGAGTGCATGGCCTGCCCGTCCCAGACCAACACGGGTCCCTTCTGGTCCGCAGACATCCGTAAGGCAGACATGTACGACTCGAACGACTCGAGTCCTGCTATCTCCCTGACGATGGAGCCCCTTTTGGGGCAAGTGTTGGACAACAGCCCTCCACGGCCCTGGGAGTCTAGCCACTACGTATCCTACAAGGACAGAGACGGGGGCTACTACTATGAGCACTCGCCTCCTCTGGGTATGGACCGCTATCTGATTGGACGTGACTCCTCCAGTGTGCGTCATCAGGAGAGCTGGGGGTCGAGGAGCCTGCGCCAGGCCTTGGGTGAGCTGGAGAACCCACTGGGCATATCCCCCGCCGTGAACACGGCGCCTCAGCAGGCCTACAGCGACGCCTACATGGACACGAGTCAGACCTCCGTCATAGGAAAGAACGTGACGGGGGGCTACTACGACATGATGGGCTCCCTGAGGAAGACCATGCCCGGCCACACCCGGCACAACGGCCACTCTGTCAGCATCAACATGGACACTGAGGGGGCCCTCTTCATCGGGCACAGAGACAGCGATACGGAGGAGGAAGAAGAGGAGGACATATTTGTTGAGAGGCACACCTGCAACACTTGGCCTTCAAAACACCGCCACAGCAGCGGGGGTCACACCAGACGTGCCAGCCACAGCTGCAGACAGGACGCGTACGTGGATTTCCACTACACGATGCCGAGTACAGACGTGGAAGACTCCTGGCCAGAGGAGCGCAGCCCGGCCTTCCGCTCCCTCCCCAAAGCCGTGGACTATCTCGACCACCAGGCCAAAGACAACAGTGCCTGTCTCAGTCTAAGCAAACATCGGGCAATGGTGCCCTCGGACGACTGCAGCGCCTACGTCTACCTGTGCCGCGAGGGCGGGACTCCACCTGGAGATTGCTGCCACTCGCACTTTGTGGACCCGCTCACAGGCCTGCTGGTCAGAAACAACAGTTACAGTCACAGCTACTGTCACAGCGGCTACGTCGCCGACAAGGCCATCGACGCCCGAGGCACAGACGAGATGATCAATCTATCACCGGCCCCGGGGGGCCCCATGGTGGCCAAACCCTTCGTGATAAAGGCCGACGGCAGCAGGGAGCAATACGTTGACCTCACAACCGAAGAATCGCTCTTCGTAGAGAAAAGGTACGATGCGATCAAAGACAATCCCATCGTGCCGAAGCCGAGTGCGCCTGAAACAGAAGAGGTGACCCCGGCGGCGACCCTCACCACTCCGCCTCCTGACGACAACATGCACGTGATGGTGGCGCTCACAGATCCGCAGTCCGAGTTGAGTCACGCTGGCGACAGCGGAGTCGACCGAGGGGGCTCCAGCGTGAGCCTCGCCGACATCCTCGACTGCAGCGAGGACGACGACGACGCCACCGATGACATCACCGACGTTACTTCGGGTATCTTTGCAGACGAGTGCTGCGAGCTGAACGCCTCTCCTGCCCTCAAGTCGCTGCAGAAGCATGCAGGAACTCCTGATTCCATGGATTCCATGGAGCTGCCCTCCGCGGCCGGGTCCTGCGAGGGCTTCAGCCCCGCGTCCACCCACCCTAAAGCTGTGGACAGTGGATACGACACAGAAAATAACGAGAGCCCTGAGTTTGTACCAAAAGAGCCCCACGAGCCCCGAGAACAACCTGTGGGGAATCCTTCCCTTTCCCCGAGTCTGGAGGAGGAGAAGCAGCTGGACGAGGGTGAAGTCGAGCCAGACGCCGAACCCTCATCGGGGGGAGACCTGGCCCTCGGAGCCTCACAGACCGCCGAGGACAGTCTTCTGCCACTGAGCGATAAGACTCCGTACAGAGACTCCGCCTACTTTTCAGACTATGAGAATGACAGACAGTCCAGAGAGGAAGAGCTGTCAGAGGGACCGAGAGAAGCACCCATGGGAGGAAGGAAAGGCGAGAATGAGGAGGAGGAGGAGGAGGAGGTATGTGACACCGTCACAGCAGCAGGAGCAGACTCCTCGTCTCAACTACAGCTGGATGCACATCTGACTGAAGAGCCCTGTGACAGCGCCTCCACGGCGGAGAGCGGCCTGGACGAATGGCCGTCTCAGGAGAGCTCGTCCCTGGGAGACTGGGCGGCCGAGGTGGTGGGGGCCATGGAAGAAGCCCTCGGTGCCCTGAAAGGAGACTGTACCTCCAACGAGGAGGAGGAAGCGGACAATCCCGCTCAAGAAACGACAGAAAGGCCAAATGTGGACGAGGTTAAGACCAGACCGTCCAGGGTCGCCGGGGAGATCCTGCACACAGCGCAGCACGCGGCGAGCGCCCGGCGCTTCTCCTCCTCCTCTCCTCCGCCTCCAGCCAGCCCTCCGCCTCCGCCGAGCGCAGCAGATAACGGGGACGGGGCGGGCGAGGGCGACGACGGCGACGACGACAGCGACGAGTCGGACGAGGAGCTGCGGATCTACAGCGTGCAGGAGCAGAGCGGCGGGGAGGAGAGCGACGACGAGTGCCACCCGGTGCCCATCGTGGTGAGCGACCGCGGCGGAGGACACCGCCTGCGCAGCCTCCTGAAGATGCCCCACCTGCCGACCACGGGGAGCCTGGAGCAGCAGCTTGAGTCCAAGAAGAAGACGGTGTCTTTTTTTGACGATGTCACCGTCTACCTGTTCGATCAGGTGAGTGGCTCAGCGGGTATCGATATAAAAGTCACATTTCAAACCTGCAATAATAAGTATAAATATATTAACAGGACTGTTTCTCCATTTGGCTGTTTGAATCCATTTGATTAAATCGTTTACTCGACTCACCTGCAGATGATTCAAATAAAAGAAAAAGTCAAAGAATCATTTCCCTTCACTGTCACCAGGAAAGCCCAACTGAGGAGCTGGCTGAGCACGGCTTCCCTCTCGGAGCCGAAGGTCAGAGTTCACGCAGCAAATCCCAAGAGCGGCTGACTGCCTCGGACGACTCGTCAGAGGAGAGTGAGTGACTCTTCGCTTAAATACGGTGTTGACGTCAAGTTCCAAAAGCAAAATGTCTAAATAAACAGCGTTCTGCTGTCAGGCGCCGGATACGAGTGGGAGGACGACTTCCCGCTGCTGCCTTTGCCCACCTGCTCCGTGGCCTCCGACTCACCGCCCCCCCGCTGCGCCCTCACCGCCCCGGACCCCCAACCGGCCGCTCAGTTCTCCCGCTTCACCGTCTCGCCCTCCAAAGTGTCCCGTTTCTCCATCACTCACATCTCGGACTCCGACATGGACTCCGCGGGAGGTGAGACGCTCACCCCCCCTCAGTTCTTCACTGGTTGACTCACATAAACGTGTTTCGTTTTTGGGGAGTGAGACTTTCTGATGAGAAGAAACGTGTGATTTAATGGCGAATGAACTGATTACGTGGTTCAGTGCAAATATCTGAGCTTTTATTTGATAAATAAGTAAAGATTCAGGAATGTGAGCTCAACCACAAAACGTTCACCAGAGCATCTTGAACCGAAGGTGCTGGAACGAGATGAGATGCGAGTGGGACGGCAGGTCTCACGCGGTCATCGTTTCACTCACGTTTAGACTCAACTCTACAAATCATGTGCATGTTTTAGCTTGTATTAAAAAGCCCCTCAACCGTGTACCAAACCGAGAGGCTGTTGATGCCCCAACGCGTTGACCAGATGACTCTTTTTCCAAGAGACGTGAGAGTCTTGTGTTCGTTAATCCTGGTTGTCTTGCAGGGAGCAGCGAGGACGGGGACAAAGAATAACGAGCTGTGGATCTTCGCCTGACGACAACTCGGCCGCCAGCATGACTTACATTCATTTTTTAACGTCAGGCTTTAGCAACAGAAGACTGTGCCTCTTACCGCCTGGTTGAAGCTCAAGGACCTGCATGTGGAATCTATCAAAAGCAGAGAGAACTTTGAACTGTGCATATTTTTCAGGTCAAAGAGGCACAATGGATGGACAGAGCGTCACGTCCTCCTCCTCTCATGTTGGATGGGAGGTCAGACCTAAAGTTAGACCGCTGGGTTAAAGCCGCCCCCCTTCAGAGGATCAGCACTCTGAAGCGTCTCAGACTGCTCGTCTTAATAAATATCCACAAGAATCCTTTAGGTATCACAAGTAATATATTGGTAATATTTGGCCATAACAAGAGAGTGAGAAAGAAGGAAGCGCGTTTGGTTACAGCATGTTGTCTGATTGAACCCGGACAACGTATTATGGGATGTTTGCGTGACTCTTTTCTTTTGTATCCGGACCACTACTGTTTGACTTACATAAGTGGATCACAAGCGAAGCCATGAGGCGCAGCCTGGTCACCATGGCAACGGGGAGAACAGGTCCGTTGAAGCGATGCATGCTTTCAAGTATCCGCTACGCAGCGTCTATGCGAACGTGCTGCCGAGAGACAGAAGAGGGGCCGTGTTTCCTTTTGCTGTGGAGAGGAGACGGGTCTTCTTCATGTCTCCTCTTCGTGGACGGTTTGCTCGTGAGGACATGGGCCTGCGCGCTGGGCAGTACGGATGAGGCCTAATCCACCGTGTGCGTGCTGATTGGCCAGGTGTTTTTTCACGTGTGCCACTATCATCCTCCCAGCGGGGAATCCAACATGGCCGAAAGGAAGTGATACTTAACAATATTCAGATTTCAGGTCCGCTGGTAGAATTCTGTTGGTTTTCATGTTATCATGTGGCCCGACCCTGTAGGCCAGTGTTTCACAACACAAACGTCCACAAATTTATTTCAAATGTTGTTCAATACTATCTTGCCTGCTCATTAGTCTGAACATTGCGTGTAAATCAGAACATACTTGTTCCGTCTGTAAGAGAAGGGAGAACATCTGCCTGACCTCACGTTACCTTCTCTTGCTGTACATTTGCTTCACGGACGTCGTTCAATCCCCACAACGAAGGAGGCAGGTGTTCGGTTCTGGTAAGTGGACCTTCTCTGGTTCTTCTAACTCTTTATACTGTGGGCGGAAACGAGAAGAGGAATCTTTGCTTTTCGTGTGTGAACGTCAAGCGGAGGCGGTGCAGAGTGTGCGGCTGGTTGCCCCCAGCAACCACATTCTGTAGCCACGCAGAAAGATGTGCGTAACATCTGCGTATGTCGACAGGAAGACCTCCGCGTGGAGACGGACCCGTAGAGGAGAAATGTCTTGTTTTGTTTTATTGCTGCCAAAGAGATGTTGTGTTCAGGCGCAACACTGGTTGGTTTTTACCCAAATGGAGCCCAGCTGGAGGAACATTAGAAGAGTCATCATTACCTTCTGTACCTTCTATCAAATATAAATAAAGTCTGTTTTACACATCTTAAGATATCGTTTGAGTATTTCTTCCGTTATGAGCAAATGATGGTTTGCGTGTGCAGATCATCATGTTCACGTGCTGCACGATGGAGACAAAGTCTCCTGCTGATCCACAATAAAAGACTTAATTGGATTTCCATCTTTTATGACATCACATCACTTACCTTTTAGTTCCTTTCAACGTGCTACAGTAGGAAATGTCCTCACTGGTTAGACGTGTTCTATGGCTGTTTTCAACATGCTTTGAACTTCACGATGCAAATACAAGATTAGGACCTTTTCCAACATACTAAACTCTTTTAGACTTTTTAAAATCGATAAATTATGATTTCTTCTGACTTTTATTCGACGTGTTGTGAACGTTTGTGAATTATTTTTTGACATATCATGACTTTATGCTGACTTTTATCAACATACAGATTGAAATGACATTTTTATGATTTTCTTTTGGACTTTTTCAACCTGCTTTAACTTTTTAATGATTATTTTGACATACTGTTTAAAACAGTTTCTGATGTTTTTTTTATACAATGTCTTTCTTTTAAAGATACTATATTATGTTAAAACATCATAGAATTGTTACATCCTACTAGTTAACTTTCCTAAAAGTAAAGGATGTGTAATATTGTTAGTGCGGTTTGGCGGAACAGCAAAGTCCTTCAAACAGCACAAGTTTATCATATAAATCAAGACAACACATCGCATGAAACACAACACAACATGTTTCTCCAAGACACAATATTATTGATATATTATATTATATATAAATAATAGATTATAATATATTATTTATATATAATATAATATTATATTATAATTTATAATCTATTATTTATTCTGATCCCAGCAAGAGAACAGACATACAGCACAACATGAGCAACTTTATTTTATTATTAAAATCAAACTGAAAACCAGATCACATGACACACGTCGACAGTCATATTTGTTTGCAGAGCGTTTGCGTTGTGGGAGAATGAGGTCACAGCAGAAACATCCATAGTCCATCCAGATGATGGATGTGGTCTGAAGTTCATGGATGAGGCGGATTCTCTTTCACACGCAGAACATTTACTGTTCTGCAGAACTCGTCTGCAAAACTAAGAAGTAAAAGAGAAACTGCTAAAACTTTAAGTATGAAGCCCAATAGTTAAATGCATATCAAATATTCACATGTATTCTTTATCGCAAGTCAAATTCCTCTCTGTTTAACATATAAATGGCTTCTGCTTCTGATTTCGCTTCAGTTCAGTTTTAAAACTATTGGACATCTTGAAAACATACTTTCAATTCCAACCTCAGTCTTGAATGTATTGTAAAAGACCTGATAGTTATTTATCAGCAGCCAGTTTTAACCAGATTGATTATTCTAAATCAAATCCATCAAATTGTAAGATACATTTTCATCTGCTCGCCGTATCAGTGCACTTCTGATTTATCTCACTCCTTCTGCAATAACTAAACAGATATATATGTTGTGGATTATTTCACACTTCTCTTAAGCATTTTCCTTAAAGAAGATCTTACAAACTGCATGTAACAATATCACCGATCATCTAATCTGTGCAGTAATACTGATAACAGCAATTATTAAATACTGCAGGATCTGCAGAGTGAAGTACTGAGTCGTGTGAGTCGCCTCACGCACACACTGGTCTCTGGTTAGTGTTTCACTACATTAGTGCCTCATCATCCTGCTGGAGATTATTTATCTGCGTTCAGACCGCGAATACGCCGGCTGTCAATCACAGACGATCAAACACGATTCAATGACCGGCAGCTATTTGCACACGACGCCTCAGCGACTCCCGTCGCAGTGAGCTGTTGTGTCACACTGAGGCTCAACACTCCCCCTGGGGGGTCGAGGCCTTCTCCAGGGAGTCCTCCTCCTCCTCCTCCTCATCAGAGAGGGGCGGTTTGGCGGGAGCTTCCGTGGCCGGCTCGAAGGGGGGGTCACTGCTGGGGGAGGAAAAGAAAAACCAGTCAAATAACGAGCAGATGGTTCCGTTAAAAAGGACGATGAGGGTGAATCCAATGGATGAAAGAAAAGAACAAAGAACAGCAGCGAAGCGTGACGTTGAAACATGCAACACGGACGACGACATGGAAGAAACAGCCCAACGCCACCATGAAGGAAATAAGGATAGGTTGCATGAAGGTCCCGAGGACCCGAGCTCGGTCACTTACGATGGAGGTTCGAGGGCTCAGAAACGGGCGAAATCAGGCTGAAAGGCATCAGCATCATCAAAGAGACGGACGGGGGACATTTCTACACAAACAGTTTCTTGAAAGAAAGAACGAGTCTTCTCTCCTCTGACTCTCAGAAGACAAGAAGTGATGCACATCAGATGTTGGAATAGACGAGCAGCAGACCAGCATCTTTATTTAGCTCACACACAATCAGACCAACACTTTTTATCTGCTTCTCAAACCAAAGCACGAAGGCTGAAGGAGCTTCAACATCCAATGAGCTCCTCTCACCTCCGAGGAGGCCACTCTGATGGTGACGCCTCATCTGAGTCTCTGGAGCCAGAGGTTCATCAGCACATTTCTTATTGAGAGCAATACTGCTGAAAGGTGGAGCAGGTACAGACGGATGTTGGATGGTTGTAAATGGAGATCAGATCCCACAGCAGCTGCGCTCTTTTCCTTCCTGCGTGAACAACGGTTCACTTTTTAACCCAAAGAAAGTTCTTTCGTCTGAGAAACGTTGGTTCACTTTACTTTTCTTTGACCAAAAGTCCAGAGCAAACGTTTCAACTTCAATGAAGCGGCAGAAAAGCTTTGAGACGCTGATCATTTTAATAAATTACAACTTGACTTCAGAACCAAAAGCAGCTCCGAGCCCGGCGGGTCACCGTGGAGACGATGATCATGATGTTCACAGAGCACAACAGGGGGTCAAAGTGCGTAATAGAGAAACAGAGATTATTACTTCATACGGTGCGTTCCTTCACTGAGCACAGATACTTTATGGCACATTCATGTACAGTTCAAACACTGAGAGGAACACAAACCTCACAGGTACAATTATCGGTAAATACTGAACAACCCAGTCAAATATTCATTGTGATGAATTCAGCGTCATTGACGTCTGATTTACAATCCTTCACTCCGACGTGCAGCAAGACGACCAAAGACACTCTGAGAAGTCTGCTGGCGCCGAGGGGGGCACAGAGCGAAGCCTCTTCCGCTCAATGGTTGACTGAGGGAGGGTTTATTGCGTAAGGGGGGAGGGGGCTGGTTCAGCGAGGTGTCTGTCCTATCGCATCGTCTGTCTGTCCTCACACTGTCGAAATCAATTTGCCCTCCGAGGAACTGTGGACAAAGAGAGGGAGAAGCTTCCAGATGGGCTGGAAAAACAACCGGCACCACGTAGACCCCCCCAGACCCTCTAAAACACTTCAGCCCCTCAGCTCATAACTAATGACATGCAGCTCATGTAAATCGTGGGGTTGAGATTAAGCTCTAAATCCTTTACGTTATTCTACCAAACAGGAAGGAGCACCAGGAGAACCCCCCCAGGGGAGAAGTGGTGTTTGCATGTCTGGACCTTCTGATCCTCAACACTCAATTGCTCCCAATATTCATCTTCAACATATTAAACTTGTGTTTAATGACAGAATTGGAGCTGAGTTAAACCGGATTTTTGTTTTGGTAGAAAATAAGGAAATGTAGATTTTACCTCGTGGGGAAGCCGGATTCGTACTCCTCACCGCCTTGCTGCAGAAACAAAGACAGGTGAGACGTTTAGCCACAACATCAGCCAGCAGGTGGCAGCACCTCCACGAGGTGGAGGAGATTCTACATGAAGCTCAGTGAAATGAGCTAAACAGCTGCAAAACTATGACTTTCAACCAAACATCATCAACCTGCAGCGTTCTGACACTTTCACGTATGAAGACAAAGCCAGTATTCCAGATGCTGAGATCTTCATCCCTAAAGACTGAGAGGCAGCAGGAACGCTTCAAGCTCTCACACGGCGGAGCAGTTAAGCTCCACCCACATGTTCCAGGTGAGGCGTAGGAGGGAAGCCGGCGGGAGGAGGTTTGCTGTTGCATAAGTTCTGATTAACATCACGACGGCTGCCGCCTCCTTTTATTCAGAAGCACTTTCCTCGGACATCGTGGTTGGGTTCTATCGGCTGTGGGGGTTCTACTGGCGGTGGGGTTCTATCGGCAGTGGGGTTCTACTGGAGGTGGGGTTCTATCGGCGATGGGGGTTCTACCGGCGGTGGTGTTCTACCGGCAGTGGGGTTCTACCGGCGGTGGGGTTCTACCGGCGGTGGGGTTCTATCGGCGCTGGGGTTCTATCGGCGATGGGGTTCTACCAGAAGTGGGGTTCTATCGGAGGTGGGGTTCTATCGGCGATGGGGGTTCTACCGGCGGTGGGGTTCTACCGGCAGTGGGGTTCTATCGAAGGTGGGGTTCTATCGAAGGTGGGGTTCTACTGGAGGTGGCGTTCTATCGGCGATGGGGGTTCTACCGGCGATGGGGGTTCTACCGGCGATGGGGGTTCTACCGGCGGTGGGGTTCTACCGGCGGTGGGGTTCTATCGGCGGTGGGGTTCTATCGGCGATGGGGGTTCTACCGGCGATGGGGGTTCTACCGGCGGTGGGGTTCTTCCGGCGGTGGGGTTCTACTGGCGGTGGGGTTCTATCGGCAGTGGGGTTCTACCGGCGGTGGGGTTCTATCGGCGCTGGGGTTCTATCGGCGATGGGGTTCTACCAGAAGTGGGGTTCTATCGGAGGTGGGGTTCTATCGGCGATGGGGGTTCTACCGGCGGTGGGGTTCTACCGGCAGTGGGGTTCTATCGGCAGTGGGGTTCTATCGAAGGTGGGGTTCTACTGGAGGTGGCGTTCTATCGGCGATGGGGGTTCTACCGGCGATGGGGGTTCTACCGGCGGTGGGGTTCTACCGGCGGTGGGGTTCTATCGGCGGTGGGGTTCTATCGGCGATGGGGGTTCTACCGGCGATGGGGGTTCTACTGGCGGTGGGGTTCTACCGGCGGTGGGGTTCTTCCGGCGGTGGGGTTCTACCGGCGGTGGGGTTCTACTGGCGGTGGGGTTCTACCGGCGGTGGGGTTCTACCGGCGGTGGGGTTCTACCGGCGATGCGCCCCGGTGGGGAGGGGCTTGTACAGCAGCTAATGGGAGGCCGACGCCCACCTGGGAGAAGCCTGGCACCGCCACGCTGTAGGGGCGCTGTTGTTGTCGGCCGTGCAGCGCAGCAGCCCCCTGCGCCGCCATGCGCGGGTGGATGCCGTAGTCGGGGCCGGCGGGGGCCATGTCCTCTCTCTCGAGCAGGTTCCCTGTGCTGCTGCTCTTCCCGTGGAGGCTGCAGGACAGAAGTGGGGACCAGGTCAGGGAGGAGCCCCTGCAGGCGGGCGCTCATGTGCTTAAAGCGAAACGTACTTGTGAACTCGAAGTTGCCTCATGGAGGTGGAGTCGGCCTCAGAGATCAAGCGGGTGTAGGAGAAAGGAAACCAGCCGCGCCTTGAGGGAGCGAGGCAGCAGCAGATATTATATATATGTAAAAATAAAAGAGAAGACACGAGTCACAGTGGAAACACAAAGTCCTCACATGCGGGTCTTCTCGTTCTCCCCGTAGTGCCACCCGTCACGGGCCTCCGGGACCAGCAGCGTGATCACGTCGCCCTGGAAGAAGCTCAGCAGGGTGCCGTTGTCCCCGGCCGCGTGGGAGAACACGGCCTGGACTCTGGTCCTGCCGTTCTTCTCCAGCCCCGCTGCCATGGAGCTGGACCGGGGCAGCGTGCGGGTCTCCGCTGGTGGACACAACAGGGAGACATTTGTCCAACGGGCACCGGGTGTGGGACACGCCCGCGCCGCCGCTACACTCCAGCTAACCAAACCACCGGATTTCTCTGAGAGCTGCTCGTGTCCTACATCTATTTCAGCTCAGGATCCTTCTCATTGTCGGCCTCACGTCTCCTCTGGGGCCCGTTTCTCATTAAAGTGCTCAGGTTGTCCCGCACGAGGACTCTTTGAAAAGCCCCCCGCGGTGTTTGCTGTGATGCAAAGCATGAACATGTGTGTGTGTCCTCACTCAGAGTGGTCTTGCTCTTGGCGGGGGCCGCCTTGCGCACCGGCAGGGTGTTGGAGTAGACCTCCCCGGCGTGGCGCTGCGTCTGCGGGGGGGCTTTGGCTTGGGCCACCTTGCCCTCCATCCACTGCTGGTAGTCCTCTCCTCCGCGGGCCCCCGCGCTGCCGTTCATCGCCGCCATCCCTCCATCCACGGCCCCCAACATCCTCTGCAGAGGAGACGTGAGCCAAAGGGTTACACAACATCCAGCAGCTCCTTAACGACAAGCGACGACTGGAAGGAATCTGGGTCGATGAAAAGACGACATTCGACGTTGCTTTTGATATAAACAACTTGTGTTTCATCTGTTTTAACCGAAGGAGCCAAACCGACGCCTTCGGTTCATTTCTGTGGATGCGTTGAGGCTCCTGTGACGATCTACACATCCCAGCTCCTCATCGCAGGGCTCAGTGGACACTGTGTGTGTGTGTGTCCCTTTAGAGGCAGCAGAAGGACCCACCTGCTGTCCCAGACCCCCGCTGGCCCTGAGGGCCGCCAGCTCCGGGGGCACCGGCAGGGGTTTGGCCCCGGAGAGCGGCTCGGAGGTCATGCCTGGATGATGCGCGCCGGCGACCATCGCTCCCGCCACGCCGCTCATCTGCTGCGCCAGGAACAAGGCGCGGTCGGGCAGCTTGTTGGGCTCGGCACATGCCTGCTGCCACAACGGGATCCGCTGGGACAGAAGCTCCTTCCCCTGGAAGCAGCGAGGCAGACGGGTTTCCACCCGACAGTAAACACACACACACACACACACACATTTACAGCGCACACTGTGCCAATAAATCATTCAGATCAGAAGAGAGAAACGATATTGGAAGAGCTGCTGCAGAGAATTGGGCCGCTGTGGAGGGTGAACATGCAGATGTGTCGCGGTGGTCCGGCCCCACCGAGTGTGTGTGTGTGTGTGTGTGTGTGTGTGTGGGGGGGCGATCGGATAAATCAACACTCTAACACAACTGTACTGCTGGGATCCCATTCATCACGGCTCTCTGCGAGCAACAGGATCTTTGTGCCGTCGGCAGCAACGATGAGTCACCGATGACCTCAGCGGGCCGGCTGAGCGTGGGAGGAACTCTGCCAGTGTGATGAGTGTGAGGACGAGCAGACGCTGGCTGCTCCTCCTCCGTCCCCCCTCGCTGCGAGTGGGACAAAGACACTCGGTAAAGGTGAGGGACGCCAGAAGCACTCGTCCTCACGCTGCCATGAGATTGGATCAACCTCTAATGTGTGTGGATGATCCCTTCATGTCAATTACAGACTTCATATAAACACACCCAAAGTAACCACCGAACAGCCCCTGGCAACACCTTAGCAACCGCCCCGCGACACTGGTAGAGCTGCAGGACGCAAAGGTCGTGTGGCTGGAACGCGTCCTGCTGCCCACAGGGAGGCGGATTCAGACGGACCATCAGGTGGAGCGATAACACTTCAGTGCACGAGGAGACGGAACCAACACCTTTACATCACATTAAAATCAGCTGCTGATCATCTTTAACTTCACTGGAGTTCCAGTAACAGTAATTTATGAGAAGATAAAACAAGCAGTCTGTTAACTTCCTGCCGACTGGGTCATCGATTTATCTGCTGATTCAGTGTTTATTCATCGCTGAGACACGTTCACACACAGCCGGTGAAGCCAGTGTTCCTGCAGAAGAAGGTTGTTCTCTCTCGGGCTGCCCCCCCCCCCCCCCGGTCCGGTCCGGTGGCGCCGCTCACCTTGCTGTGGTACACGCTGCTGTTCTTGGCCACGGCACACTGCCGGTCCACCAGGAAGCAGTACCTCCTCCGCTCCTCGGACAGCGCGTGCTTGTAGCCCTCGGCGATGTAGTTGTCCAGCTCGCTCTGCTTGTTGCTGATGGCCTCCACGTACTGGGGGGAGCAGAAGAACGGACCATCTGACACGGTCACACTGAACACGTCTCGCTGTCAACGGCCACGTCGAGTGAACTCGGGACATTTCAGCACCACAGACTGCCGTTGTCTCCCAGATGAGGATTAAATGACGATGCTTTTTAACGTGCATCACGCGGTGACGTAGAAAAGCAGACGTTGTGCGTCGACCTGCGTGTTTGGTGAATGTGAAGCAGAGTCAAACGTCTCTGCGAGGCTCTCGCGGTTTGTACCGAGGTGCAGGACGAGTTGTCTCCATCGGGTGGAACCACTCATCCACACTTTGTCCTCAGACGCACTTGTGAAAGCGTGTGCAGATTCCCACGGCAGCAGCACCCGGAGACACGGAGACACGGAGACACGGAGACACGGAGACACGGAGACACGGAGGAGAAGGTGAGCGGCCAACCAGCAGCAGCTGTGCTGGAGGCCACAGAAGGTTTGAGATGAGGGAGTTAACAATAACCGGACGGACTAATTAGGGAACGACTGAAGCCGCTTCACATTCATCATGTGGAATTCTCTCTCTGCGTTTATCTCTTGATCCAAAGTGCATTGAGCCCAGAGGGAACCGAGCAGAACAAGAAGCAAAGGAAGAAACTACTAAGTGCTGCAAGTATTAACACGTATGTATGTATGCATGTATATACTCAGCAAGTACTAACACGTATGCATGTATATACTCAGCAAGTACTAACACGTATGCATGTATATACTCAGCAAGTACTAACACGTATGTATGTATGCATGTATATACTCAGCAAGTACTAACACGTATGTATGTATGCATGTATATACTCAGCAAGTACTAACACGTATGTGTAAAGAAAAGGGGCAGCATGTGATTATTATGTAATCACATCTTCTGACGTGAGAAAAAGTCACTCAGGAAGCGACGCGTCCTGCAGGAATAGTTCACATATCGATCTTCTTCTTCTCCTTTTTAGAACATGCCTGGAGGAGCCAACACGCATGTATGAATGAACACGTCATCGCCCACATGGGAGCTTGGTGAGGAGCCGCCGTCCATCAAAGCAAACAATTCCTCAATAACAAGCAGGTCCTCTGTGCTGCCGAGACAGAGACCAGGGACGTGGACACGCAGTCTGTCCCCGCGTGTAACAGTGAGAACTGTTGGCGATGGAGAAACGTCTGCACCATAAACACAGATGTTCTCGGCCTGGTGGGACAGTTCGCTGTCCTCCTCTCGCTGAGACAGATGTGCGGTGTTGAGAAGCCCCCGCGGAGCTGCAGGTGGGCTCTAATGATTCTTCATATTCACATTCTTCACCTACCGACGGGGCAGAGACGCCTCCGTCAGCTGGGAGGAACCATTCGTCCTCCATCACCTTCTGCAGCCTGAAGGTCACGTGTGCTTCCCAACATGCTGAAGCATCTACTAGTGTATTTAAATGTCTTTAACACGCCGCCACCAGCCGCGCCGAAGCCATCAGGAGGGGCTGAAGGCCCCCCCGGCCCCCCACACTGACCTGCATCTCCTTGTCCCCGTACTTGGACGGGTGCTTGCTGCCTTGGCTCTTTCTGCGCAGCTTCTTCAGCTCTGCCTGGCACTTCTCCAGACTCTCCCCTTTGCCCTTGTGCTCCGTCTGGTACTTCTTCAGCGCGGCCTGGGGGGTCAACGGGGGGCACAGAGTCAGCAGGGCGGCGGTCGGCGAGTGATGGTTGACACACACAGAACTGTGTTCAGCATGTATGTGCACCATGTAAAGGATTCCCCCCCCCATTATTATTATAGTGATTCTACCGAGCTGCATAAATCATCATCATAACCTTTTTCCTACAGAATGAGTCATAATGCTGGTTTATGTAACTCGCTGCAGTGGTTGAAGAGCAGCTCGTTCCTCCCTGGGGGGCGACTGGCAGCTAAAACCTCAGCGTGGGATCATTTGTGTTAACAGAGACTGAAGAAGAGTCTCACGTTCAGGTAGCGTGCGTCCAGCTCCACCTTCTTCTCCAGCTCCGTCAGCAGCTCGTTGTGGAACGACTTGAGCTGGAAGAGACGCAGGAACAACTGCAGGTGAGCCTCACTGGTCCCCCCCCCAAAGGTCTACAGACTCATCATCATCATCATCATCAGCTCATCATCAATACAATACATGTTTTCATAAATGACACACAAGATTCACGTCTCTTTTAATGAGTCGGTGAACAAAGCGCGGTGCCTTCAGAGGGCAGAAGTGTGAGAGGAGCACTGAACAGGTGCTGAGGGCTCACCATCTCCTCCAGCTGGACCTGGATCTGTCTGTGCACTTCGGCCATCTGAAAGAGGACCTCCCCTGCAGACAGAAGAAAGGTCGTAACACACAGAGGGGGCAGAGAGAACGAGAAGGTGACGCTAAGCTGTGTGGGAGCTGCATGCATTCAGAAACAGGAGCCTGCAGCCACACAGGCAGATGAGACAGGGGTTGGGAGGAGGAGGAGGAGGAGGAGGAGATGAAACATCCGTCACGACACCGACAAACTTACTAAAGGAACCAAATCAAACATTACAGAAATGTGCAGCAGACAGAATTATGGAGGAAGCAGCAGATCTAGTGAATGTTTGAACACGTGAACCTAAAGAGCTCACAACACGCTGGCAAACGCACACAATGCACATTTCATGCCAACATGACGACTGTTCCTGTAATGTTCTAGTTGCACAAACAGCTGAAGGTTAACGAAGAAACACAGAACGTGGGAGGATCCATGCAGACGTGGCGGTAGGAGATACCTACATGCTGCCTCCTCTGAAGACGCGTTGGAAGAAACAAAAAGACCCATTTTGAGAAACGGACGGAGACACGGAGACACGTCAAGCTACCCGACAGGACAGAGGCAGTCAGACCGAGGGACACGGAGCCCTTCAGGTTCACCTCCATCATGCAGCGACGGATTTACCAGCTTCATCTTCGTCTTCATCGAAGGGAAACAACGTGTGTCGAGACCTTTGAGCCACTTTAAACTGGTTTGAACTGGTTTAAACTGGTGATGCAACTGGTTCACTGGGGGCATCGTGGATCTGTTCACTAAAAGAGTTTCAATTATAGATTTTCTTAATTTGTGATGTTAGACACAAATATTAATATATCAATACAAATCTCCACTAAGTAGATGTCAGAGCTTTAAAACTGAGCTGAGGCTTTCGAATAAAATAAATAAAATAATACTAATATTATAGATTATAATGGGTCCAAGATGTAAAACACAATGAAGTAAATACACCATTTGATTTAATAGAATAATGGTTGATGGTGCAGAAAACTCATTTTATTAAAGATAACGTACTTTCTGTAATTTATTATATATTATTACCGACACATTCTGACGCTATCGGTACATCGACAACAAATATCTGAGCTCCTCGAGGCAAATTAATCCTCAACGAGACGCTAATACGCATCGACCTGAGGGGGACACACACACACACACGCACACACACACACACACACGCACACACACACACACACACACACACACACACACACACACACACACACACACACAGAAAGGATCCTGTTGGTTCTCGACAGGAAGTGAGCCGCTCCGTCTGCAACGAGCAAATGACGTCGGCCTCATCTGGAAAATCCACTTCTTCCTGGATGTTCTTATTTCGTCATCCATATAATCCTACAAACAGCTCGCATTGTGAAATATTGGACCGGTCAAACTAAGCTGCTTACTGATAATCAGCTGATCACAACACGGAGGCTCAGCGTGAAGAACAACAAGTGTTCAAGTCCCCACAGACGGAGACGGAGACCCAGTGAAACATTTTCCCAAATGTCTCTAGGATTAAAAACGTTCCCCTTTGGGCTCAAGTGCCCCTCTGTTTGTCCCACTAATCAGCCCCGTTGCCCCTGAGCCCCTTCAGCTCACCCAGATGCCCCCAGTGGCCCCAGTGGCCCCAGATGCCCCAGATGCCCCGTCAGCGTGCATCTAATACACGTCTCTTCAGATAAAAACAAGGAGAAAGATTCTGATCTGAAACCTGGACAAACAATGACTTCATGGAGGAACGAGGCCCCTGTGGGGGGGGGGGTTCTGTAGGGCAGATGACGAGGGGGGGGTACACTGGTCTAACGAGTGAGCAGAAGGAAGCGAAGTCGCCGCGTTGCCCTGAAACGAAGCCGTGACGACACGAAGCAAATCGAGCGGCGATTCAAACCACGTCTCCCAGACGACGTGAAGGAATAGAACGAGGAGACGTTTAATTGGAGGGTTTCCTGGTTGGGTAAATGTTTAATCACCTGAGTCCTACATTCTCCTCTGTGGAAGAATATTTTATATATATATATTTATAATATATAATATGTGTGTGAGAGCAGCAACGAGCCTCCGTCTCCTGAAGCCGCCTCACATGAAGCAAAGAACCACACGCTGATCGTTGTTAAAATCACCGCACTTTGTTTTCAGGAGACGAAGCGTCGTGAGGAACATCGGAGAGAATAATGACTTGTGTGTGCAGAGGGATGAATACGATTAATAAGACCAGCATTATCACCGATTGGTGGATGGATGCTATGATGTCATCTGGTCATTTATTAAAGAACAATGTCATATTTTGTTTAACATTTGAAATCATTCCATTTCTTCAATACATTGTTGTTAAATAGATGCACACATTTTAAGCTTTATTCTTTCTGGGAATCTTATATTTCAAGATTACATTTTAATTTCATTTTTAATTTTCAAATTGGAGGCTTTCCTGGTTCGGTAAATGTTGAATCAATCATCAATAAATCTTATATTCTCCATTCCGGCTCTGTGTGACTGAGACGTATGACGGGACAGACGGAGACGGACTGTGTGTCCACGTACGTCTTCTTCTGATAATCAGCTGCATCCGACTCGCAGGCTTCAGAGTCCCACCTCTGTTCACATCTGCATCTGACTGGCGGAGGCCTAATATGGTCACAGAGGAGAACCGGAACTGCAGGACTTCCTTCCTCCTCCCCCCCAACATGCCCATGTTAGTGCACGGAAGGTTTTCATCCGCACCACACACGCCATTTGTGGGCTGCTGCTTGAGCATCGAACTCCCGTCTCTCCTCCTCCTCCCCCCCCTCCCCCTCTTCCTCCTCCTCCTCCTCCTCTTCAAAGCAGCTCGAGTAGAGAAATTTTCCTTTCATCTATTTTTAGAAACGTGTGCATAGTTGGCGTGTTCTCGCGGGGCTGCCGGAGCGCAGACACAGTGGCGAAGCCGAGTGGGAAGACACTCGCTCTGCAGCGTCCCTCCTCGTCCCTCCTCGTCCCTCCTCGTCCCTCCTCTGTGCACGCAGGGAGCGGACTGGATGCTGTGCGTCCTGGCGATGAGCACGCCGTGGGCGCTCTGGGATGCTGATGATCACGTACCCCGTTCTGTCCTGGTTACACGGTTTGTGCGGCGCCGGCTCCGGTGCTTCAGTCTGCGGTTACAGCAGTTTGTGTGGGAGAAGAAACCAGCCGGTGCTCCAGCATCTCTCGCACGCGGAGCTCTGGTGCGTCGTGATGACCCGATGAAACACGCGGTTCCTGTTCGGGCAGCGACGCCAGTGAAGAACGTGCCCTCATGAAGCTGTCAAACCCAACCCTCCATCTTCTCCTCACCCTGCTCCGTCACACGGAGTTCCCCGTCCTCTGTGCCGCCAGCGGTAGCTGCTCCGATTTATCACATTAGTGCAGAAAGTTCATTCGGACATTTTCCCCTCAAAACATTTAAATGTGCTGTTTTACTGCACTTCCTCCGACATATTCCTGACTTCAGCTGATGATTTCACAGTAACAAGGGGGAGGATCAGTGAGCGAACGTGTGATTCTTCTGAATCAGCCGTCCATGGACACGTTTGAGTGACTTCACATCAACGTGGAACCAGAAATCCTCCCCCGCTGACCCTGAAACCAGCTGCAGACACGAGCAGCGATGCACCATAAGCAGCGTGATGCGTGCAGACAGAAGACGTGTGAGAGAAGATGAGGAAACAGATGCATGATGGGACATCTGGTTGAGGCGTTTTTGGACCTGAACATCTGTATTAGGTTCTATCATCTCACACTTTGAGAGGAGAACAGTAGTGTTGCGTTTAAGTCGTAAAGCAGCAAGTGGACGTCGGGATCCGTCGTGGAGCTGAAGCTGGATGGAGGAGAACAACGAGCGTCTCGTTATTCAGCATCTGGGTTTGTCGAAGAGACACGAGGAGGAATGAATTGAAAATGACTTGATGAGGCTGGATGGAGAATCCTGAAAGGTCTCCCCATGAATAATGGATGCAGCTTTTATATCCTCTCTCCTGCCTCAGGGATCCCGTTTGCAGCGGCGGGAAAACGCCGACTCAGCACACCGAAGAGCTCAATGACAGGCGGACGGTTCTACCTGTGCTTCAAGCCCCTACAGGTCCGTGGCTAACGAGCAGAACCGCTCACACCTCGATATTAAACATGAGGACGGAGACTCATCGACCCACAGCGGGAAACAACAGCCGTTTATATTTCATCAGGCGTGCGAGGAAACAAGAGGTTAAACTGTGACACACGGGAATCAGTTCTTCTCATTTTAGAATGACGAGCTGTCAGATTATATGAATTGTGGGTAATGAAGCACGAAAGAAGCTCAACATTTCATTAAAACGCCGACTGAGGCTTCGTAATTGAGCTTTATTTGTAAAAAAAAAAAAAAAAGCGTAATGTCGGCGTGCGAGCGTCCGGTTTCATGTCGGCCATCAGCTGTTTTTGCGCCCCCCCCCCCCTCCAGCCCACCAGGGGGGCTACAGCCACTACGAGGACTCACCAAGATCCTTAGAGCCTTGACTTTCGCTGGCCATCTCGCCCATCCGCACCAGAGCGTCGAAGTAGCCCTTTGCAGCATGTGTGACACCTGGAAACATGAAGCATTGGGCGTCAGAGCGGAGGTCGTCTTCGGCTCTGCGACCCCTCCCCTCCCCCCCCCAGAGAGGTGAGGACGGGAAATAAGCAGCGACAGGCGGAAACGGACACCAGCAGGAAGAGAAGAAGCTCTACAGAGACGACTGCAGGAAACAGAGACAGAGACGTCTTCAAGCGACGGCGTTTTGGTGTCCGGCCACGGAGACGAGGACCAACGAATCTCCTTCTTCCTTACAGAGCGAAACGCACCCAGAATCACTGATCACAATAATCAATCATCCACGTTGAGCCTTTGCAGGACTCTGATCTGCAGACTGGAGACACAAACCAGGCGCCGCGGGTCAAAGACCATAAGATTTGACCCGTAGGACAACGATCGTCCGCCACAGTCCTGCAGAGACTGAACCCCACCTGGGCCCCCACCCCGGACCCCCCGGACCCCCGAGCCCCAACAGACAAACACAGGCTCAGTTTCAGAGCTACCTGCCCCCCCCCCCCCCCTCACTCCGGCAGCTCCAGAAGAACAGCGAGCCCGTCCTCGGTGCCCCCGCCTGCACTGATGAAGCGTAATCCCGCTCGGGGAGGCGCAGGGTTATTTTTAGCCTCCTCCATCAGACCGGAGCGAGGCCGCCTCCTTTCTGTTCACAGGAAGGAGACCGCCGACCGCCATCACGGGCCAAGACCACCGGACCGCCGCGTGACGTCGGAGCGTCTCGTGTCAACGCGAGGAGGACGAGGAGGACCGCCGCCTCCTCCCACGTCTCCTCCCTCCTGCTTCTGAATGAGTGTCTCTTCTGAGGAGCGGCCCGTCTTGTCCTGGTTACCGACTCGCTCTCGTTTCCTCGTTCCCGTGGGGGGGGGGGGGGGGGGGGCGCCGCCACTCCCGCGACTCCACCTGCTCCACTTCCCATCGGCTTCTGCTCCGGCCTGTAACCCCCGAGCCACCGCGAACACCTCCACCTGTCCGGCGCCACCAAGCACGGGACAAACAACAGGGGCCATGGACGAGCCGGGAGGACGGAAGACACCACCACAGAGGGACATCGTCCCCGGTGTCTCTGCTGAAGAGGATATAAAAGCAGGACGACTGGACAGACGGGAGGAATGAGAGGAGGACGGAGACGGGGAGGAGGCGGAGGCGGGTGGAGTACTCACTGGTCAGCGCCTTCTCGTAGCTCTTCCCCATCGCGATGAAGTTCCGCAAGCAGGGGTTGAACTGCTCCATGATGGACTGGAAAGGGGGGGGGTGGGGGGGGGGGGGGGGGTAGGTGGTTAGTCAAGTCGAGGAAAAGAAACTGAAATGAGCCACAATGGTGCAGCACCACTATTTAATGGGACACACACACACACACACACACACACACACGAGCCAATCACGAGGAAGAGATTCAGGACGTTTGGGGGAAGCAATGACACTGTGTGTGTGTGGGACGGGGGGGGGGGGACGGTGTCCTCTGACCTCCCCCGCTGTCTGTATTCAAATAACACCTGGTTTTGGCTGCTGACTCACCTGAGCTCAGCATTGCACCTAGACCCGTCCCAGCCCCCCCACCCCCACCCCCCCGGCCCGTCCCGACACTCCGCCTCCCCCACACTGATCCTGCTAATTAATTTCAGCCCAACAAAAGTATAAATAGAACCGACAGCGCCGTCGTATCGCTCAGAACGGCCTGGACCCCCCCCAGGTCCAAAGATGCTGCTGCAGCACAAAACAAGGTCACATCATTCCTCTAGTGGCGGATGGCCAAAGGTCAGGCCTCAGCACGACCTTTGAGTGGTTGCCAGGCAACCAGCACTTAGTTGGCACTTTGTGGGTCACCAGAACTTTACACATTAACCTGCTGGTTCGTTGTCGGGATCCACAGATAAACACTGGTGGCGGTTTCGTGTTCACATGGTGAGAATATCCGGACCTCACGTGTGCGCACTAAACATGCCGGAGACTGCAGGAGATTAGCTTAGCTTAGCTTAGCTTAGCATTAGGACCAAAGGTCCGACCAAAGTTCAAGCTCTCAAAATCTTGTTTCTTCTAACTGGTTACGTGAAGACGCCTGAGACCGACGACGGCAGCAGGACGCAGCACACGGGACCGTTATTATTGATCATGAAATGATTACAGGTTTGCTTCCATCACAGTTCAGTCACAGTCAGCACCTTTCAATCAGCGCCCCCCCCCCCCCGTACCTCCCCCCCGTACCCCCCGTACCCCCCGTTGTGGGATCATTTGGCGGTTCGATCTCGGTCTCAGCTGAGCTGCATGAAGAGTCATTTGATCGAGGGTGGATTAACCGAGCGAACGTCAGCAGGAGCCTTAATCCTCATTAAACTGCCAAACAACACGAGGATTGTACGCCGCAGTGGGGGGGGGGGGGGGGGGGGGGGCGGGAGTCTATCGAGTTTACGGAATCGAGTCACAAGAAGCTTTTTGGGGGAGCAGAAGGAGATGAGGACGAGGACGAGACGTGTCCACCACTTGGAAGAACAATGAGGACGTTTAAGTGAAGACTCGACCTCGATCGGCACACATGTGAACATGTGTGTGTGTGAGGACGGTGGGTGCGTGTGTGTGTGTGTGTGTGTGTGCGTTGTGTGTGCGCGTGTGTGTGTGAGAGTGTGTGTGTGCGGGTGTGTGTGTGTTTGGGTGAGCGCGTGTGTGCGTGCGTGTGTGTGTGTGAGACGTGTGTGTGTGCGTGTGTGTGTGTGTTTGTGTGCGTGCGTGTGTGTGTGTGAGACGTGTGTGTGTGCGTGTGTGTGTGTGTTTGTGTGAGCGCGTGTGTGTGTGTGCGTGTGTGTGAGACGGTGTGAGTCACCTCCTACACCAACAGCAGCTGGTTGGTTCCACGTTGGGCGTAAATGACCCATAAAGGCACCATGAAAACATTAGAAGCTGCGGGTGGAGCAGGTGGAGACATGACCTTTAAAGTGAGTGGAGTAGTGGCTCCATAAGTTATTATCAGTATCCAACCATGAACACCTGGCACCAGGAAGCTTCAGTGGACTTCGAGATGTTTCAGGAGGTTAAAGAAGATGTTGCTCCGTCGTGTTCGTGGCTCCACTTGATTCCACTGAACCGATGAGTCTCGTCTCGCCTTTTTGGGGACGAACGGCCGATGGAGACACCGGACTGCTGTGTGACAGCAGCTCTACAGAGCTCCACCACCTCCACCTCCACCTCCACCTCCCCACACAGGAGTCAACCTGATGACATCACTGAGGAACCCGGCTCCTGTAATCACAGGCAACCGTTTCACAGCTGATAAGCAAAGTTCACCGATTCCACTGGAAGACAAGTGAAGGTCACACACACACACACACACGCACACGCACGCACACACACACACGCACACGCACACACGCACACGCACACACGCACGTACACACACACACACACACACGCACACACGCCGCCCTGAAAAGAGGCCTCAAAGTGCACTGGAGTGTATTTGGCTACCACTCACACGTCAAGGTGACCCGTCACTGTGTGTGTGTGTGTGTGTGTGTGTGTGTGTGTGTGTGTGTGTGTGAGGACATTCCGCTCCACAGACTCACACTCTAAACTAACATTTCTCACCGTGTTCAGCTGTTGTTTAAACACTCATCACTCAAGGGACACACACACACACACACACACACACACACACACACACACACACACACACAGAGCTGAACGGCTCTGATCATAACAGTAACTAGTAACTAATAACTAGTAACTAGTAACTAATAACTTCCTCAATGGTTGAGTGATCAGTGAGTTTGTCTCCTGATAAACGCTCATCATCGCGTGATGTAACAGACACGGAACACACGGAACCCGTGTGACGGTCTGCTGATGTTACATGTGTCATGTGACATGTTCCCTGCAGAGCACTCAGACACGCTCTACGTTCATGAACACGTATCACACATCGTGAGTTAAACAGGACACAAAGGGACATTGCTGAAGACGGTAGCATGTTAATGTGTCAATGTGCTGAGTCTTAGCGTGTATTTTACAGCCGTTTCTCTGTCGAGCCTTTGTGAGAAGAACCAGTCGTGTTGAAACGTCGTTCAGCCCGAACCGGCAAACCCGTTTGTCTCTGTGGCCAAATTAACGGGTCCACCTGGCGGTCCGCTGGAGGCCGCTTCAACGTGTGTCTGTGTGTGTGTGTGTCTGTGTGTGTGTGTCTGTGTGTGTGTGTGTGTGTGTGTGTGTGTGTGTGTGTGTCTGTGTGTGTCTGTGTGTGTCTGTGTCCTTATCAGCGAGCAGAGGCGGCTCCTTCTACTCTGTGGATGCTGCTTTATGAGGAGACGGGAGGGACGAGGTACTTCTGCCACCATGCAGTGACCCCCCCCCAGTGACAGGGCACCCCCCCCCCCCCCCCCCAGTGACAGGGCACCATCTTGATTCCCCTCACGTTGGGCTCTTGCCACAGGATGGGGGGGGGATTCTCCACCATGTGACCCTCCCACTGACGCAGGAGACGAGCTGAGCTCACGCGTCCCCCGCGAGAAGATCCCAAGAGACGACCTGAGCGTGGGACAAGCGGTTGATGAGGCGACGGTGCCTTTAGGTCCCGCCTTCCCTGTCTCCTTCCAGACGTCACTCCATCAAAACACGTGGAGCAGGACGTCCCAGCGTCCAGCGGCCCCTCCGTCACCGTCGCCTGATCAGAGCCCCTCTGCGGCCACTCGTCGGGTCTCTCTGGAGATCCGTCCTGGTACCTTCATCCTCTCCTCCCCCACCTCTGGAGCACAGATGTGCTGAAGGCAGCAGACGGCGTGGTGACGGCTGCTGTGGAGTCCTGAACAATGGACGGACGGTCTCCTGGATGTCGGTTAAGAACGAGTCGCTAACAGCAAACGCTCCTTTCCATTAAACACGAGACGTCTTAATGGCGAGAAAAATAAACCCAACTGGCCCAACATTCACATCCGGCTCGAGGGATTCTAATAGAACTATAGAAACCAGGTCCCAAACCAGTTCTATAGTCCTATTAGAACTATAGAAACCAGGTCCCAAACCAGTTCTATAGTCCTAATAGAACCATAGAACTATAGAAACCAGGTCCCAAACCAGTTCTATAGTCCTAATAGAACCATAGAACTATAGAAACCAGGTCCCAAACCAGTTCTATAGTCCTAATAGAACCATAGAACTATAGAAACCAGGTCCCAAACCAGTTCTATAGTCCTAATAGAACCATAGAACTATAGAAACCAGGTCCCAAATCAGTTCTATAGTCCTATTAGAACTATAGAAACCAGGTCCCAAACCAGTTCTATAGTTCTAATAGAACCAAAGCAGCGGAGGTCCTCATACGAAGTGAATGAGGCTGAAAAGTGACGCTGACTGGACTCGCTGGTTAAAAGATGCTCGTCAGGGGAACGCGAGCCGATCTGTGTCACTCACGACCCCCCACGGGGAGAAAACAGAACCCCTCCCTTCAGAACCACGGCTCTGCTGCCGTGTGGAGGACTTACTACGGTACCTACGGAGGGCGGAGGAGAGCAGATCGATGGTGAACGTCCACAGCGCCGCCATTACTGCCCCAAACACGCCGCACGGCACCAAGCCGACGGCGTGCGGAGACGCACGAGGGTTCTGGACATCAAAGTGGGACGTTCTCCTGATCTTAAAGCTGCATTGCAGTGAAATTATGGAAATTCCTGAATGTTGTAGATGTAATTTTTCTCTTTTAACCAATTTCTGAAAAAACAAGCGTAAAAAAGAAAAGTGACGAGAGCCTCGATGAGTCTGACTAACAGGCCCCACACACACACACACACACACACACACACACACACACACACACACACACACACACACACACACACACACACACACCACACACACACACACACACACACACACACACACACACACACACACACACACACAGTCGTGAGACACTGCCCACACACGCAGCGCCGGTGTGAGTCACCCAAACAGGACACGGAGCGGCGAGCAGGAGCCTTTGTGTGGTTGAGTTATTGTCTTCTGGCCGCTCGGAGGGGAACCGACCAATGAAACGTCGGCTTGCTGATGGTGGAGGGAAAGGTCGGCCCCCCGCTGTGTAAACAGCCCCCCATATTAAATCGCTCTCTTCCCGGCTTCAAACCGACTGCAGCCGCATTTTATATTTTTTCAAATATAAAATCTGGATGCACCTCGGACGGTACAGACGCCGCCCACACGTCCTACCAGAGGAAGCAGGACGCCGCCGTGTGTTTCTAGCGTTCTGTGATCGGTGGTCCTCAGCCGACATGAGGGTCGTCTAATGGGATGTGGCCCCTCGGGGCCCCTTCGCCCCCCCACAAGCATTTAATGAATTAATAAAGACTCGTGAGCTACCAGCACAACCGGCCGGGACGGGACGGGGGGTCTCCTACCGTCCCCCCTACCGATGACAGGAAGAAACCCCACCGCTGCACCTGCTCACTCCACCCTGCCGGCCTTTTGCTGAGGCGGAGCAACTAATGGTGACGCTTCTCTACAGAGTCGTCCCACCCGAGTCGTCCCACCCGAGTCGTCCCACCCGAGTCGTCCCATCCGAGTCGTCCCACCGCGTCTCCTCGTGGTTTGTTACGGCGCAGAACTCCGTGGTTCTTTATGATGATTTACAGCAGATCGTCACGCAGGAGAGCAGGAACACGATGTGCTCGTCTGCACTTTGTAGCAGGAACGTGGACAAACGGATCATACGCCCCCCCACCCCCCCAAGTTACTGCCCTCTCTCCTCCACCCTCTGAGTCACGTCATCCATCACACCAGCACTGAACAACAGAACCACAAGCAGCTGGCAGCATCTGCCCCCCATAGGAAGACCCCCGTCAGGACCCCCAGCCTCCATGAATGAATGATGCCAGCGTCTCCTGAGCGGAGCAACGTGAACTCTTCTGCCCGGGACGGATTAGATGTACACGACTCACCGTAGAGCTAAACAACAAACAACAACAACAACAACAACAACAAGGGAACCAGAGACAGCTGGTTTGAATGGGTTCAAACGTGAGATCTAATCATCTAATCTAAGTCCTCACGTCTTAGAGACCCAGATGTCTCCGTTTGTCTTCACACCGGGACACGAGGTCCTGAACCGAGTCAAAGTGGACCGGGGACCAGGTGGGGGGTCCGTCTTACCTTGTAGACATTCTCCGTGATGCGGTGGACCTCGTCGGTGCGGGACATCCTCGCTGGTGGGGTCGCTTCAGAGTCCGGGACTGAGCTTCTCCTCTCGGGGGGTGTACCGACACCGTGACGGGGGGACGCTGCTGCTCGCGGGGACTCGCGGGGACTCGCGGCTCTGTGTCTGCCGGGGACGGAGAGACCGCGGGATCCCTGCTTTTATAGGAAAGTCCTCCGCCGCCCCCCCGCGCAGGTCCGCGCCCCCAGGTTGGAGCGCAGAGGCGGACTCACTCGGAGAGGGGGCGGTGCTGCCTTCACGGGCGGTGGGAAATTAGGCACCCTGGTCTTGGGACGTGTTTAAGGTAAAGTTGTGAGTTAAGGAGGAACCAAGCGGAGCAACGAGGTTTACTCCTGGAGGACAAGTTGAGATCCTCGGAAGGACCAATCGGCTCCATGAACGCCTCATTGCTCTGACACGTGACTCCTCGGGCAGTAGCCCCTCGGCCCCTCATTGGTCACTGCTGTCTGTAGGTTACATGAACAATGCTGCTAATTGGAATGTCGCCTTTTCTCATTTCGTTGCCATAAATAATGTATCGTCATTTATTGAATTATTTATTCTCTCTGCTTCTCCAACATGATTCACTCCAACTGACACTGAACAAAAACATTGGCGAGTGCGACGTGGAATTAACGGTGAGTCCGTGAACGCAGCATCGCATTAAAAGTGAGGGAGTGACGCTGTGCTGCATCCAGAGCACTGAGTGCCCCCCCCTCCCCTCCACAGACCCCCCCCCCCACACAGAGAGCCCCCCCCACAGAGCTATGAAGGAACTCCCCCACGGTCACGTGACTTCACATCTCACTCTCACATACCAATAAGCTAAAAGACATCTGAGGACATTTAGTCTCTTATTTCTTCACCGGACTGGTCACGTGACAGGAGAGACTCGCTGTGAATAAACAAACACTCGTCATGTGACCTGGAGTTTACATTAGATCAAATAAAGAGATTTTTCTTCTGTATATTCGGTAGTTTGGTATCGGTGTGGGCAGTGTGCGCGCGCACACACGCACACGCACGCACACACACGCAGCCTCTCGCCTTCGTGACCATCCTGCCCACCGTCGTCCTCTCAGCCAATCCACGCCTCCCGCCAGTGATTCATGGCTCCTGTAGGCGCCGCCCACTCCCACACGGCACCCATGGGTGCTCCGGTCGACACAGCAATGGAACGTCGACAGTGGAAACGTAGCATGGTAACATTAAACTGCTTTTATTTTGAAAAGTAGAACTATTTATTCGTCAGGAGGAATCAGGAAACATTTAGGTCACATGTGACACATCTTAGTCTAAATGAGTAAAGGTATGTGGACCCTCTCAGTGGGGGTCCTGGTCACCTCGAAGGGACGGACGGTGTCTTTGTTGACTAATTCTCCACATTCGATTATTTTGGTGCTGCAGGCTGTAAAGTCCTCATGAACGTGACGCTGAACGGACGCAGCGAGGAGGTGGAGGCTTCACGGAGCGGCCTCAGTGCACGAGGAACGCTCCACTTCCTGCTTCTCTTTAACGCCGTATAGTAGAAAATATTAACACACGTTAGGCAGCGTGAGAAGTCTGGAAACAAAGACTTTTATTGTGAAAAGGCTGTAGTGTTTTAGGGCGGTGAGATGAAACCTCGTCAGCAGATTAACGGATTTACAGATTAGTAAATTAAACCGAGCTTAAGCTCTGTGAATGGAGGCAACTTTAACGAGGTCTGTAGCAGCGATGGAACAATCAGGTCTCTGATCGGACGGCGCCCGCTGGTTGTGTCCCGTCAACATGCTCACGCTGCATTCTGACCCACAATCCTTTGCACAGAAGGGGGGGGGGGGTGTAGCGCATCCCGACGGCACACTTTCACTTGTCTTGATGTCACTAGCTAACCAATAACTTTTTTTGGTTATTTAACTGAACCAGTTGGTTTAAAGTTTAACATTATTATTCAGTTTAAATCAGGTCAGTGTTTTCTTTTCAAAGTTTATTGTTAACTGTTTTGACCAACAGGTCACGTGATCCACAGAGCAGATATGAAGCATAAAGACAAAACCAAACACTTTTCAGATCTTTGCAGTGTGTTTCTCGGGTGGAGAGTAGTCCTGATACAAAGGTCCGCACAATGAAGACATACTGCTGCTGAATTAAAAAAATAATTACATTTCACTTCGCTGAGCATCACAAATAAAAAGGCGCTCTCCGTCGTGTCGAGGAGGAACCTCCAGGAACCAGTAGAAGCAGGACTCACAGGTGAGTTTAGGTGGAGCACTAATGAATCAAAGGTCGTCTGAGCTCACAGGTGGCCGTGGTTTCTCCAGAGGACGCTCCACGCGTCCACCTGCAGCAGCCCAGGTGACGGAGGAAGCTCGGCGTCTGAGAGGCGAGACGCCTCCAGCGGTCGACGGTAGATGAGGGACAGCTGGAGAAGATCCATCAGGTCGGCTGACGGAGGACAGTCGCGTTCTTTAGGCAGCGAGCATCTCTCGCTCCGGCTTCTTCCTGGATCGATCCCTCTCTGAGACGGAGACGCATTGACAGACAAAAGGATTATTTATATGTGCGAGTAGCTGGACGTGACCAGGACAGGAAACGGGCGAGAGGACGGACCTGGTTTGTTCTCGGCGGCCTCGGGGACGTTTGGAAGCTCGTCTTCTGGAACCTCGGGAAGCTCGACGTCTCCCTGGGGGAGAAAGCAGAGACAAGGCGTGATGCAGCACGAGGACGCTGAGCGTTGGCGTGCACAGCGGCGTGCTGATGAGACCCACCTGAGTTATGGCCTCCAGCTCAGCGAGAACCGCGTCTTCGTCCTCTTGGGTCAAAGACCCCGCCAGCATGTCGTCGATTTGCTGCAGAAACAAGGAGCTCTCAGTGAACAACGGGCAGCTTCATGTGGATCAAAGGGGGAGGGGTGGGGGGGCAGGGGGACGTACCCGTTGATACTCGATGGCGTCCTGGGTTTCGTCCATAATCCTTTCCACTTCTTCAACGGACATCACCTGAAAGAAGCACATGAGTCAGCTCATGTCACAGGTGTCGGCTCATCGGGACGCTCACGCTAAGACGCCGCCCACCTCGTGCATCTTCTTCAGACACTCGTTTCCGACTTTCAGGCCTTGGATGACTTTGGTTTCGATCTGGGCGAACTCCAGGTCCTGGACCTGCAGAACCAAGAGGAAGAGACTGCGTGAGCTTCAGCTCGGGGCGGCGGCGCCCCCCCCTCAGTCGGTCCCGTCCTCACCATGCGCTCCAGGTTCCCGATCTGGTTCTCCGTCTTGTCCAGAAGTTGATCCTGGTAGCGCTTCTTCTTCAGCAGCAGCAGCGCTTTACTGTTGAAGTGGAGTTAGAATCCGGTTACACAGAATCAAACCTTCACATAACTCATCCGACTATTTGATTATCTTAGAAATCGAGGTGATGATCCTGGGTGTTTATTTCTCTGGACGTGGCTGAAAGTCGCTCACTCTTTCCTTCCATCCTGCAGCAGCTGCTTTGCTAGAAGTCTCTCCTTCTGCAGCTGCAGGCCGATCCTCTTCTGGTACTGTCTCAGCTTGTCTCTCTGCTGCTTCAGTTGCTGCAGAGAGAACAAACGGACCCGAGATCAGCGGATTCATCACGTCACACTGAAGCTCTTCTGCGGCAACGTGCAGATCCAATTCACGCGTTCACATCCAGCGAAGCACCGACACGCCAGTTGGATGAAAACGGCACTAAAGTAGCCGAACAACAGAAGTATTTAACGGTCTGTCGGAGAATCAGAGATCAATCCACAAATCAAAGACGACGCTTAGTGAACTTATTTACATTCTCGACGACGTGAGTGTGACGTCAACAGCGTCAGAACGACAACGCGGAGCTGCATAAACTTCGCGTGTACGATTATTAATCCCCGATGTGCTCAAATCAGCGTTCTTTTTACAGGCTGTCCGGCGGTCGGCTGATGTTAGCCGGTGCTAGCCTGCACTAGCCGATGGTAGCCTGCACTAGCCTGCACTAGCCGATGTTAGCCAGCACTAGCCAGCCCTAGCCGATGCTAGCCAGCACTAGCCAGCCCTAGCCGATGCTAGCCTACACTAGCCGGTGCTAGCCTGCACTAGCCGATGCTAGCCTGCACTAGCCTGCACTAGCCGATGCTAGCCTACACTGGCCGATGCTAGCCAGCACTAGCCGGTGCTAGCCTGCACTGGTCGGTGCTAGCCAGCACTGGCCGATGCTAGCCAGCACTAGCCGGTGCTAGCCTGCACTAGCCGGTGCTAGCTAGCTGTGACACTTACCAGAACCGCCTTGTCTTGTTCCGTCACTCGGCTCTGTTTCTTTTTCCCAAACAGATTCCCCATCCTGACGCAGCATCCCCGCCACGACTCGCGGGCCGGAGAATAAGCGCGCTGAGCCGGTTTATAACAGTTTGTCTCGTGCCACTTGTAGAGGGAGGACTACTGTGGCTTCTCCTCCATTAGGTGTGTAGTCATCTGGCGTCCACACCCACAGCCGGAAGGACGGCGTCCGGCGAGGGACAACTGGAGACATCGCGAAATACCTTTAAAGGGGGGAAGCGCAATGAATTACGCGTTTCGCGCCGTTAAAAACAAAGTGTGGTTCGTTAGAATAGTAAACACGTTGTTTAGCATCACGTGTTTGGCTCCCCCGGTGGTCACGGGCGGAAGTGAGTACTTTAGTCACATTTGTTGTGGTCATTAAATACAACCGTGGATCTGATTCAAGAGAAACACGTAACCTGATAATAACGGCGCAGGTCCACAGGCGGCAGCGTGAGGGCGCCAAACGCGCACAGCTGTCATCTATATATGGGACTTCCGGTAAAGATCTTCAAACTAAAACCCTCTTTGAACTCTTAAGGTTTTGAATGCATGACTTTTAAACAAGTCTTATTTTCTCTTCCAGCTGTTTTTCACATGAAAATGTCTTCATTACATTTTTCTGCACCCGTTAAATTTGGTTCAAATATTTAAATGACGATGGAGCTGCGACTGTTGATCTGTTATTTGCTTCTATTACCAGGACCGCTGACTCCATTAAAAACCAACAAGAGCAATACTTGGGATTAACATTTATTTGTAAAGAGTTAGAGTCCATCCAGACATGGGGTGATATAGCAGGGAGAATATGACACATAGTCTTAAAAAATAAAATCAGTGCACAGACCATTTTACAAATATTGCATAATATAAACAAATGTAAAATTTCCCAGAAAATAGTGCAACTTTTACCACCACCAGGAGAACTAAATGAAACCCTCCCCACTTCCCACAGAGGCCCGTTTGGTTTGAATGTGGAATAAGAGTTACTGAAACCCAACTTAAACCTGAAGCAGAGAACATAAGTGAACAAAACACGTTTGCTTTTATGAACCAAAAACATAAAATAGGAAGTAAAAGTAGTGTGGAGGTCACGTCCAAACCTGCACGACACATTTTAGTTTGGAACAAGGCTACAAGAAGAGAAAAAATCAAGTTCTCACATAATTTTCAGAAGGTTTCTATCCTTGTCCTCATCTCACCTCATCTCCCCGTCGGGAAATCAAATCGGCTTCAAAGAGAAGCAGATATTTCATAACACGAAAACAACACAATATCAATGGAGGTTACCATCATTTATTCAAATACGCTTCTAGAATTCATATCAAAATCCTCTTTAAAATAAACCTTGTGCTTCATGGCTGCCATATAAAAAGTGAAACACATGACATTCTGTCCTCTGGAGGTGGACAAAACGAACACACCCCGTAGTGTAATTAAAACCAGAAGAAAACTCAAACCAACAAATCCTGTAACTCTCTTGACTTCCCTTTAATCGCTTATCCGCTCACCTGAATGTCATGAAAACAATTACAATTATTGATTTTCTGATCAATATTGCACCAACAGAGACAATGCAGATATGTGCAGCTACCGCTGCAGGATAAACACAACACACACAACACGCACACACTTTACAGGTTAGATAGAGTCAACAAAACACAGCTGCGTGATTAAAAGTGGCAGCAAAGTGAAACAGTTAAACCCCCCCGGAGGCCCGAACGTACATTCAAAAGGTGTCCACAGCCGGGGCCACTTCTCCTGGAGGGTCAGAGGTCACCGGTCCCGGCTAACGTGCTGCGTGTACCGGTTGTGCACGCTGCTCCACCACGAGCACAAAGACACAAAGATGCACTCAGTCCTGGAGGGCGTGCGAGTAGAGACGTGCATGCTGGTGTTAAAGGAAGGTCTAAAGACTCAGAGCGCTTCCCGCCGCACACACACACACACACACACACACAATAAATGACTATGACTATTAGTGCACATGCTACTGTAGACTGAAGACTCGCCTCCAGGTGAGGCAGGTGTGTGAGTGAGAGGAGCTGCTTCGGTACGCTGGAGGATATATCGCAGCTCTGGTAAAAAACAACAACCCAACGGAGGAGGAACACACGTCCTGTTCCCCGCTGAGGAGGACGGAGAGGATGTTGCCCTTTCACGGACTTCCTGTGAAGATTAGGAAAATAAAAGGAGTACGTGTCAGAGGCCACTTGGTCGACGCGATGCCGGCGCCACGGAGCACCAACGGGGTTAACGACACCCCGAAAAAACACAGCGAGGCCCCTCCCCCCCACGCGCATAAAAAGGGCGGCGGCTCAGGGTGAAGCGGGCGCCGGGCCCCCCCCCCCCGGTGCTCGAGGGCCGGTCCGCTGCCAGCCTGCTCCTCCTCTCGGTGGAGTTCAAAGCTGGTGCACCACGCTGTCCGTGTGGGGGGCGGAGGCGTCCGGGCGCAGCCGCTGCCACTGGAAGGTGGTGCTGAGGGAGCCCACCTCGTCCTCCTCGTTCTCCTGCTCCTTGGCGAACTCCATGAACACCTGCAGGACAAAGAGGAGGGGATCTAACACAAAGGAGTCATTAGAACACGTGCACCGGCGAGCTCCTTCAGCGCGTACCTGCTCCAAGGTGGACTGGGAGAAGTTGAACTCCTCAAAGTTGAAGGTTTGCTTGGCTGAAACGGAACAGAGATAAAGATGAAGGCCTCCAGCAGTGAGGTCGTGTGTGTAGGAGCGACTCAGCAGTGACTCACCTCTCTCTAGCTGAGAGAAAGACTTGGACAGGGACTTCACGTCCCCCATGGGGATCTTGTAAACCATCAGAGTAGCAAAGCTGAAAAGAAAGCACCAGGAGTTAAGCCTCCACACGCAGCAACTATGAACAACGTCTAGTTTGTGCTTTTATTTTGAAGGCTACATTTGTGCTTCCACAGAACTAAACAAGAACAGTCGAATGTTCTTGTGCACGAGTACAGTTTGTGTGTTGCCCTCCTCCACACACTCCTCGGGCCTCACCTCTCTTGCCGGGCGGCGTGCGGAAAGATGCGGAGGATCTCTTTGTGCAGAAGCGCCACCTGCTGGAGCCCCATCAGCTCCTCCCGCAGCTTCACCTCCAGGCTGTAGCCCCGCCCGTATTTCCCCTTCAGATGTTGGATGGAGCCGATACACCTGACGGAGGAAGAGGCGCAGCGTTAGAGCAGGTGCCCGACCTCCGAGAGCGAGGACGCTACGCGGCGGGAAGGGAGCGCTCGCCTCAGCTCGCCGGACACCAAGATGGCCACGCGGTCGCACACGGCCTCCGCCTCCTCCATGTAGTGCGTGGTGAGCACGGCCCCCCGCTGGCGGTTCTTGAAGGCAGCGCGAATGGCTCTCCTGCAGGGAGGAGGTACGAGGTTGCACCGGAGGAACACATGAAGGGAACAGGATCTGTGAGCACGGCGCTCGTGGTCTCACCACATGCGCTGCTTGGACTTGGGGTCCATCCCTGAAGACGGCTCATCCAGTAAGACCACCTGAGGGTTCCCGATCATACTCAACGCGAAGCACAGCTGCAAACAGAGCAGACCGCGTGACTCGGGCGGCCCCGCCTCTCGGCGCAGGTCGCTCGCTGTGGTGGGCGGGTCCTCACCTTCCTCTTGATGCCCGCTGACAGGGTCTTGGCTTGTTTGTTCAGGTGGTCCTTGAGCTCCAGAGCGTCCACCACCCTGCGGAAAGGTAAGACCGTTTAGTCGGTGGTCCCGGTCCTCTACGTGTCCTCCTGGTGTCTCACCGTCTGATGATATCCGGCACGTCCTGTCCCCTCAGGCCCTTGATGGCGGCGTAGACCTCCAGGTGCTCCTGCAGAGTGATGCGGGGCCACAGAGGGTTCACCTGGGGACAGTAGCCCACGTGCTCCAGAGGACTGTCCACGGGACGGAACTCAGTGCTGTAGTCCCCCATGAGGACCTGGAGGAAGACACAAGGAAGCGTAAACGTCAGTGGACGGGGGGGGGGTCTGATTACTGTTTAACTATAGTGGAACCATCGTTTTCAGGACTTGTGTCTTTAAGTTGCGGTAGACTTCTTATTGGACAAATGTCTACATGAGCTGAAGGTCTGCGGATACCTGTCCTGCTGTGGGCTCCGTGTCCCCTGACAACATCTGCATGATGGTGCTCTTTCCTGCTCCGTTGGGCCCCAACAGTCCGAGAACTTCACCTGAGGTCAGAAGCAGCATTTGGATGGAAGTCCACAGCGCTCGGGGACATTTAAAGAAGGAGGAAACCGACCTTTGCGGACACAGAAAGAGACGTTCTTAGCCGCCACTTTCCTGGTCTTGTTGAGGGAGAAACCTTCTCTTCTGCCTTTGTACTGCTTCCTCAGGTTGCTCACGACCACCGCTGGTTTCTGGTGTCACACACACACAAGTTCCCCTTTGAACCACGAATAAAGACACACTCACACTCCACTGCCGGTCTCGAGTACACCAGAAGGAGTTGAGATCTTTACCCACCTCCTCACAGGACTGGCAGGTGAGAGCCTCCTTAACTCTGGCCTTCTCCATCCGAACGTCCTCGTCCTCTCCCAGTCCTTCTTCTGGGCTCTTCTCCACTTTGGGCTTTGACTTGGCCGACATGCTGGACGAACAATAACCGCCATCGTTATCACAGGAGTCTCATCTCAGACCAACGAGCTTCCCTCTTTGTTTGAGATGAATGATTGAGGCCGAGGGTCCTCTGGAGGATCACTACCTTCCGATGGTCCTCCCTCCGTAACGGATCTCAAGCCACCGAAGCAGGAAGAGCAGCAGGATGCACTGGAGGTACGGCTGAACACAGACACGCGTGCAGGTTACGGCCAGGACCTGCTGAGCGAGACCATCTGGAGCACGGCGATGAGATACATACCGCCAGAACAGCAATGACCAGGTTTTTCCACAGGAAGTCCTCCTCGTAGAGAGAGGGCAGGAAGGTCGCCTGCAGACGGGAAACACACATCAGTGACACGCCGCCGGTCCGAGGAGGAGCTTTGGACCTTTACGTGTGCAGGTGACAGCTCCTCCTCCCGTCAGCGCATTAATACAGCCGATGGAGTGACGGAGAAACAACGTTCTTCTGCGGCCGACCCGTGGGGCTCCCCAGCGGCTCGGCTCCTACCTTGGTGATGCAGTTCAGGCAGCCCATCAGCGGATACAGAGGGTTCAAGAAACACAGGACGTTGTGCAGGTTTCTGCTCAGTCCGGGGTTGTCGTTCACAAACAACAACTGGACCAGCGAGGCCGACACCACGCACACCTGAGGAGCCGAGACAAGACGCCCCCCCCCTCCCGTCATTCATGTCCTTTAAGGGAGGGGCCACAGCTGTGTGCAACATGTGCCTCACCATCATGGAGATGACGGAGAAGAAATCCCTGTTGCTCTGCACTCGAGCGAAGCCAAACGAAAACACGTAGGTGAAGAGAATCACGGCCGGGCCGAAGCCGACGGTGCACAGGACCTGTGGGGGGGGAGAGCGGGGGGCATGAAAGCGGCTCCAGGGGCGGCTTTTGCTCTTCAGCAGGGATTCACACTACGGACCACAGAGGTGAGGTTGCTGGAGGTGAGCAGGCTTCCGGTGTGGAAGGAGAAGAGGACGATGGTCATGCAGGACAGGATGAGGTAGTAGAAGGGGACGTCCACCGCCGCCTGGCCGCACCAGTAGGCCGACGGAAGCAGACCCGAGATACGAAGGGTGGAGCGACACTTGATCTGAAAAGGGGAAACAAATAGACGTCGACGCATCTTCTACACAGATGTTGATCCATTGAAGCTCACAAATAGATACATTACAGGTTCAATGTGTATCTATCGTCTTTGTGTCTGACCTCTCGGTCTCGAGTGTGGTCCATTGCAAAATACGCCGGCATTCCAGCAGCCAGCATCCCCAGTATGATGGCCTCGATGTACACCAGCGCGTAGGACGTAGCGTCGGGGATTTGCTGAGGGGCGTCACGGGGAAAACCTTGGTTAAGTGACTGAGGCGAACTGGATTCATGAGACCCGCGTCGTCCCCGCCACTCACATAATCAAAGGGTTTGGTCCAGGTTCGGATCCGCCCGGTGCCGTTCAGGCCCCTCAGGAGAGCGTTGCTCAGCACGTTGACAGCCATCGGCAGCGAGTGGACCGGGGTGCTGTTGAACGCAACGCTGTATTTGAATCCCTGTTGAGAGAAAAGACGGCGGTGAGCCGAGTGGCCCCTCAGAAGCTCTTCATCACATCTTCATATGGAACATGTCCAGTAATAAAGTGACCTTGCTGGATCCGGTCACGTTGATGGCGGCGCTGTGGGGGGCGGCGGCCATGTAGTCGCTGTGCTTCATCAGCTCTACTTTGATGTCCTGAGACTGCAGGTTGTGAATGAAGTCGGAAATATCCGATTCTGTAGAAACAAGGAGGACGGCCAAATGGAGAGAGAGCAGAAGGACCATCGAGAGGGTCGACGTCAGCCACGGCGGCCAGAATTGACCTTGTACAGTATCACATCACAGCATTTACAGAAAGAAGATCGAAGCCTCGTTGACCAATCAGAAGAGAGCCTGAACCCATCGGATCAAAAGTGTCTGGCAGACTCACCTGAGGAGTTCTGCACCAGGAGGCTGGTGGCGTATCTCCGCTGCACCTGGTTGCTTTTGAGGAGGTAAGTGGGCAGAAACTGTCGTTCGGGGGATTGAATCTGGATGTTTCCGGAGACCAGCGAGAGGACCAGCACGGCGGAGACAAACACCAGGAACAGGGACAGGCTGCAGGAGAAGGGGGCGTATTCTGTGTTTGGCTTTGAAGACACAAGGGGGCCGGCGACCTGCAGCGGAGCCACTCACGTGTAGATGAAGGCCTTCCGCTCCCTGTGCATGTTGAGCATGTGCAGCCAGGCCACGGCGCTGAACTGCTGGCGCCACAGCGCGTGACCCGACACCACGTCCGACTTGCTGTCCGAGAACGCCAGCAGCCGCTGGTCCTGGTCGTCCACGGCGGCGCCGTCGCTTTCCTCCTCCGCCGGCTCCCGGTTGAAGACGCTGTAGTCTGCAGACGAGCGGGCGGACAAGCGATCAGCCGGCACGGCCTTTCAGAGCCGGTGGAAGAAGAACGACACTCACCGGCTTGGTCCACTTCAGCCTCCGCCTCCAGGCGGAGAAAAACATCCTCCAGCGTCGTCATGGAAACGCCGTAGTTGATAATTCCCAGGTCGGGTTGACGTTCAAGCTCTGAGAACAAACCTACGGAGAAGAAAAGGCTGCCGAGTCACGGACGACTGGATGAGGTTTTTATTGGTAAATGTACAAATAACCTGAAAGGGACGCAAAACATATTTAAGACACCTAAAAAGAATCAGTGTTTAGAACGTATTTCAGAATGATGTGGGTCCTTTCTGACAGCGAGCGGAGCCGGTATCTTATTTCCCCTCACAGGGCCCCACATGTTAGTTTCACTCTGATAATATGAGCCACCGGACCTGAAAACGTGTCCATGCTCTCAAAAGGCAGCGTGAACGTGAGCTCGGCTTCGTGCGCTCGGGACAACGTCGCCTTGGGAACATGCTGGGTGACCAGAGAACAGATGTTCTCAGCTCCACATCCCTGATTGGTCGACATTCTGCGTGGGACAAACAGAAAACGCCTTTTACATGACTTATACACACACACATCTGCTAGGATCTACAACATTTCTCAGGTCAGAGGTCACTGATGGGATCTTCTTGCCTGAGATGATATCCAACGGCACACTTGACCTTGAGGTACATTGAAGAGCCGACACATCTCAGCATTCCTTGAGAGATCACAGCTTTGCGATCTGCAGAAGACAGTTTGAGCTCAGATGTGAATGAGAACAATGTGAAGAGTGAGGAAGGTGCACGTAGTACAAATACAAAAAACCTTTGTAGTAACAAAAGGACGCGGCGGCTTTAAAGAAGCACTTCTTCACTAGAAAATAATCCACTCGCGGCTTCCTGAATCCGTGCGTGTTCCTACCGGCCAGGATGTCCGCCTCGTCCATGTAGTGCGTGCTGAGCACGATGACTCGGCCGGCTCTGCGGCTCTTCAGCAGCGCCCACACCTGGTGCCTGGAGCAGGGGTCCATGCCCGCCGTGGGCTCGTCCAACAGGAGGATCTGCCGGGGACGGAACGCGGCACAAACTGCTCAGGATGACGAGATCGGACACAAGGACTCACCAAAGGATCACTGGGAAAAGGACTTTCTGCGCGTACCTTCGGGTCCCCGAGGATGGCGATGCCCACGGAGAGTTTCCTCTTTTGGCCTCCGCTCAGATTTTTGGCCTGAGCAGACTTGATCTTCTCCAAGTCCAGGTCCTTCAGCACTTTGCTCACCTATAAAAGACAAATCCAGCTGGTCGTCCTCGTGCTACCTCGGGTACCAACTAACACTGCATCTAAATATCTTCAGACTAAACAGTCGGAGGCAGATCTGTCAGACGGAGACGTCACCTCGGCGTCGATGTCCGAGGGGAGGATCCCTTTGACGGCTGCAAATATCCTGAGGTGCTCCTCCACAGTGAGCACGTCAAAGATGATGTTGAACTGGGGACAAATCCCCACCAGCTGCTTCATGTCCGAGCCGTCCGCCATCTCCGCCACGGGGGAGCCGTAGATGGTGGCCGAGCCGCCACTGGGGGTGCAGATGCCACACAGGATGTTCATGAGAGTGGACTTTCCAGCCCCGCTGTGCCCCAGCAGGGCCGTGATCTGGCCCTCGTAGATGTCAAAGGTCAAACCTGGGACAGGGTCGTAAAGGAAGAGAAACAAAAGGGCTTCATTTGTTGACTGATTGATACCGTGACAACAACAGCTGTTAATGAGACGCCCAAGAAGGTGTCACCTCTCAGAGCCTCCACCACGTTGTCCTTCTCCTTGTACACTTTCTGGATGTTGTTGATTCTGCCGGAGGACGAGCAAAGAAATACAAGAATGTGTCAGAACGAAGGGCAGCGCTCAGGTCTCCGTCTGGTCCCCTCAGTGGGCCGACAACAGAACCGCACTTCAACAATTCAACGGCCTGAGATCCAGATTCGAGTGCAGATCTTTACCGGATGGCTTCTTTTCCTCTGAACTCGGCGGAAACCGGCTCCACCGACTCGTCGCCGTCAGGCGCTCCTTTCGCCTCCGCGTCGTACACGGAGCTCACTTCAACGTAGTGCTTTCTACGTTTGGACCAATAGGATGGCTTCAGGAAGTACACCAAGGACCTCTGCTTCCTGAACTCGCCTGCATTTCAGACAAAACGGGAGTCTTAATTATCCCGAGACAAGGCGAAGATGATAACATTGAAGTGATCCCACGTGGAAACTAATTAAAGTAATATTATCAAAGCAGATGGATTAAGTTGCGCGTGCATGCGTGAACTTACCGGGCAGCACCTGGTCCAGGTAGACAGCCAGCAGCAGGTAGAGGACGCAGTCCAGCACCAGCATGAGCAGGGGCACGTAAAGAGGATGAGGACCGCTGGCCAGCGAGGAGAACACAGCACCGTCTCCCTGGGCCTCCAGGTACACCACCTGACGGAGCAATAGTTTGATTTCACCAACTGCAACTGCATGACTCCTCGTGGATTATCGCTTTCATTTAGATGCAAAGATCTGATGCTAATGTCTCAGGACTCGATAATATGGTGAAGGCAAAGCATCATGGGAACAAGCCAGTCCTAAACTACATTACGAGGCACATACAGGGAGGGGAGCAGGTGTAGGCAGTGGGTCACCTGGGCGATCCCGACGGAGAAGGCAGTGGGGGAGAGAAGGCAGAGAAGCCAGACCAGCGGCTGTGGGAAGTCCTTCATCAGCACGGTGAACAGGGACAGGCAGCCGAACACCACCGTCAGCATGGAGCCCACCGTGCTGGCAAACTTGGGCTTCTTAAATAACGGCGTCAGCATGAAGGAGAAAAAGATCTGTGGAGCAAGAGGAGAGAGAGGATCTATCTTTTGTTCTGAAATGAGAGCAGCGTTAAGCCCAATAGCAAACTGTTATAGCAACTGTTCCTATTTATTCTCTCCTGCTTGTTGCACACAACGAGAGGCGAGTTCCATTAAGGTTCATTTTGAAAAAAGATCCAAAAGAATCACTTTGTTGTATTTGGGGATTTTGAAGGTACAGAAATCTGAAAAGTACACGTAGAAACCGGGGGAAACCGTTTGGAGGCCGTTAGACTCAATGAAACGTCTCCCCGTCTCCTCTCTACTCACCGATGATATTCCATAGAGGAAGATGAGGAAGAAGACCACTAGGAAGTCACTGTTGGGGAACAGGGCTGTGTATGTAGCGATGATGGCCATCAGGAAGGACATGGCGGTGACCAGAGCCGCATACAGGAGGCCCCATGACAACCTGTGGGGCCACAAAGCTTTAAGCATCAAAACGCAAGAGCAGAAGACAACGGCGACGGAGCCCTCCTCTTCCTCACCAGAAGGAGGTGTCGTAGAGGCCCATCATGGTCATGGTGTCTTTGAGGCGATGCTCCTTCTCAGCTGCCACATTGACGATGAGGAAGGTGACGAAGGGTGTGAAGGCCAGGACCAGGTAGATGGAGATGAGGGCGTGGGGGAACTTCTGCACCTCGACGGAGCCTGGCTGACCCATCATCACCACCTTCAGCTCCATCTCGCTCCACACGGAGCGCTTCGTCTGCATCTGTACGGATGGACCAACAGCTCTCCGTCACACCAGCAACGCGACTGACGATGACCTTTGTTTCTCTCTATTCTACTAATGTTCAGGTGGGTTCCCGCTGGGGGCCGTTGAGCTGATCTCTGGCCTGGTCTCACCTGGATGATGGCTGCGTCGATCAGGGACTGGAGGCGGATGAAGCCAGAGTACCAGTAGTTGGCTGCTCTGCAGTTCCCCGAGCTGGTGAAACAGTTGGCTGGAGGAGAACAACCACAACATGCGTGTCAGATATCCTATTATTACAACTCTCTCTGGTTAGGAAGAACTTTACCATTGATTAGACTTGCTTTCGATTATAAAACTGTGAAGTTATTTTTCTTATCATTAAAGAAATTTTAAGAATAATTTGGGTAGATTCCTTTTTTGTCTGGGTTATTTTATGTTTGTTGTTGTAATACTCACTTTGACCACAGGAGGCAGAACGCTGCCTCCTGCTGTGAGTAGGTTTCATTTATGGAGCTCGCTAACACACATTGTATCTAATAAACAGTCAGATGGCAGAACCGTTCTCTTATTTGACCTGTTTAGAGTCAGAACTACTTTGTTCTCTCACAGTTGAAAGGAAATCCCTTTTAAAATAAAACCTACAAAATCTGAAAAAGTGAGGGGCTGTGAAAACAGGCCGAGAAATGAAAAGAGCGCCATCAGACGATACCGATGGATTCCGTGTAGTCGCTGGGTAACGGCAGCTCGATGTACGGGAAGCGCAGTTTGTACGACGTGGCCGAGCTGTCCGTGAACACCACCCCGACGTAGCTGGAGGGCTCATACAGGCTGGCGTTCTCAAGGTCCTCCTCACTGGCAAACATCTCCAGACGATCCTGCAGGTCTGAAACCGCAAGTGTCCTGTGTCAGTGGCCTCCCAGTTCCCCGGTACACATCAACAGCGGTCAACACTTACGCATCTCCTGGGCCACCTCCTCCATAATGTGGCTGGTGACGTTGCTGATTGGAGTGTAGCCCAGGCCCTTGAAGAAGTGGTCGTGCCGCTCCAGCTCCGCGGTGCTGATGCTTCCGTAGTAAACGTGAGGATTCAGAGTGCTGATGAGTATCAGGAGGCCCAAGAGTAGCAGAGGTAGGACCAGTTCCTGCAAAGGCAGACGCGTGAAAGAAACGGCTGATGAGAAGACCACTAATGGTTCAGTGTTTCCCCTGAAATCATAACAGGGGGCTTCTCCTTTTTTCTGCTGCTTATTCTGTTAAACACAGTCCGACATCAACCGGCTCGTCTACAGGGGAGACCGAGCGATACCTCCATCATCATTTGTGTCCGTCCCATCATCTCCTACGGTTAATACAACTGTAACGTGAGTCTATGAGCACTTTGCTCTGAGAATGTAAAAAGAATTCTCCAGGTCATGAGCTTCTAATCCTGACTGCGTTCTGGGACTGTAGTGTTTCAATAAAACCTCCAGACAAACGTCAGCAGCCGTTCTTTCTCTTCCAATCCGTGATCAACATCCTGCAGCTTGACCCTGAGGACATTTAAACAATATGCTGGGAGCCGCTGGCTGGTCCAGAGCCGAGTTCACAGCTTGTCTGCCTTGTAAGAGCTTTGGGTCGACCGGTTCCACTGAGAAACCCTGCGACTGTCTGTGTGCACGTTGGAATGAAAACCTCATTTAGGAAACACTGTCATCGATTCATATGATTGATTATAAATGTTTGAACAGCCACTGAACACAAAGTTTACTTTTTTATCACACTGCAGCTTCTCAGGGCCGCGAGTACACGAGTGACATTAAAAATGCATCAAAGCAAATGAAAAATGCAAAGTGTAACAAACAAGAGAATTAGAGACAGAAGAACTGATTCCACTTCCATTGCGCTGGAGCAGCTACAAGGTGTGACAGAATCTGCAATATATATATATATATATATATATATACACTAAATACACTAAATACAACTAAATACAACTTCCAATGTGCAGATTCTGTCACACCTTGTTGCTGCTCCAGCACACAATACACACAAGTTTAGTATTTAGTTGTAGCTGTATTTTATCTGCAGCTCACTCAGAGATCCAGACGGAATATGGACCGTGGCAGAGTGGCAGCCCTGATAAAAGGAATTTAAGACCAGCTAAACAAACCTTTCAATACACATCTCTTCCCTCTGAAGTAGGAGGAAGGAAACCTTTGGCAGAATCTAAAGTAACAGAGATGTGTGTTCAAATAGAAAAAACGTGACGAGAGAAACATCAGGGGTTGAGTTCTCTGTATCAATCATTTATAAATGACCTGCATTCGTCTCAAACTGCACAAGCTCTCGCTTACTCTGCAGAGCAGATACAACCGGTCAAACGCCGCAACCTGAGCGGGGAACCTGCAGCCTGAGCAGGTTCACATCTGCTGCAAAAAGCACGCACCTGCAGACTCTGCTGCTTGGTCCTCCATTTGATGAGCAGATTCTTGTAGAGAAGACTTCTTGTTTGGTGCCAGACTGCAGCATCTCTTCTATAAACGGGTTGCATACTTCCAGCACGCCTCATCTGGAGGACGTCCGGACGAGAAGTCGTCTCCCTAATGCCGGCCTCAGCTGCGAGGAGAGGGGAGACCGATGAGCGCCAAGCGATGCTTCATTTACATGTCCGACAATAAACACAATGAAGCAACAATACAGCCCCCCAGCATCATGTCAGTGACCCCACCCCCAGCATCATGTCAGTGACCCCACCCCCCATCATGTCAGTAACCCCACCCCCCATCATGTCAGTGACCCCCACCCCCCATCATGTCAGTGACCCCCACCCCCCATCATGTCAGTGACCCCCACCCCCCATCATGTCAGTGACTCCACCCCCCATCATGTCACAGCCCCCCCCCCAGTATCCGTGTTGACAGCTTCACCATCAGACGCAACCGTTAGCTTAGCGCTGAACTAGCTAACGGTTGTTACCACGAAGAGCTAGCGTTAGCTAGCGTATGAGCCAACGCTAAGCTGCTAAAGTCGCGTGTTCCGACGGCGAAGCTTAAATCTCAGTATATTGTGGGGATGTCGTTTGAATTGAAGAAGCACCGTCTTCGCTTCCTTGTTACCGGGAAACCGGAAGAATAGCATTAAGACATACGGACGGACAGAAATCGGACGTCTGTTTGCGTCCCCGCAGCTAACGGAGAATCAAGCTAGCGACTAGCGACTGCAAAACACACACAGGAAACTGTTCAAGCGAACCATTTAGCATACTCACGTATGAAATACATTAAGACATATCCCTCCTCAATGTACACCTTACATTACAGATGTTTCATGTCACGTAAAGAACCATAAAAAACGTTTTACGTCGCTCTGGTTGCCGTTTCCTCTTGTCAAAGGAAACAGAAGTGACGTCAACCAATCAGCTGTCGTCTCGGCGTAAATGACAACGGCCTGAACCAACCAGCAGAGGACCAAATGATCTTTATTGTCGACAAAGCACCAAATATGTAAAGTGAACAGACCACGTGATTTGGGGTGGAAAGGAAATCATTTGGACCCCATTGAAACATAAATGGCCCACAGCACCAACAGCATGTGCATATGTGAAATCATTTAAGTATCTTCTTGAACCTCTCTGGCATGTAAAATGATGCCTAACCCCCCCCAAGAAAATGAATAGACATTGAGAGGAAAAGTGATTGGGGCTATATAACGTGTCTATGTTGGTGTGTGCTGCTGTATCCCAGTATTTCAGAGTGGTGGTGATGGCGGGGACGGTGTGTAGATAGCTTGTGGAATGTCTCTGAACCGGAGGAAGACATGAAGTGGGGAGGGAACAGGGAGCTGCTGCACGACGTCGGTCCTCATCAGTTGATCTGGTCCCAGCACGGACCTCACCTGCATCCGACAGAGGTGGGAAAGAAGTGGAATGGAGTCTAGAGGGAGGGGAGCAGAAAGGAAAGGAGAAATTGTCGTGACAGAAAGTTCACACAACACATTTGCAGTGTGTATTTTGTTACTGTACCAAGATGTGGCCGTGGTTCCCAGGTCTTCGCTGCCCGTCTTTGATCCAGAATATGTTTCAAAGGCGGGGACAGAATCGACCAATTTACAAACTCCAGCAGGTAATTCAACACCTCGCTGTCTGCCCGCTGCAGCCTGGGAGCACAGAAAGATATTGATCAAGTATGACCATGATGCTTGACAGAGAGTGGACGAGTGAGAGGACAGTCTTACATCTGGGGCTGAAGGAGCAAAGACGGCTCCAGTCCTGCATTGAGGAGCAGAGGCAGCCAGCAGGCAGCAAAGCGTACTTGGTTTAGTGCCACACAGAGCAGCTCCCTCAGTTCCTGCTGCGTTAAAAATGTTTTCCCGTAACGATTTTGGACGAAACCGCCCCTGGTCAAAGTCTCCTGTCGAGGGATCCATCTGTGCTCCAGTATCAGGGTCAGCAGGTCTGTCTTATCAGTGGCTATGGCGTGAATCCAGTCCTCCTCGCCCAATCGGGCTCCTGCAGTTACCAGCAACCCCACGGATTCACTGAAAGACAAAAGTACAAAAGCATGAGTTTTATTCTGCGTGCGCTCTGTAGAATCCGCGAGGACGTCAAATCTGATTATTGACACACCTGCACGGCTCGTTGGATGTGAGCGACAGCGCCAAGGAGAGCGGTGACTTTACGCCCTGGAGGTGAGAGCACACCTGGGCGTCTGGGCTGTAACCTTCCCTCAGGAGCATCTCCACACTCCTGCTCTGACGGCTGACGACGGCCAGGTACAGAGGACTGACCATGCCCTCCGCGCGGTCACACGCCCGGTCCGTGACCGCGATCAGCCTCCTCAGCACGCTGCATCCACAAAACGACAGGCTGGTCATCTGCATGCAGCACATTCTCTGAAGGGTACAATGTGTTGATCAGGACGATCAGTACTGAGACGAGCAGCCGGTTAACCAGAGGGGTCTTCTCATTGGTTTATTTTTCAACGGTATTATTCAAGCAAACATCCTGTTCAAGCTCTAGTGAGAAGATTCTGAAAACAGGATCATTTTAGCTTTGGACTGTTGGTTAGAGAAAATCTGCACTTGGAAGATGTTAGTTTGGGGCATTGAAAACGTTACTATGTTCTGAATTGAATCAACTAACATTTAAAAAAACGCAGCGTCCGGGACCCCGGACCACCGGTACAAATTCTCTCATCGCTGCAAGACAAGTTGTGAGCCGGTACCCGATGTGGCCGAACTCAGCGGCAGCGTGGATGGGAAGCTGTGGCCACTCAAGGCTGCAATCTAGATTAGGATCGGCCTCGTGGTCCAACAGGAAGTCCACACAGGCCCCGTGTCCCTCCTGAGAGGCAATCAGCAGTGGCGACGCTAGATCAGCGGCCTGAGCGCTCACATTGGCGCCTGAACCATGAGAAACAAATAAGACACTAATTATTTAGGGTTTCATTTTCATAGAGTGAAAAGAAGAAGCAGAGAGAGAAGCTGTAACATAAGAAGAGCACTCAAATCCCTAAAAAGCACAGATGAAGAAAAACATCGATGTACCAGCACCAACAAGGATTTCCAGGCATTCCTGCTGTCCATACTGCGCAGCCACAAAGAGAGGGGAGATCTTATGGTCGTCTAGAGCCTCCAGGTCGCACACGTCGACCAGAACGCGTACGATGTCACTGTGACCCTTTGGACAAGCAGAAGGAGGAATGTGGGATACGTGTCACAGTGTGGCGTGCGTTTTAAGTGGCACAGTTACCTTATAAACAGCCTGATGAAGGCAGGTCCAGCAGGACGCGGTGTGTGTTCGGTTGGCCGCCGCACCTTTGCTGAGCAGCAGCTCCACCACCTCTCTGTGCCCACCGTCAACAGCTGAGGTCATCCGGCACAGAAGGAATCCCATCACAATCCACTTTTAAAAGAAAAGCCTATTGGTCAGCGGTGCACACGCGGTGAATGTCTTACCTGCGTACAAAGGGCAGGACAGGTCATTCGTCAGCTGGTTGACGTTGGCGTTGGCCTCCAGGAGGAGTCGGAGCGCTGCCAGGTGCCCCCGCTGAGCTGCCAGGTGAGCAGCAGACTCGCCCTCGTGAGTCAAAGAGTTGACGTCGGCAGCGCGGCCACGCGACGAGCCGGCTGCTTACAGACAGGAAACACAAGTTGTGTCCACCTGGAGAACCCCGAGGAAGTTGCACCGCAACGGATCATTGATCCGTCAATGATTGGGTCATAAATTATAAACATCTTGATAAGCAAGACGTTTGTTGTCACACCCTCTCAATGTTCTTCTGCTCTGCCAGTTTGTTATTGAAATTGCTCTGGCTGTTTGTGTTGTTGTCTCCTCCCTGTACTCGATGTACTAGATGCTTGGTAATAACATCTCATCATCTTAAATGTGAAGACTTGTTGCTCTCCTTCTTCTTTAATATTGTAAACATCGTTGCGTTTTGAACCCATCGGTCCTCTCCAGCCCCAGCGTGATGAATCCACGGGGCGATTCATTCGGACCTTTCTTACCGCCTGCAGCAGCAGACAGGATCTCTTGCACGCACTCCGTGCTGCCGGCGGCCGCCGCCTGGTGCAGGGCGTTCCACCCCCGGTTGTCCCGGCGGTCCACACTGAAGCCCCTCTTCATCAGCCTCCTCAGCCGCCTCCTGCAGCCGGACCGAGCCGCCACGGCGACGCTGGAGACGCTGTCTGCGTAGAGCTCAGTGAAGTCCATGCCTGCTCCTCAGAAGGTCACGGTCATCAGTCCTCAGCATCCAGCGGTGGAAGGGATTCCTCTGCTGTACTCAAGTACATATCACAAGTAGTGCTCTGTAATACTTCTGCTACTCTACTTTTAAAAGGTGAATATTGTTCTTTTTACTACATCTAAACATTAACCGTAGACACACACTCATGCAAAAGAAATGATCACAACAATACAGAGACACATTTTAATGCACAATACAAACTGGTCTTTTCAGAAAAGTTGACGTATATTCAACTGCTTGCTTTGGATATCGTGACATTAAGAGGAAGAACACTTACAACATACAACGTGAATCCTCGTTTGGTTCAGCATGTAAATCTGTTCACTCCCGCATATGAGACACGCTCCGTCTTTGGCGCTTGTTTATCCGAGTGACGTCAGAACGTGAGCAGCAGGCGCGACGTGAGTCGCCGTTTGATGACGTCGAACCGCAGCGCCGCGCAGCGTCGCGTCGCGTCGCCGCCGGGCAGCTCGTTGCGGCGCGCGAAGCTCCAGGACACAAACGAGCCGTTTTGTCTTCTGCGGTCCTTTAATCCGTCCGCCGCCAGCGAGGAGACACGTGGAGACACGTGGAGACCCGAGGAGACCCGAGGAGACAAGAGGAGACAAGAGGAGACAAGAGGAGACCCGAGGAGACCCGAGGAGACAAGAGGAGACAAGAGGAGACCCGAGGAGACAAGAGGAGACAAGAGGAGACCCGAGGAGACCCGAGGAGACAAGAGGAGACAAGAGGAGACCCGCGCGTGATGACGTGAGGAGCTCGCGCTCATCCAGCGTCTCCACCTCGTCCGCTAAATAAAGGTTCTTCTTCATGTGACTGACGTGAATCGGGATGCAGAGAGATACAACTCGCTTCGTATAGTAATGAAGTACTTGTTCCAAGTACATTTATTCATCATGCATAATCCACTATTTCAGATGTATGTGTAATATAGCAGGTTATTGATGTGACAGCGTGTTTGTATGTACAGCTGTTATCTAATGATCCAGTAGTTGATTTATTCTGCATTAATCATCCAAAAAGCAGCTCGAGCTGGCAGATATTTTACATGTCGAGTACTGGAACAAAAATACGCAAGTATCACAAAAAAAGTACAACTACTTCAAACTTGTACTCAAGCGGAGGAGTAGATGCACATAATACACATTTATTTACACGAGTTCATCTATGGGAGAAACTAAAAACTGACCCTAACACGTGTGATTTGTCTCCTCTGATGTCTTTTAGCGTGATTCTCATTTCCAAACTCGTTCCCTCGTCTCCTCCTTGGTCTCCTAGTAGGCATCATGGTGGACATCGCAGTGAAGAGCGGCGCCGCTTGGACCTGTCCCACCCAGGGACATCGGCTGGCTCAGGTGCTGCTTCCTGTTCACGCCGGAGACCAAGAGGACGGAGGGGAGGAGCCCGGCCGGCCGGACGGAGACGACGCAGACTGGTGAGAAGCGCTGGTCAGCTCTTGACGTGGTCTTTGGGTTCTCCCACGTCGTACTAGCGGGTCTCCTCCCCTCGCAGGGGCGGCCCGGTGCTGCTGCAGCAGACGGAGGGAGGCTCTCCCTGCGTTCTGACCCTCCGCTGCCCCCCCGGCTCCCCCACCGCCATCAGCCGCCTGCTGGTCGTCAGCGAGGCCAGAACCATGGAGGCGTACGACCAGATGGGAGAATACTGCGCTACGATACGCGGGGAGAGAGACGACAGCGTCCAGACCGACAGGTACACGACACGCACGCACACGCACACGCACACGCACGCACACACATGCACACGCGTGATGTCATGGACTCTTTCTATCCCACAGTTCAGACAGAGGGCCTTTCTACAAGAAACAGCTGATCCTGGAGCCCCCGTCCTCTGCCTGTGACGTGAAGGTGAATCCACTAGAGACCGTAGCGTCTTCCACGCTCTGCTCCTCACGTCTCCTCACGTCTCCTCGCGTCCCCTCGCGTCCCCTCGCGGACGTTACGCCTCTCCCTGTTGAGCTGAATTGAATCCTCTGCTTGTGTCCCAGCTGCTCTCCCTGGGCGGTCGAAGCAGTGTTTTGGTGTGTCGGGTCATCGTGGGCCTCCAGAGGTCGCGGCCCTGCGCGGCGCGCGGCGCCGGCATCGACATGCAGCAGGTGCAGTGTCTGGTCGAGGAGATGGGGGCGAGCCTCTCGCCGGGAGCGCAGAACCTCATGGACATGGTGCACCTCCAGCAGAAGGTGGGAGTAAAGGAGCAGTGAGTTACTCATGACCTTTAGTGACCTCCTCCGGCAGGGACAATGCTGATGGACTGAACCTTCTAACTGCTTGTACTTCTGCGTTTCTCTCCAGAACCAGAGCAGCTCCCTGGGGGGCTTCCTGCCTCTCCTGATGGGAGGTGGAGTGTTCTCCGCCCTGGCTCAAGGAGCCAACGCCTCTCCAGGAGCCGTCGGCAACCAGCCCCGGCCGGCAGACGCCAGGGTCAGTAATCAGCACAAGGATTTGTTTTTGTGAATCCTTCCCTCAGCGTGTCCACTAACAACTTCACGCCAGTGAAATGTGTCTTCAGAGGAATGTTTGTTGTTCCTCTGTCTCCAGCCTCCGCTTGGCTCCACCAGGCCTTCAGATGAAGCTCCTCTGGCTCAGATCGGAGCGACGTCAGACGCCTCCACCTCCTCCACCTCCCCAGGCCAGCTGCTTCCTGGTGGCAACACTAACAAGACAGGTAAGGAAGGTCCTTTATCTTTGATGTTGTGGAACATTTTAAATGTCTGGGGCTTTTATTGTGAAAGTTAAAACTGCAAGTAGAGGACCTGGTCCGCTGCCTTTGTCACGGTGGAAGGAGACAATGGTGGATCACACCTGATGATGATGAGGTCTTCCATCTCCAGCCCGCGCTGACACTGGAGGTCCAGCGAGCCACGCCCAGCTGGCGGAGATGATGTCCCGCCTCATGCAGGGGCGGGGCCCCGGCCCCGGCCCCGAGCTGCTGCCCGTGCTCCAGAGCCTCTGTGGTCAGGTGACCCAGCTGAGGATGGACGACGCCACTGCGCTGGCCGAGCGGGAGGAGACGATGAGAAGCGGCTCGTGGTGGGTGAAGGTCAACGAGCGCAGATTGACGCGACGGCTCCTGTGTCCCTTTAACATGTGAACCGTCTCTCTGCGTGGACCTGTGATCCGATGAGGAAGCGCCCCCTTGTGTAGAAGATTTAAATGATAAATAATAATAATACATGACTGTTAGTAATACTACTTTGACTAAGAGTATTTCTATATATGTTGCTTGGTTCATCTTTAAATAGGAGTTTCAATTGCAAATTTGAATGTTCTGCTCCTATTAAATCAAACCGGGCAACAAGAAGCAGTTTCGCCACCAGAAAAATGCATAAAAACGTCTGCAGTCAGTGCTGCTGCTCCGATGAAGCGTTTAAATGTTTGTTGAGGAGGAGGAGGAATCCGTGGTGTCCTCAGGCCACACAAAGGGATCAGCATTCATCAGTCCCTGACGCCTCCGCCGCGTTCCTCTGTTGTGGGAGCGCGTCTGTGGTTCTGTGGTGAGAAGCTGCCCGGCTGGTTTGTCTCGTGGTCGTTGGCGGTGCAGAGAGGCGGCTGATACGGAGACAATAGGCTTCATTTATCGGCCTCGCTGCATGTTTGAACGTCAGTGAACGGAACGTTAGAGGCACCGGAGACGCAAAGGCTCAGAATCGGGTTCACGGAGAAAGGAGAAGGTGTCGGGAGCTGCAGTTTGAAGAATGAGCTCACCGATGGAGCACAGCTGTGGGTGAGACTGTCCGCTGGGTCCGACTCACATCGAGGACAGCAGCTCAGCGGTACGTAAGTAAAGAGCCCGCGGAAGCGCTTGGTCCCCAGGGACAAACCGTCCTTCAGCAGGAACTGTTCAGCGTGTGTTCTGTGCGAATCGGCATAAGCTGCTTTTGATTTGAGCAGCTGATGTTTTGCAGAGTTTACAAAGTCGCCCGTGTGAGTTTCACAGAAACGTTTGCTGCTCCGACGCCGCTTCGCTCGCTCTGCAGGTTCAGACCCGATCACGCGTGTCACATCTGCTCCGCAGGCAGCTGGACTCGGCCATGGAGCGCCGCCTGGAGGAGATGGAGAAGAGGCTGAAGGAGCACGTGGACCGGCGCCTGGACGCTCTGGAGCAGAAGCTGGAGAAGGCTCTGCTCGCCGCCCGGGGGCCGGGAGACATGAGCGGCTCAGCAGGGGGCGCCGCGTCCACGGGGCCCCCCGAGCAGAACCCCCCCACCACAGCCGCGCGCTGAGCACGTCTACACCACAGAAGAAGGAGATAACGTGAAGATGAGAGCATCTGGACGCTCACTGGGGGACCGGACATGTCCTGCATGTCTCATCCGCCTGTGGACAGGAGCAGCTTTTTAAAGCGATTCTAATCAGTCAGCGTTTTAACATGTGATTAAAAGTGCTCTCATTCCTCACTGTGATGTTTTAAATGATGTACATGTGTAACATAATTCTAAAGATACTAACAGAACACTGGTGGTTTTATGTTAATATTAAAGCAATACACATGAACATGTTCTCTTCGTGAGGTTCTTCTCAACTTCTCTTTTTAAGAAGAGGATGGAACCAATGATCCATTGAGCAAGGCACTAGCCTGTCAACCCCCCCCCCCCCCCCCCCCCCCCAGTGTTTGGACTCCAGCGCTGACTGAGCACATGAGTCAGAACACACGGAGCAGCGGCTGTTCCGCGTGTCCGGTTCCCCCAGAAGGCAGAATCCACCCGGCCGAACCCGGGAAGGTCACTGAAGGTCGTGCGTGGAGAACCACTGCATTAGACATGTGGACCAGGAGGACCAGGAGGACCAGGAGGAGGTCTGTTGGTACACATTAAATGTTGGCCTCTCAGTGTCAGACGCAGCCGCAACGATCCATCTCATTGAGTTTTCCGATGTCAGATACGGATCCCATGACGTCACACATGATCGATAGTTTCCACCACAGGGCTGCAGAGCGGACGCCTCTCTGCAGCCCTGTGGACGGACTTTGCCCGTTGAACCATCCGGTGACGTGAAGAAGCAGAAACACAAAGAGAAAAGTTGTTGTTTTCTGATGAATCTCAGAAGAACAGATGGTATCGCTCTGAATGTAAAGGAAGCATCTTCTGGCTGGAGGTCAACGGGATGTTGTGCAGCAGCAGAGAGGCTGGACAGGAGGACGGAGACGCTCCTCAGAGGGGACACGGCTGTAACAGGAGACACTTTGGCATGGAATTCTATTTCTAATCAGAATAAATGAGGAGTTCCCTTGAAACGGGAATGGGAACATGACACATGATCAACATGAACTCTGAAAAGTGCAGAAATAAATGAAAACACATTTCACGAGGCGCGCACACCTCCATCATCCGCCCTTCCCCCAGAAGGACGTCACACGCGCGCACCAATCCCCTCCCGCGGTGATCCGGCAAGCTTCTATAAACCGGGACCGCGCTCTGCGTCTCTGGACTCGGGACATCCAGCTTGAGGTGAACTCGTAGTACCGGTTTCTCTCCGCGTCCTCCTCCGCCATGAGTCTCCGGTTGGTCCTCTGCGTAATGGCGCTGCTCGTCCGCCCGCCTCCGGCCGCCGGGGCTCGGAGAGCCAAACGCTTCGCCATCGGCTGCCCGGAGAAGTGCGACGTGTCCGTGTGCGCGCCGATCCCCGCGGACTGCCCGGCCGGCGACGCGCTGGACCACTGCGACTGCTGCCCGGTGTGCGCGTCCGGCGAGGGCGAGCAGTGCGGCGGCACCGCGCGCCGCGAGTGCGCCGAGGGGATGGAGTGCGCGGTGACCGGCGGCGTGGAGGCGTCCGCCACCGTGAGGCGCAGGGGGGCGGCCGGCGTGTGCTCGTGCACCAGCTCCGACCCGGCGTGCGGCAGCGACGGGGTCTCGTACCGGAACATCTGCGAGCTGAAGCGCGTCAGCAACCGGGCGATGAAGCTGCGGCAGCCGCCGGTGATCTTCATCCAGAGGGGAACCTGCGGCCAAGGTGAGAGCTGCGCGCGTCCTGTACTTGACCTCAGCAGCAGGTCGACACTGAAGTGAACCTTCTCCTCCACGTGGACCAGAGGAGTCGAACCTCCGCAGATCTCACACATCATCCAGCCGCTTTTCTTTCATCCCGTCACAGAACGAGCAGCAGGTCTTTGATTTCATGCATTTCGCGTCTTCGTGGATTGGAACGTTACAGAATAATTATAACTCTGATCGATACTGCAATCTGTATGAGGCATTAGAGGGAATGATCACTTTAACCGTGTTATTCTCATTTCCTTATGGTGAGACTTGTTTTGGACCTAACAGAGCTGAAGATACTCCCCCCCTCCTTTCTCTCCTCCTCTTTCCTCCCCTTACTTCCTTTTCTTCCTCCCATATCTGCAGGAAGAAGAGTTTCTCCTCTCTCCTCTGTTCCCTTTCTCTTTCTGCCCTTTCGTCTCATCTTCTTTCCTTACATGTGTTCTTCCCCCTGACTTTGTCTCCTTTCCTTCCCTCCTCTCCCTGCGTCCTATCTCTCATATGACTAAAAGAGGGGGGGGGGGGGTCATGTAACTTCTGCAGCCGACAGAACTGGGTCGATCCGAGTAATTGAAGCCAGATTTGAAGGGATTCTTTAACTCGCCTGGTTTTATTCCTGCAGCTCTTTGTATGATTGATGGGCTCTTGGATACAGAATCAACAAAACACGCACGGTGACTCAGCGCTTTCAGGAACTGGAGGAATGTTTCCCAGTCCGGACTCGTCGTGCTCCTGATGAGGTCTCACATCCAGTTCTAAACATGCCCGGTTTGCTTATGACCCGCTTCCAGGAGACAAAGTCTTCTGTGCAAAGAAGAAGCAAAGAAGACAAACGATGCTTTCCGTCTGCGTCATGTTAAAGAATCTGCTCTGCTTCACCCGTTCTGTACATAATGCATGAAAAGGGCCCTCGAGCATCGACGGTGCGTTCAAGGACGATCAAATGATCCTCTGCAGCTTTATTCACTGAGTCAGTGCAGCATCGACTCTTCCCTCCTCAGTGTCACTGACACCTGCAGCGTGATTCTCCCCTTTCAGCCATTCTGACCCTCGGGACCACACGCACACGCACACACACACACACACACACACACACACACGCACACACACGCACTACAAACAGGCAGGCAGAAGGTCAGCAGCACGCTGAGAGGTGTGGACAGGAGTCATGTCAGTTTGAGGATCACTATGCATATTTATACTGTTATGTTAAGTTAAGTTATGCTGACATCAAATACTTCCCCAAAACTTAAACTGCATTAAGTTGCATCATGATAAAATGTACTAAAGTAAAGGAGGAAAGGTAGCGGCCGACTTTGTGTTTCTTGTGGCGGATCACCGGCTGACGGTTCATCGTTCAAGTCCTTTTTACAGACGGGTTTTTAGCTGCATCAGTTCCCACGGAGACAACAATACGAGAATAACCGTCTGGCTTAATTCAAAAGCTTTAGTTTTCCTGCCGAAGGCAAGAAATGCCTGAAAATAAACCCCAGATGCCTCGTTGAAATGTTCCTATTGCCTCTAGATTAAAAAAGCTAACGTTGAACATGATGCTCCCAGTTAACATGAGTTCATAGTTCACAAAGTCCAAGCCATAGAACACAAAGAATTGTGGGTAATATGAGATGGAATGCAGGTCCCACAGAGGAAGAAGTGAAGGGAAACAAGTGCAAACACAATGCAGCCCGACGGTGCTCAGCACTGATTGGTCCACAGACGCAGTGGGAGGGGCTGAGATGTTGCACAACCAAATAAGTAAGTAAGTTAAGTAAGAGGACAGCGAGGTGATTTTGAGGCTCTGAGTCATTTCCTGTGTTTTATAAGCAACCTCTCTGCAGCTGTTCACATGCTGCACTCCACATCTGGATCTGCTCTGATACGATGATGTCACAGCGTGAACAGATGAGCATGCAGAACCATGGAGCCACGCTTTGACACATTGGACATTTAGACATTCATTGCACATCTCAGGTGCGGAGGTCAAAGGCCAAAGGACACGTGATGGACCCTTTAACCGCGCTGCTGGTCAGCCGGGATGGGAAAGCTTATTCTGTGCGTGTGGGGGGGACGCCGCTCATCGACAGTATGTCCCTCTCCGTCAGGTCAGCAGAACCCTGACAGTCTTCGTCTCAAGTACAACTTCATCGCCGACGTGGTGCAGAAGATCGCACCTGCCGTCGTTCACATCGAACTTTACCGCAAGTAAGAAAAACATGGATGGTCCTTCTCGGTGTGATGCACGAGGAACGCGGGGTTCCTCGTGCATCACACCTGTGTACTGAGCAAAGGTTTTTTGGCCCTTCAGGATGATGTTCTCAAAGAGGGAGGTGGCGGTGGCCAGCGGCTCCGGGTTCGTGGTGTCCGAGGACGGGCTCATCGTGACCAACGCCCACGTGGTGGCCAACAAGCACCGAGTCAAGGTACAGGCCCTCCGGCCGCCCTCCACGTCACTGCTGCACCCACCCAGTCGGGTAACTACGTCACGCTTTCCTCCAGGTGGAGCTGAAGAGCGGAGCCACGTTCGACGCCAGGATCAAAGACGTGGACGAGAAGGCCGACATCGCCGTGATCGAGATCGACGCGCCGGTGAGACGGAGGAATGATTCCTCTCTTTGATGCGCGACTCGCTCACCAGAATCAATACGTCATTTATCCGCGTTCACTAGCGCTGTGAACGTGTGATGATGACGCCGCACGAGCCACAAGATGCATTTCTGTTGACCATTAAAATATCATTTCCATCCCCGTCAATGGCAAAATAATGAGATAATGAGAGTGAAGCACAGAAAACACACAGAACTGTTTCTTTGGCTCCTCCAGTTCAGACCTGCTAATGGCATCGAAACACAGACTTCCTTCCTGCCATCAGTGTGTGTGTGTGTGTGTGTGTGTGTGTGTGTGTGTGTGTGTGTGTGTGTGTGTGTGTGGGTGTGTGTGTGTGTGTGTGTGTGTGTGTGTGTGTGTGTGTGTGGGTGTGGTGAAGATGCTTCCACTTAGACAAACACACAAAGGAACGTAAACATCAGGACAAGCACGACTGTGGTGTTTTGAAACAGATGTTTCTTGTAACCGGCCTCTTTAAATCTTTAGACCTTTCAACAGAAAGATGGTTCCTTTTTGTGATAAAACCTGAAAATACATTTTCTGATTCTGACACTCTGCACGTGTCGGCTTCGTAGGACACAAGCCACTGTTTGGTGATAACTGTACAACTAAATGATACATGGCATCAGATTCCATTAATCTGTCATTTCTGGGATATTTTTTCAGAAGCAAACTGCTGCTGTCAGCAAAAAAAGAAAAAGACCATCCTGCACACAGACAAGCTGAATTCCATGACGGCACACACACACACACACACACACACACACACACACACACACACACACACACACACACACAGGATGTGAGTTCATGTGTGCCGGTCAGACGGAGATGATCGTGCTTTTCCTCGGCGTGTTTGGGTGGAGAGCAGTTTGGGTGTAGCTGGAGCCTCGGGAGATGAAATGAACAACCTGCTCAGCACTGGAGACGGTTGTTGTTGTTGTAGTTGTCTTGAGACGACTGGTCTTCTGCACAAATGACGCACAGACACGTAATAATTCTAATGCTTTTCTCAGCTCTCTTGTAAATAATGTGGTTGAAAGGACACGTATGAGATTCAGTGAGACACAAATCACAGCAGAGAGTCAATGCCGACTGGGATCTTCTATTCAGGATTGACACTAATAACGTCCCTGTGTGCGTTACTGTTGTGCGGGAGGCTGTTGATCAGCTTTCAGTTGTGGTCGCCCCAGTAAAGCACCTGCAGAGGAAGCAGTCCGGCCTGTAGCTGCATGTTAGCTGCTATCAGAGCCTCAGAGGCTGTTTTCACCTAGTGAGTCAAACCAAGGAGGTAAAAACATATATTCAGTTGGAAAAAGGTTTTGAAAAAAGAAGACAAAAACTGTTGAAAGCAAAATAAAGTCAAGTCGTGTTAGGTCAAACTTTTTTGAAAAAAAGGTCCAAATACTTGCTGTATAAAAAAAGGCATGGATACAACGATTTAAAAATATTGTTGGGGTTCAAAGAATGTTATGAAAGAAAACTGGTTATGATTTTTTTTTAGAAATCAAAAATGTAAGGTCAAAAAATGTCATGGGGAAAAAAGTCAAACTATTGAATCAAAAAATGTTTTGGAAAAAAGTAAAAAAATATAGGGGCAAAAAATGTCGTGGGAAGAAAGTCAAAATACGATTTTTTTTAAAAAGAAAAATTTGGAAAAAAAAGTTAAAAGTATTAGACCAAAAACGTTTTGAAAGAAAATCCAAAAGTAGTAGGTCGAAAAATGTAGTGGAAAAAAAGGTCAAAATATCAACAAAAAAAAGTCAAAATCAAAAAATGTTTGTAAAAAAAAGTCTAAATAATAAATCAAAAAAGTCAAAAAATATTAGCGCAAAGTATGATTAAAAAAATCAAAAAATGTAAGGTCAAAAATATTTTAAAATAAAAGTACAAAAATATTAAATAAAAAAAAATCATATCAAAAGTCAAAAGACAAAAGATATTAAGAAAATAAAAAAATAGTAGGTCAAAAAATGTCATGGAAAAAAAAAAAAAAAAAGATTGGATCAAATATGTTGAAATATATGAAGAAAAAAATATATCTGTTAGGTCGAAAACTATGATGAAAAAGAACTGTTTTGTCAAAGAATATCATGAAAAAAAGATAATGGGTCAAAAATAATTTGGAATGAAAACAAAAAAATGAATTACGTTCTTAAATTAAGCCAAAGTACCTGGCTGATTAGATGACACATGTTTGTGTGTTGGAGGTTTACTGACCCTTTAACGTATTTACTTGTAACATAGACGTTATGCTCGATAGAGGAACATATGGAAGAGAACATTGAGAAGAAGAGAATGGGAGATGAGAGAAGGAGAAGAATGTTGCTTAACGTCTGTCTCTGTCTCCCTCCACCCTGGGTGGGTGTGTCGGGTGGAGCAGATGAAGCTGCCCGTGCTGCTGCTCGGCCGCTCGGCGGACCTTCGTCCTGGCGAGTTTGTGGTCGCCATCGGCAGCCCATTCTCCCTTCAGAACACCGTCACCACCGGCATCGTCAGCACCACCCAGAGGGGGGGCAAGGAGCTGGGCCTCCGTAACTCCGACATAGACTACATCCAGACCGACGCCATCATCAACGTGAGTGACACACATCAAACCAGAGACACATAGAGACGTCGGTGTATTATAGATTAATACATTACAGTTAATCCTCTTTAGAGTTTGTATATTTATTATTTCTATTTGTCGTCCGGCAGTACGGCAACTCAGGAGGACCACTGGTGAACCTGGTGAGTGGAGTAAAACCGGCTGGAGTAATAAGATGGACTCACTAGCTACTAACTAGCTGTTGTGCTTTGCCAACGCGCCTCGAGTGTCGTTGTGACCTTTGCTGAAGGACGACGGCGATCTGATCTGTGTCCTCAGGACGGAGAGGTCATCGGCATCAACACGCTGAAGGTCGCAGCGGGAATCTCCTTCGCCATCCCCTCGGACAAGATCAGACAGTTCCTGGTGGAGTCGCATGCCAGACAGGCCAAAGGTCGGCCACGGCTCCTCATGACACACAGGGAATGTTATATTATAGTAAGATTTGGTTCAGTAGGACTTTCATTTGGGCGTCGTGTACTTCCATGTGGGAGGAATAAAAACTCTACAGATCTACATCCACAGTGAGAATAGAGTTGGATCATCTATAGATGTTCTTTAAGGTTTTAGAATATTTCCACATAAAAAGAAGGAGAAAAGAAATCCTGTTTCCTTAATAAACTCAACAACATCGAACCCATTTCTTCATGTTGTTGCAGGTAAAACCTACCAGAAGAATAAATACGTCGGCGTCAGGATGATGAGTCTCACTCCAGCGTAAGTTGACGACATCGTGCAGAATTTGTTTTAAAAGCAACGGTTGCTCTTTTCATCGAGGTGATGAAAAAAACATCATAACCAGACATTATGTCTGTGTGGCGCTCGCAGCGGACAGACTGAGCAACATGTTCCGCCGTCATGAAGTTCATTGTAATTGGAAGGTGAAAGAAACCGAATGACTGGAAACGAATCCCTTCTCCTCCCGTCAGGCTGACCAAGGAGCTGAAGGAGAAGCAGTCGGACTTCCCAGACATCACCTCCGGGGCGTACGTCATCGAGGTCATCGGACGCACTCCAGCCGAGGCGTGAGTGTCTCTCTCCCCACTTTATCTGTTCGCTGCCCAAAGTGTCAAAGGCCTCAGTGTGATTCGTCCGGCTTCCACCGGCGGAGGTGAGCTCGGCGTCTTTGACAGCGAAATCACAGCGGGCCCATTTTTCACGTCTCGGAGATCGGACTCGGTAACGCAGCTCGTCCCAGGTGGAGATGTGAGGCGTATCGGTGTGAATGGTCCCACCTGAGAAGGCAGCAGGGCCCAGCGTGCCCCCCTTTGCCAGGGCCAACAAAACGCTTCAGTCATTGTCCAGAGCAGCGGTTCCCAAACTCAAGGACGCCGCGGCCCACTTTGAAATCTGAAAATCTTTGGCGGCCCCCCCAAACCTTTAATCACAACTCTGATCAAAACATAAACTAGGGATGAATAAATGACCTTAAGAATTTAACCAAACTCAAACATCCGCGAGCAAAAGTCCGTCTCCGCGAGGTATTTGCTCGCTTGCGAGACGTGAACTTCGTGAATCTCTGCTCGCGCTGGAAGGAGTTTTCTACGCGCTCGCTGTTGTTCTTTTTGACAGGGAGGTGGAGACGGTGCGTTCAGGGTCCGATCGATGCCGCGAGGTGCGTCCGCTCCCGCCGCCCCCCTCGCCATCCAGGCCTAAAATCTCCGGCTGCTTTTAGAATAACTTATGTTCCCCGTTAAGATGGTTCAGCTGCTGTAGAGAAAAGGGCGCCGTCTCTCGCTCTTTAATCTCATGAAGTGCTCGGCGAGAACGACAGAGTGAACAACCAGTACGGATCAACCGATCAACCAATTGATCCGTGTATATAAGGCGCTCCAGATTATAAAACTCACTGTCGTTTTGTGAGGAAGTTAAAGCCTTTTAAATGCGCCTTGGAGTGCGGACAATGCGGTATATTGACTTTAATACCACAAGAGGGCGCCGCGATTGTTGGACAACGACAGGCGGACAAGAGCAGCCGCTTCGAGCGAGAGCCTTATTGTTTTATTAATCTGTCCGTTTAAATAGTTTGTGCTTCATCAATTAATGTTTCACATAACTAATGTGCCGCGTCATAAATATTTTATATTAATTTCAAACTTTTAAAAATTGAAAATTAAAAAACTTTATTTATTTATCGTAAATGACCTCTCGCGGCCCACCTGCAGTACCTTCGCGGCCCACCAGGGGCCACTGCAACGGATACTTCAGAAGGAAACACCTCGTGCTGGCGTCCTCTTCCTCTTTGTGTGTCCACAGGCCTGCTGTGTTTAGCTCTGTTAGCCCAGTTAGCTGCTAGCTCCGATAGCCTAACACATTGTAGAGATCCCATTGGCTGCTAACGGCTAAGTAGCTCTCCTGCTACGACATGAGAAGATCGCCCCGTTTTGGCTCAGTTTTCAGTACCAGTTGTCTCACTCAGAGAAATGACGCCGTAGAGACGCACACGCACAACCGAATCATCTGCACGCAGAAATGACACCGATATGTGAATGACACCACATATTTTGATACGGCAACGTGCCGACGGAGATTAAACGCCCTCGTTTCTTGGTCACAGAGCCGGCCTGCAGGAAAAGGACGTCATCATCAGCATCAACGGCGAGCCCATCGCCTCGGCCAGCGACGTGAGCGCGGCCATAAGGCGGGACGACACCCTGCGGACGGTGGTGAGGCGAGGCAACGAGGACGTGCTCCTCTCCATCGTCCCCGAGGAAATCGAACCTTGACCCCCTCAAGCCATCAACAACTCGACCGGTTGACCAATCCCGAGCTGGCTCTCTGTGATTTCCAACCAATCACCATGAACATCACCGTGGGCCTCCGGGGGCCACACCTGCTGCTTTATGAACTTGTAATTGTGAGCACTGCTCTTCAAAGGTCAGACTTCATGACCGTGGGACCCGAGGCAGCAACCCTGTACTCCTTCTTCTCATATTGGTTCTTCTTCTAATCCCAATCTACTTTCTGTCGTCACAGACCTTTAGTTTTCTACTAACTCTGTCGCTGCAACGATCCGACTGCAGGTCACCGTAGGTCTGTGTGGTTGTGTATGTTCTTCTTCATGGAATATTAACAGTATTTTTTTAGTATGTTTTCTTGTGTTGTTGATGACAATAAAAAATGATTTTCAAAATTGTTGTTTTATTGAACATGTCAATAATAAACTGCGGACGTTAGATGTTAAAAATGTTCCTCAAACGTCCTCTACAACTCTTTAGTAACAGTGAAAGTCCCTCATGGAGCCTCGGCGGATCCCCTGAGCTTCTGAACACGTTCACCCCGTCTTTGTTCATCATCACACGTGTGGTTAGTTAATCCCTCGACCAACAGCTGACATTCTGGGTAATTTACTCAGTAAACATTGTAAACATGAGTTTACTCAGCATAACAACCTGGGTCTGGGTTACTCAAATGGGTAATACTCATTATTAAGACTAGTGACCACTGGTTATTATCTCTGCCTTTTAAAGTGTCATATTACACATATTACGTCACTCATATGACACATATCAACAGTATTTCTTGTCCCTTGATAAAACACCCAATCTGAGTAGGATGCCATGACAAAGCCATTCCAATAAAGAAAGTTGTCATTATTATTACCATAGTGCCATTTCACTGTCTCTTGGGATCCGGTCCAGCTTGGACCGGATCCCAGAGCTCGTAGACCTCAGCCGGCTGTGCGGCTCCTTGGCATCGAGTTTTGCAACTTCAAAAGACCTTCAACACCAGTTACCGGGGCGCGCTAAGCCTGCCGGCCCCCCGCGGGCTGAGGGGCGGGGGCCACTCCACCACGAGGGGCTCAGTGTTCCGAGCAGGCGCAGGATGTTGAGAAGCTGGCAGGGATCAGCGATGGCACCAGGAGTGTTCAGGCGTCCCACAGCTCTGAAGAATGGAGCGGCACGGGGGCTGGCGTTGGCGCTGGCAGGACCCTCCTCAAAAACAATCAGGCCTTTGACAGCGACCAGATAGCAGCTGGAGCATCGACTGGCAGAGGAGGAGAGGAAGGAGGCCAAGCGACTCACCACCCCGGTGAAATCCCTTCTGACGGGTCAGAGAGGAGACGGACACATGGATGTTTGAAACACCCACGACTAGTCAAAGAGAGTTTATACAAAGTAGAAATGACTTTGCAGTACAACGTGAAGATGCACAAAGGGGACTACAAAGACCAGCATAAAGAGACAATAAGCGGCCGCTACAAAGGGGTAAAAACTAATTACAAAGTGGCAAAAAATGACAAGGGTAGTAACACGAAGAGTCTCGACACCTGGAAGCTGAGATGTGGGAGGCACCTCGGTTCCAACCCCATCAGCAGGTTGTAGGCAGAAGGGCGGAGGTTCATCGGTAGCTTATTGGATCGATTTTGCGCTGATGCAGATTTTACGTGGACTATCAAGTTCATTCAGACACGGTAATCAATGTTGGATTCAGGATTCCACCACTAGGTGTCAAAGTTTACACATCATCGCTCCCTCTGTGTATCGCGTGATATATTCTCTGTTTTGAGGGAGATGGAGCAGGTGACCACGGGGACAAGGAGGAGAAACATGCGAGTCCACAATCATGAAATATCTCAAATGAATGCATTTCTTTGTTTTTCTAAACACTCCTCTTATGTACGCTGACAAGAAGTCAGCCCTCAAGGAGCCAGTCGAGGGTGAGGACAAGAGCTTCTCCATCGCTGAACATGTCCAGAAAGGGATTCAGCCTGGTGGGCGTAGCAGGACCACCTCCTCCTATTGTCAGCACTTTCAGACACAGGCCTCGTGGACACCATCTGAGAGGGTTTCCTCCTGGGCACAACGTGCATTATGGCAGGAGCGGTGTTGTGTGTTTTGTATTTATTTATTCAAGTATACTGTTAACATATTGCTTATAATTCAGAGTTTAAAAGTTCTAGGCTGTAATTTGAAGTCACGTGTTTTGCATTTACTTATATTTACATTTAACAGTTAATATATTGTTCAATTAAAAAAACTAATTGGATTGCCACGATTACAATTAGTGCTGTCAACATGTCCGGGACCCCAATTCTGGCCTTCACAATAAGATATCGCCCGTCGATACCTCAAAATAGTGCAATAAACGCTCTTCCATCTTGCCCGACCGTTCTTACTTCTTTCTTTCATCAACGTAATGGTAATTAGACATGTAAATGTTTAGATATATTCATAAACTTTGACACGTAGACTCTTGACATGTATGAATTAACAGTACTTTGGTTTTGGTGGCGATCGCCGAAAAAAGACCGGATATAGCGAGATGTCAAAGCCGACAGCTCGACTTCTTCTCAGCCAGCTGGTTTATACATGTATGCATGTATAATACGTGACACACCGGTCGCAATTCATGCATGTCAACTACGCTTAGCTCAAATGTCCAGGTGCTTTTATTTTTATTTTAGGTTGCCATAGTTCCGGTCACGTTCCGCTATCTCCGGTTAGCTTGACGCAGCGGGGGAGTCCAATGGAAACCTTCGATGTAACCCGGAGGAGACAATCGAGTACGATTTAACTAAAAAATAGAAGCCGGATGAATTTCATGGGGTTATAAACGGAATCGGTTCCCATCAGTCTGGGTCAGCGGCTCGAGCCGTTGTGTTTCTAATCTGCTGATCAGCCGTTAACGGAGTCCGCTCGGCCTTGTTTATATTGTGCAGAGCAGCCCGAATCGGGGAAGCAGGCCCGGTCCTCGGCGAGTGCAACAGCCGCTTCGGTGTGGATCGGCCCTTTAGCTCACCAAGTAAGTGGAAATACGGATGACACCCGATGCTCCTTGCCGGCAGAACACCGTCTGCGTTTCGGGCCTTCCGCTTGTGTTTCGAGCCGGTGTCAGTGTGTAGTTATTGTTAGCTTAGAGCTAGCAGGTCGTTTGGCTAATGCTAGCTAGCGTTGAAACTCGAGCTAACGTTAGCGTTACCGCAGGCAGGGGCGTTGTGTTTGTTGATACGCCGTCACGCTATGCTGCTAAACGTGCTAACCCCGCACTGTGTTGTTTGTTTCCACTCGTTATTGTGCTAATGTCCGAGCAGCGCTGATGGCAGTACGTTAGCGCCTTTAGCTCGCTGCTAAGCTAATGTTAGCCTTGTTTTGTCTAACCAGCTGGCTGAGAAGAAGTCGAGCTGTCGGCTCGTAGTAATTCTCACACATCTGTTTATCTCATTACTTCTACACGTATGATGCTGCTGACAATGATCCAAACCAACACACGTCATCCATGACCCTAAACATTGACAGAGTGTTTGTTAGAGGATCTCGTTCACACGTATTGTTTGACATCCGTGTTATCATTAAAAGTGGCCCACGACTTGTGTCATTTTGTCCCCTTCTGCTCTCTTGTTTTAGAGAATATGACCCAGATGCAACAATGACATCAAGATTTGGTAAAACTTACAGCCGCAAGGGAGGAGAGGGCACGTCCAAGTTTGACGAAGTGCTGTCCACCAAGAGAGGCACCCTAAGCACCAAATGGGGCGACACCACCTACAAGGCCAAGGTGGGCGCCAAGCGTGCCGGCGCGCCCAAGAATGATTCCGTCCTGGAGGTTTACAAGAGACCCCGTCTGGGTGGAGACGGCTTGGAGGATCCGTTTGGATTCGACAGCGACGAAGAATCCAAGCCGGTTTCGTCTCGCAGCGGAAACAAGTCGTCCCCGGCCAAGCCGAGCTCCGCAGAGCCTCCACGAGCGCAAAGGCCGGGGATCTCTCCGGACGCGGGAAGCAGGTCCAGCCTCCAAGGTGGATCCCGTGCTTTGTCCGCCGCACAGGGGACCTCACGGCGGGCCGATGACCGGAACCAGCCCAGGGTGGTGGAGGACACAGATTGCTTCTTCAGCAGCAGCAGTGCCAGCATCGGTAATCCACACATCTGACACCTTTAAGCTTGGCAGCTCTGGAGTAGGACGCTCTGTAGTGACTCCGTCTCAGCCGATCTAGTCATTAACTTAGTGGCCCAATATATGAAATGTGAGAGCACAGATAGAGACCCATCAGAGGACTTTAAGGTGGTGTCTCTACGGTGATGATTGAGTTAATCAGCAGTAACGACACAACCTGAAAGAAATCTGCTTAAATCCTTATGGCTTTGCTCGGCCGAGCGCTGTTCTTTTTAGGATCGCTTTTATAGATCTAATAATCTCCTATTGCTGTTTAAAGCACATAACAACCACAGAATGCATTTTATTTACTTTGGACACGGATGAAACATCCTCCACTGGTCACGAGCTGCAGTCACTGAATGGGCCGAATGACCTGAGATGTGATAAATACTCTGGTTTATTTTTAATATTCTTACATTCCTTGAATCTATCGATGACTCTAGTTTCTGATCAGCCTCCCTTTCACCTACCATCATCTTTAACAGTCCTCCACTGTTTCCTGTGCATGGACACACACTAACACGCACAAATGCTGTGAAGCTTAAGTAAACACCGGCTTCTGTCGGGTGTCAGAATAAAAACCCTTCTGGCTGCGACGACGTCCCTTTTGAGCCCTGATTTCGATCCAAAATATTTCCAAGCGAGCATCGGCGGACAGCTGCATTTCTCAGCCTGGCTGCACCTCGAGGCTCATGGGAAACAAACACTTTAGTTTTTGCTCGTGGATGGTAACTGAATTCTGAGCTTCATTTGACAAACTGTGACTAAAGAAACCAGATGATCTTCGAAGCTGTCGGTCGAGTTCTCAGCAGACGTCATCAGAGCGCTGCACCACCCGCAAGACCTCCGTGGAGCGCTGTGCAGAGTCATTTAACATTGAGTGTGCGTGTGCTTCCCATGACGCGTCTTCTCTTCACCTCGGGGAACAAACCAGTGTCATTCTTTCTCTGTCGCTTTGGGCTGGATTGCCCTCGGCTTTCTGAGCCGGCTGCTGCTCACCTGCCAGAGACCAGAGCCGCGCTGACTCTGTAAATATGACCAATGCTTCACCAAATCGCTGCTGATGAAGTGGGGAGATATTGTGGCGCTCAGTGGAAACAAACCAGGATTTCGCTTTTATATTTTAGACATTTTGATTTCAATTAACAGGAGTCCCCTGTTGAGAACTAAGTTATTTTGTGACCCTAAAGGGAAAACTACTTATTAGACCAGAGGGGTCTAACGCCCCCCCCCCACCCATGTGATGTAACTCCGTGGAGCAATTCCCCGTGTTTGCCCTCATCGCATTGCAGTACATGTCATGCGTTGTGTAGGTCGTCAACTGGCACGTTGTTGAAGAATGAAATAAGACATTGACTTCTTAACGTTAACATGAAGTATGTTTGTATCCTTTTCTCTCTCCAGAGGATCTGATGTTGTAGCACCATCGGTTGTTGACGTCGTTGCTGAAATAAGGAGTAGATCTCGCGTCGTTTTGTTGTGAGACATTAATGAAATGATTCTTGCAGGTCGTACAGTTGATTGTAAGAGGGTTCAGGCACGTAAAGGCGTGACGTCACATTATTGCACTTTTCTTTCCAACATGAACTCTGATGTTTCATAAACCAAAGAACTAATGTGAATGTCTGTTGTCCTCCGTAGGAAAGAAGCAGCAGCCGACCTCGTTGTCCGAGAACCAGCACAGCTACTCGTGGTACCAAAATGCTTCTGAGAGCGATAAGAAGCCCCTGGCGCAGACCACCACCCTGAAGACCGCCTCCAAGGCAGAGGCCACCTACGACTCCTGGGACGCCATCATGGGTCTCGGTCCCCCCTCGCCCAGCCAGGAACCTCGCAACCCGGCCCCGACGCTGTCCTGGGCCACAGCCGGCCTCAGCGTGGGCGGGGCCGACCCGAGGCCGACCCGCTGCGAGAGGCCCCCCTCCCCACCGCGGCTCCAGAGCCCCGGCGACAGCGAGGACCCGGCGTCTGACTTCCTCCTGGAGATCTCCGACTACTCCCAGACCTCCTCTGACCCGTCGCTGGCCAGAAACTCTAAATGTCGGACGTACAGGAGGCCAAACAAGCAAGGACCCGGCAAAGCCTCGGACTCCAGCGGCGCCGCGGGTTCTGCCCCGAGCACGGGTCCCCCCAAGCCTGACGGCAGTAATAAGACGACGGGTGGAGGACGGGGACGGGGCAGGACGAGGGACTTCACGGTGCTGCACCCCTCCTCTGTGTCCATGTGTAACGTCACCATCCAGGACCGAGGGGTGGAGGAGTTCAGCGCCGACGCGGCGCCCTCCGCTGGCGGCAACGGCGCCGGGCCCGGCGGCACAGCGGACCTGGGAGAGGCGGGGTGGCAGCGGACGAAGGCGGAGCAACGGAACACAAGGTAGAACCCCACCTCTCCAACGGGCCTGGTCCACAATCCTAAACTAAAGGTGCTGAGAGAGGAAAGGTCTCCCGCGTGGGGGAGGAGCTGTAGGTCCCAGCGGCTCTGCAGACACTCAGGATGTGGAGGGAACTAGTGGCCGAAACACACGCTGTAGATTCTGAACAACACGGAGAAACCGGAACATTTGGGTTAAAGCAGATTTCCTTCTCCCACAAGTTTCTCCTCTTTCAGTTTGTTTTGAAGTTTAAAGCAAATTCCTTCAGCTCAGTATAAAGATGTGTGTCTGCTAACAGACCCGGGGTCAGCGGATCATCTGAACTTAATTAGTTGCAGATCTGGTTTTGACATAGACGGTAAATCCACCATCGTGTTATGAAACAAACGTGACGCGTTTCTACCAGATGAAGAAGACTAGTAAAAGCTCTTCACACTCCTCTTTCATCCACGTTTGTTCCCCGCAGGTCGAACCCGGCCCAGACCCACAGGGACAGTAAGCCCGACCTGTTTGGTTTTGACGACGCAGACGTCCATCAGCAGGAGGACGGCCAACACGTCTCGGAGGGACGCTCCAGCTACAAGATCCAGTACTTCGGCTTCGACGACATGAGCGACAGCGACGGCTCCGACGACGATGCCGCTAAAGAGAGGAGGCGGGCCAAGAAGGCGGCGGCCGCCACCGCCAGGGAGAGGGCCCCGGTGGTCACCATAGAAGAAGAAGAAGAACTGACGGATGAAATGCCGGATCCCTTTGAAAACCTGGAGCGGCTGGAGAGGCTGGAGCGGCTGGAGAGGCTGGAGATGCTGGATCGACCGGCGGCCAAGGAGAACAAGAAGAACGTGGAGAAGCCGGGCAGCAGGATACAAGCAGGTTCTGTCTCTGTCTCTCTGTCTCTGTCTCTGTCTCTGTCTCTCTGTCTCTGCATCGCTACCTGATGTAGCTGAACGGGCCACTGTGCTGATTATGAGCTACTTCGTCAGTGATGTCCAATGCTGTCCCGTCTTTGTCCCAGACAAGTGAGCTTCATCTTGGTCCGCTGCTTGGACATCACTGACTATGATCTGCTGCTTTGTGTCACAACGACACACAAACACACACCACTTCGTTTAGCGCCTATACAGCAGACACCCTGCAGGACCACCAGCTGATACACGCTGTATGAAGCAGAATGTTTTGGTCTGGTGGGGCCGTCCCTCTGTCCCCCCCCGTCCTGACCGTGCTGTGTTCCGTCTGCAGAGGCGCTGGACTTCTCGGAGGACGGCCTCAGGGTGGTGGCGGGGGCTCCTGGGAGGCCGTCTCAGGGCAAAGCGGCGGAGAAGAACCCCGACAGCTTCCGGAGGATCTTCAGCGCTCACAAGAAGGTAAGAGGAGGCGACGTGAGCTAAAAGGTTCATCCGACTTCTGAAACGAGCTTTGACAGTTGAGACGTAAAGACGAATCATCCTTTGGGGGGCGGGGCGAGGGGGAGGGGCTTAGTCTTCTCTGGGCTGACTGAGCTCACTGGTCTCAGACTGGTTCATATTTACAGAAGAGATCGATGCAGCAAGTGACTCGTTGGCTGAACTAAAGGAGTCAGAGTCCAGTGTTCTGCTGTTTCTGGTTGGACTTGTTTCTGAATCTATTGGTTCCCTGGATGAGGATTAGCTGGTGTGAAGATTTATTTCTCCATCAGCAGGAAGTCACTAATCACAGTCAAGGGTTTTAGAGAAAGAAACAACTTCCACCGTGCGAACGCTCCACCGGGGCGGAGGAATGAGTCTGTCCTCGCCTCCCTTCCTCTCCTCAGCTCAGTCCCTCCTGACTCCTCGCTCCGTCCTCCGTCGACATGATCGAGAGTTGGAGCGAGTCGAGCTCATTAGAAGAACAACAGCCCTTGTAACTCTTTATGACTCTGCTTCCATCACAATAAACTGCGCAGCCACAGCGCTGTTGGGTCGCGCCGCCGGGCATGCTGGGAGATCCTACGTTTCATCAGCGTGACCGCGCGTGGCAGGATTCATCCATAATGTGGAGCTGGTTCATTAGAGGCCAGCGTCCACAACAAGGAGCCTCCCCGGAGCTCCAGTGAGGCTCCTCCACCAATGAGCCGTGAGGACGAGCTCGTCAAGGATCTCCATCATCTGCTGCTACGACAGAGGAGGACGGCCCGGCTGGGGGGGGCTTCTCCGCCTCGTCCCATGAATATTAATAACAGCAAGCCGAGTCATTGTTGCCGCTGTTTGTCAGTGAAGACCTCGACCAACGTTCCAACTAACCAAACAGCGATTCTTCTCACGCAGTAAAAAGAGCATCCGTCAACTAACTGATCCAATCACCATCTCACATTCTTATCAAGGACACCGGGGGGGGGGGGGGGGGGGTCTTCTACTCGGTGGTTTATTAAAAGTTGGTGCTTTAACAGACGATTGAGGCCCCCCCCATGTGAGCGGCGGGAAGGCTTTCTGAGGGCATCGCTCTCTGATGCCAAAACAAAGCCGCCCACCTTCCTCCCTTCACTCCCCCCATGCTGCTGAGCGGCGGGGGGCTTAGGTGTCCATCTGTGTCATTCACGTTACTGTAGGAGACTTTTAATTCGCTGTGTTGGTGTTCCAGCGCAGCGCTGCTCATCCCAAGCTCCTCTTTTGTCTCTGCTCATTGACCCTGTGGTGTTGACCCCCCCCCCCTCCACCCCCCCACACCTCCTCAGCCAACTCCTCGGCCCCTTTTTGTTTTTGTACATCGATGCCCAGGCAACCAGCGAGCACCGGTCCGGCTGGGGGGGCGATGGGGGGCGGTGGGGGGGGCAGGAGGATGTTTGATCTCTGCTGGCTCACTCGCTGCTCCAGTCTGCAGCTCCTCATTCAAGCACATTTCTGTTTGTCCGTCTTTGTCTGTGAGGATGTTTAATAAACGTCTTTCACTTTGTTTCATTGAAATATTCAATGAAATAAATATTTTGTGGGTTTTGGACTGTCGGCGTAACAAATTCCTTCATTCATTGTGAAATGGGTAAATAAAAGTCAAAAGACGACTCCTAGTGATGTTTAAACATTCACGTCTTTGCAGAAGGAGCTTTGAATGTGTGTCTTTATATTTAATGTTAGTTATATTTACTCAATGTTCTTCACATCTTTCCACTTTGTCTTCCATTCGTCCCCCTTGGCTCCTGCGTCCATGTTCCAGTCTCCCACCAAAGCCGTGTACAACGCTCGCCACTGGGCGCTGGAGAGCGAGGAGGCGCCGCCCGCCACCTTCCTGGGCCGATCGCCGCCGGCTCCCGTAAGTTCTGCGAGCTCGTCCCATGAAGTGCGTTCATGTTCCGCGCGCAGCCCTCTTTTATTCATCGTGACACGCACGGACCCCCCCAGCAGGCCCCGGCCTCGGCAGGAGGGTCCAGTAAGGAGCCCAAGGACGACGCTCCCAAGGACGACGGGGTTTTTAAGGCTCCGCCCCCTCCGCCCAAGGTCACCAAGTTCGTGACCCTGCCCACAGACCTGTACCAGGACGCCGTCACGGCACTCAAGTGCCGCAAAGAGCACAAAGAGGTGAGAGGCGCTGACTGCAGGTGTGGAGGTACTGACCGTCCCCGTCACTCACATGTGGAGGTGTTTTTGGAGACTTAGCCCCGCCCCTCTGTTCTCCAGCTGTACACGGTCGTCCAGCACGTGAAGCACTTCAACGACGTGGTGGAGTTCGGAGAGAACCAGGAGTTCACCGATGACTTTGAGTACCTGGCCACTGGTCTGAAGAGCGGACAGCCCCTCAACACGCGCTGCCTGAGGTAAGAGCCCCCCCACGGGGAGGCGCCGGGGCATTCTGTCACCATGTGCTGATGTGTGTGTGTGTGTGTCTGTCCAGTGTGATCAGCCTGGCTGCGCGCTGTGCGATGCCCAGCTTCAGGATGCACCTCCGGGCGAGAGGGAAGGTGGCTCAGGTCTTCAAAACACTCAACGACGCCCCGCAGCACTCGGTGAGGACGAAGTCCTTCAGCCAGACGCGCTCGCTGCCGGCGGCTTTCTAGTACGTTCTGTGTGACGAGGCTGATTTCCTCCCCGTCTGGTTTCTGCAGAATCTGGCTCTGTGCACGGCCTCGCTGATGTACATCCTCAGCAGGGACCGGTTGAACATGGACCTGGACCGCTCGTGTCTGGACCTGATGATCCGGCTGCTGGAGATGGACCACGACCAGGAGGGCGGGGCCGCGACGGGGCCGGACCCCACCGCTCAGTTCAGCGCCAGGGAGATCGCCAAGATGAAGGAGAAGATCAGGAAGCTGTGCGACACGGTGCACAACAAGCACCTGGACCTCCAGAACATCACGGTACCGAGCGGCTCGCCAGAGGCCTTATTTTAGTCTGGCGTGAGCTGGCTTTAAGCTCCTTTTTGTCCCTCGTCTCCTCCTGTAGACGGGTCATTTAGCCATGGAGACGTTGCTGTCCCTGACCTCAAAGAGAGCGGGGGACTGGTTCAAAGAGGAGCTTCGGCTGCTGGGGGGACTGGACCACATCGTAGATAAAGGTTGGACCAGCTGCTCACACCTGGTGGTGACTCGCAGCCTCCGCAGGTCTCTGATGGCGTCTACTCGTTTCCATCCCTCCACAGTGAAGGAGTGCGTCAACAACTTGAACCAGGAGGACGAGAAGGAGAAGCTGGTGTCGTCTCTCTGGGGAGCCGAGAGGTGTTTGCGGGTGTTGGAGAGTGTAAGTGCAGCAAAAGCTGTTTCTCTTTGAAACAAACACGCTGTTGAGTGACGATGGTCCTCGTATCATTTTAATATGGATGAAACGTGAAGTGAACCATTAAACGGACCACGATGTTTATGGTTAGAGAGCCTGGAGACACTGAGGAGTCATGAAAGCCTCTTTAGAACATTGGCTGGGTTCACGTCTGCCTCGTGTGGCCACAACAACTATTACAACAACAAACAATTATATAAACATTTTCACCTGCGAAAATATGAGTCACTTTTTTCCTTTTGATTTAAAAAAATATATATTCTGGAAACGAGAAATATTATTTTGCCAGAACAACATTTTCACAAGTACAATAATTTGTCCACAGGTGACCGTCCACAACCCAGAGAACCAGGGCTACTTGATCGCCTACAAAGACTCGTCCCTCATCATCTCCTCTGCAAAGTGAGCGCGCACACACACACACACACACACACACGATTCTGACCTTTGACCCCGCATATTGGCAGAACTGATCGACACAACGACAGTGAGATTAGTTCTCCTCTTCCTGTCGTCTCTCGCTGCATCGGACAAAATGTCCTTTTGACAGAATTCTTTAGGACATTTGTCTTTAGTAACAGACTGAGACGTCTCTCTCTGTGTAGGTGAACTGACGTTTCTACATCTTGACACGTGCTGAATGCATTCAGCCGCCTCGCAAAGAGGTCTCATGAGGTCTCATGAGGTCTCATGAGGTCTCGTGTTCTGTGGAGGCCTCAGAGCGCGTTACTCAACACATCATGGAGGCCGAGGATGCTGATAAACAACCTCCCACGCTTTGAACGTTACATGGAGAGTGGCGAGAAGAAAGCCCGTAAGGTTCTCTGCTCAGATCCCAGCGTTTCGCATTGAGGCTAAAAAGTTTCATTTTACGTTATAAGATGTGTGTATTCCACCAAAATACACACACACACACGTCTGTGGTTGCGCGTATCGTTATTGGGGTTTTGTTGTTTCATTTCCTGGTCTTGACTTCCTGTCAGTCACAGCAGTGACCTTTGCCCTCTGGCATCAGCAGAAGAAGAGCAGGAGAGGAGGAGCTGACCTCTGTGGTTCAGCACATGTCATCTGATTTGGACCGTTTTCTTCAAATGAAGTTTATTTGGAGTTGCTTAGAAACAAACTGCATTTGAATAAGATTCACCAATAAAAGGTTGGATCAAATGGACCCGAGGACAGATGTGTGACATCACTTCCTGTGGACTTTATTCACCGTGAATGAAAGAGCAACGATGTCCCTGTTTGACCAGAAAGAAGAAGATTATTTCTTCTGTAACATTGAATATCTGTGTGTCTTTACCTCCTCATCCGCCTCCCTCTGTGTGACCGGCCCTCGCCCCCGTGGGGGGGGGGCATCGCTCAACAAAGAGCTGCTGTTTGAGCGACGCAGGCCTCAGTCCGAGCGTTCAGCTGTCCTCCGTTAACTGGATTAACCCCCAAAACCACACACACACACACACACACACACTGCAGCTGTGTGCTCATGAAACTATGACTCCAGGTCTTCCTCCGCTTCATTGTTTCAGGCCGTCTGCCTCTCTGAGTGTTTCAGCTGCACAACTAATTCACTTCCACGTCGTGAAGAACAGAGAACAAGAAAATAGTGTCTAACTTCTGTCTCCGTCCTCTCGGGCCGCTTTCTGCTCCCTGTTCAGTCCCAACTGTCATTAGATTTAATCAGGCAGCTGACCTGCTTCACCCTGTGTGTGTGTGTGTGTGTGTGTGTGTGTGTGTGTGTGTGTGTGTGTGTGTGTGTGTGTGTGTGTGTGTGTGTGTGTGTTTTATGTTTGAGTATAAAAAGACGGATCCAGTTCGATGGTGATAAAGTGTTTACAGTCCACATGCCTGATGCATCGGTACCCACGAGGTTCTATCGCAGCTGAAGTGATGACTTTAGTGTTTGGGCTCAATGACTCAGTTCGTTCCTTGTGGTTGAGAGGCGGAGCTTCACAAAGGGCCGACAGGAAGCGGCGCGGATGCTGCTTCCTGCTTCCCCACTGAGCCCTGCTGGTCTCCTCAGGGTGCTGAGGAGGTGTGAGGAGATGATCCAGAGGTACAGCAGGGAGCGCAGCGCAGACGGCGCCGTGGGCAAAGCGGTGGAGGACTGCATGAGGGCCATCATCGGGGTGCTGCTCAACCTGACGCACGACAACGGTTAGCAACGCACATGGTTCACCCTGCTGGGCCCTTCACGCACCGTGTGTACTCACAAATGTGCGTTTGTGCAGAGTGGGGCAGCACCAAGACCGGCGAGCAGGAGGACTTCATCATGACGGCGCTGAACTGTGTCCTCAAAGTCCCTCAGTACCTTCCACAGGAGCAGAGGTTTGACATCCGAGTACTGGTGAGTCCCCCCCCCCCCACACACACACACACACACACGCACACACTCCTCTGACTGTGTGTGTGTGTTCAGGGTCTGGGCCTGCTCATCAACCTGGTGGAGTACAGTGCCAGGAACAAGCACTGCCTGATGGAGATGGAGATGGACGGAGGTCAGGGTCCCTTCGACTCCACCGTCCTGCTGGACCCTCAGCACCAGGACGTAGCCAGCACCGGCCCGCTGAGCGCCATCGCTGCTCTGGTGCAGGTGTGTGTCTGTGTGTGTGTGTGTGTGTGCGCCCGAGGAAGCAGCTACGGCGGCTGGTTTCATCATCAGCATGTTTAATTATTGTTTTAATTTAAAACGTCGGCTGGTTGTTGCTCTGCTGGCGTCCAGTTCCTCCTTCACGCCGTCCTACTTTGTAATAATGTAAACGAATAGTCGTCTCAGCTTTTACTTTCATTGTGAAAGTAAAAGCTGCTTCCCTGTGAAGAAGGAAATGAACAACTGCCTCAATGATTTGCTTTTCACATCTGATGAACCTCTCAAAGTCAAGACGTTGGATTTCAGCTTCATTCATTCATTAAACAGCAGATATTTAAAGCTCTTATTCTGAAGCCCCCCCAATAAACAACAGTGAGAACCTCCCCTTCCTGTTCCTCCTCCTCAGCTGTTCCTCCAGCGGGAGCGTGCCGCCATCCAGGCTGAGGCGCAGACTGATGACCTCATCAAGGAGGCGCCGAAGCCGGCGGCTGACAAGAGCGGGCAGTGGCAGGAGTCGGGCGGCGAGATCCAGTGGGTCGCCAACGACAACAACAACACCCCCACGGAGGAAGAGGAGAAGCAGAAGGCGAAGGAGGAGGAGGACGAGGAGCTGGACCTCAACAAAGGTACGAGCCGCTTGTGTCTCAGTGAGACGGTCTGAGGAGCGGGACAGAAGACATGAACCTCTTCCTCTTCTCAGCTCTGCAGCATGCGGGGAAGCACATGGAGGACAGCATCGTGGCCTCGTACACGGCGCTGCTGCTGGGCTGCCTGTGTCAGGGGAGCGCGGTCAGTCTCACACACACACACACACACACACGCTTATTGATGCACATCTGTAAACAAAGACGTCATTTGAATGATCCTCCCCCCAGTTGAATGTGACTACTGTGAGAGACAACCTGCCGAAAGGAGATTTCTCCATCATGACAGAAATGCTGAAGAAGTTCCTCAACTTCATGAACCTCACTGTGAGTCTCAGCTTTGTGCGTTTCATATGTGACATTTAAATCTTCTTTTGAAGTGTGTCACACGCTGACCTCTCCTCTCTGCAGTGTGACGTCGGCACCACGGGACAGAAGTCCATTTCCCGGATCATCGACTATCTGGAACACTGCTAGAGAGAAGCCTCACACACACACACACACACACTCGTCTTCATCGTCCTCTTCATCCTTCGGTAAACGGAGCTCGATAAGTCGATTTCTAAAATAACTTAAGTCTGACTCCAAAGTTCTGATCAGATCTTTATTTGACTTTTTATTCAAATCGAAGTCAGTATTTTATTTTCTCCGACTTTCTTCTCTATTTATGAACCTTTTTCAGGAAGATGTTTTTCTGGCGTTTTTTTCTTTTTTTAAACATTTTTTATTTTCTTTTTTAATGTCCTTTTGGCTTTTGATCCCCCCCCCACACACACACACACTCCCCCCGGCTGCCTCTGGAGCTGATAATCGCCAAAACAGTTCAGTTGGTTGGAGACACGAGCGTTCCCCCTCCTCTCCTCCAGGAGGCGCTCTGAGCATCGATCTCCACTTGGCGGCACTTTAAGCGCCGTCTGTTGGAGCGGTTTCATCTGTACAGAAACTCTTTCAGGACACGAGCGCTCCGCCTCCCTCTCCCACAACAACGCGGCCCTCCGGCCCTCCTCCCAGGAGCTCCGTCACAGCAGGAGGCTCCGGGGGGGCGGAGGTCCTCCCATGATGCATTTCAGCCACATCCGGCGTGCAGGAAGCCGAGTGTCGTTCTCAACGTGGCAGTTTGTCTTTATTTATCGTGACACCGTTTCATGACGCATGTTTCTTCATAGCTGGTTAATAAATGTTTATAGATCATCGGCACCAATGAGACATTAAATAACATGAGGTTATGATGTAATGACCCTTAATAAGGACATTAGATACGTTATAAAAGTGACCATGAGACCTTCATAAGAATAATATTCCACCGTAGTTCATCATTTGATTCACTGACAACAAAGATGACAGATTTTAAATTAGTTGCTTAACTTTGTTCTTTCCCACTGACCACTTCCTGGTTCTTAAGCCTCCGATCACTCGTCTGCTAGAAGATGATCACACGAAGCTCCTCAACCAAGTTCATGCCGTTGGTCATTTGTCTGGTCCTCTGTAATCGGGCACACACACACACACACACACACTCTCACACAACTCGCTTTATTCAGACTAAGAAGGACTGGACGAGCTTTTTGTACATAGTTCTTGTACATAGATGAATTTCCTCATGGGGGGGGGGGGGGGGGGTAGGACCGGAGACACCACATTTCTGGATCTGAATGAAATTTTTTCTTAAGCCTTTTCTCCCCCGGGGGGGGGGGGGGGGGGGTCTGGGACAGCGATCTGATTAACAAGACAAGTGCAGGAAAACGTGATCTTTGTACCGATGTGCTGACTCATGTCTTTGGTTACTTGTATATAATTTTAAAATAATAAAAGTTGCTACTTTCAGTACTTTCCTGCTCCGCCTGTTTGTTGACGATGATCATTTCTCAGAATCGGTTATTTATCAAACTTTGTTTTGGAAAGATTCATTTTAGTGAAAAACCCAAATTGTTCTCACAGTTCAAATCTTCTGTTCACCACGAACCAATCGGACGACTTCAAGTGTTTGTAAGAAAATATATTTGTTATTAACAGGACAAACATCTAAAATACAATATGTGAATACAGTTGAATAAAAGCTGGAGCTAAATGTCTCTTGCATTTGTTGAAGCGAGTCTTTTGGTCCACGTGTCCTCTGTCTCCGGGCCTCCGCTGCCGGTGTGAAGGTCCACGGCAGCAGGTGCGGTCCCCCGTGAGGGCGGAGCGGCCCCCGGGGGCCCCTCGTGGAGCAGCTCGCTGAGGGTGGCGATGTAGATCTGCGCCATCTGGAGCGTCTCGGACTTGGAGAGCTTCTTGTCGCTCTCCAGGTTCGGGATGACGCTGCGCAGCTGGTCGAAGGCGACGTTGAGCCCCAGCATCCTCCTCCGCTCCCGCGCGTTGGCGGCGAGCCGCCTGCGTCTCTGCGCGCGCGCCAGGGCGCACGCGTCCGGCGGCAGGCAGCGCAGCGCGCCTCCGTCGGGCCCCAGCCGGAGCTCCACGACGGCGCACGGCGCGTCGCGGTGGTCGCAGCCGCGTCTGGCGCGCTGCGCCCCCGGTCGCTCCTGCGCGAGGCTCCGTTGCAGGAGAGCTTGGATGTCCGCGTGGAGAGCCGCGGGGCCCGCGGGGCCGCCCCCCCCCTCCGGGGCCAGCGAGTGGAAGGGCGCGAAGAGGCTTTTACTCGGAGGCATCACTTTGCTTTATATCCCAAAGTCGCTGCGCGTCCGTCCTCTTGACAGCTTCTACTTCCTCCACTTTGAGGCGTGAATTTATGGAGCCGGCCGCGCGGGAGCGCGCCGTGCGTGCTGCGGGGGCGTGGAGAGGGTCGTGTGCTGCTCATTGATCAGAGCCAAAGACCCGCTGCAGGAGGTCCAGGAACCGAGTTCATCAAAAGAGGATTAGAGGCGTCTCAGTGCGCAAGGAGGCGGCCAAGCAGCGAGGAGGGAGGAGACGAGGGGAGGAAGGAAGGATGGCAGAGTGGCTGTGACGCTCAAAGTCTGGATTAATGACAATATGATTCAAATCCAAATGTCCCTGATGATAAAGAGAATATATCCGTTAAGTTGTTAAAATAGTCAACTGTATTGATGAGACATTGAGCAGCCATTTAAAACGCTTCAATATGAAAATAAAGGTTTTGTTCCCAGATATCTATTAAAATTTTGTATAATTACTTACTAATATTTACTTTTATAACGTTTCTTTTCCTGTGAGTGAGAAGATAAAGTGCGTTGTTCTGTCATTTGCATCCTCTCTTTGCCTCCACGTGTTGTGTAGCAGGTTTGTCTCAGACACACAACCTTGTTGGGGGTTTGTTTGTGTCTCTGATGTCGACGTGGGTCTTTTCTTCATTAACAATAAATAAATAAAAGATGGTTCACGTGCACTCAGAGGCTGATGATGAGTGACAGGAACGTGGCCGCGTCCAGCGGGTCTCCTAGCAGCGTGTGCCGGCACGGGGGGGCGGGGTCTGTTGGCACGCTCCGCCCCGTTAAACCCAATGAAACGGCTCGTTACGGACAGACACGGGCCGGAGATCAGACGCTCGCGCCGCCGTGACGACACAGAGGTGGGCGGGGCTTGTTCAGCAGGCAGCCGTTCACTTCCACTGATTTCTGCGTTGTGACTTCCGCTGTGCTGCTCTGAGCTCCAAGCCCATTGGATGAGACACCTTTCAATGAAGGGACCAGCGTACAGGTGGCTTGTCGGTCCTCGTCCTCACCGCCTCTCAGGACCCGTCGTGTCTCTGGTGTCCTTCTGAGTCTGATTGGACAAAGACAATTCGATGTCTCTTTGTCGTCGTTTTGAGGGGGTCGTCCTCTTCTCGCTTCTACAGGTGACGTAAACGGCCCAAATACTCTAAAAGACTGCAGCAGGACACACACACACACACACACTCTCACACACACACACACACACACACACACTCATAATGCACTCGACACACTCATTTGTCTCATTTCACGCCTGTGATCCATCCTTCCTCTCTCATTGTATCTCCCTTTAGACACACACACACACACACACACACACACACACACACACAATGACTACACATCACAGGACCCGGCTGCTCTCTCCCCCTGCAGGTCCAATTACTAATCATTGATTAGTGTGTGTGTGTGTGTGCGTGCACAAGGAGTTTAATCGGGTGTGTCGCTGGTTTGTTTCTGCATTCTCTGTAGTGACCAGCAGGGGGCGACTCCTCTGAAGCCCATGACGGGAGGCTTCGGGGGGAGGGGCCACATGCTGCTCGACACAAAGACCGTCTTCCTGTGTGTCGGTGTTTGAGCTGATCACCCGTCACTGCGATCAATAACAGTATTGAACCATGTCAGCCTGCAGGTGAAGGAACTGCAGCCCGTGTACGTGTGTGGGTGCGTTTCCATGACGACGGAGAAGGAGCTGGCGGTTTGGGGGTTTGGAGCTCCGGAGGAGAAGACACGTTGTGTATTGCGTCTCGTTGCTGCGCGTCTCTCCCACTCGTGTCCCCTTATGTCCCCTCGTGTCTCCTTGGCTGTCCCCAGCTCGTACAGATGATCCATGGGTCGTCGTGGCGCAGGGGTTAGAGAAGGTGTGCTGGGAAGCACAAGGTTGGTGGTTCGAGTCCAGGCTGCCCCATGTTCCATGTCGAAGTGTCCCTGAGCAAGACACCTAACCCCTAATTGCTCCCCAGGCAAAAATGTGAAAAAGCCATGAGTTTAAAGTGTAATGTAAGTCGCTTTGGATAAAAGCGTCTGCTAAATGACCTGTAATGTAATGTAATAATGTAATGTAATGTAATCCATGCAGGCACCTCGACCTCTACGGCTGACACGTGGTGAACTATGCCTGCGCAGGGCGAAGGCGCGCAGCGGTCCTGACGTGCACTGACTGGAGGCCTCGGGGCCGAAACGATCTTATACGTAGAGAAGGACCGTCCTGTCTCACTGGCTGTCTCACTGCCTGTCTCACCGCCTGTCTCACGTCCTCATTGTCATGAGGACAATAAGTGATCTCTGAAGGCAACAATCTGATCTTCAACATCCAACATTATGTTATTAAAATATTGTATATATTGAGTTGAAGTTACTAATCAAACGTGTTTGTGTACAAGAACCCACACGCACACAGACACACACACACACACACACACACACACACACAGAGTCCGGTGTAGTTGAAATAAAGAGCGGTTATTGGTCAGTAGAGGGCGCCGCCCCCACACAGACGTCACAGTGAACACATGAAGTTGTGGATTAGAGTGAGTGTCCACGTGGAAGATGTTTCTGTTACTGGGAGAACATCTGGTTCATCGTCAACAGCTGCAGGACTGCGTCAGGTGACCTTGACTCGCTGACCTCTGTCATTGTGTCCTACATTTGACCCTGGGGTCAGGTGGAGCAGGTTTGTTGCCGTGTTTTGTCTCGCTGTGAAGGTGAAACAGGAGGATCCTTTAAGACGCTGCAGGATTAAAAGGAGACGCGAGTAGAAAACAAGTACATGATTATTGTCGAGCTTCCTGTGTCTTCAGTCCTGCTTCGCCTTGATGACTTGACCTCTGTTGTTTGCTTGTTTAAATGCTGCCCCACAGTGAGCTTTTTGTGTTTTATTGGTTTGTCAGAGAACGTGATGGTGTGTGTGTGTGTGTGTGTGTGTGTGTGAATATGCAGTGCGCACACACACACACAGACACCTGCTAAATAATGCAGCGGCCACTCATTAAAGTGAGCTGTGGACGGGATGAAAAGCCCCGGGGGTCATCTCTCTGTGTCTGGGGGTGTGTTTGATTTAAAGACCTCCGGAAGCGGCCGAGACGGAACATGAGGTTTAACGTGTCAGATGGTTTCTGGGGATTTGGTTTCAGAAGCGAGGTGACATCATCGCTTGAGTAGAAACGGGCGTCATTGGTTTGCTTACTGACGTTTCGGAGCCTTGAGCTGCTTTGTTTTTTTGTTTCCACAGAACAGAAAGTGACCATATATTGACTGAGGAGGACTTAGACCCTGTGTACGTCTCTGGTAGAGACCTGTCAATCAGCACGTAGCCCCGCCCTAAAGCACCCGCTAAATGGACCATAACGTGTTGAAGACCTGAAACTAGAGACTGAGACCATAAACTCATGTTTACAATGTTTACTGAGGGAATAAATACTAGAGTCATTTCCTCATAGACGTCTATGGGAGCAGAGGAGTCGCCCCCTGCTGGTCACTACAGAGAAGTAGAGTCATTTCCTCATAGACGTCTATGGGAGCAGAGGAGTCGCCCCCTGCTGGTCACTACAGAGAAGTAGAGTCATTTCCTCATAGACGTCTATGGGAGCAGAGGAGTCGCCCCCTGCTGGTCACTACAGAGAATGCAGGTTTATTTTAATTGGATTACCGACACGATGATATTTATTTGAACAGAAAGGGTGTTCAGTGTTTAACCCGATTCTACTGAGACGTAACGGTGCTTTGGTCTTAAAGGAGTCTTGATTCCGATGTTTGATCCTTAAGGTCTCCGTGGTCTTGTTGTCTTCGTGATCTTTGTGATTTTCTTGGCTTCTGAGTTGATGTTGATTTTCGAGGTCCTCAAAGTCTTCATGGTTTTTAAATCCTTTGTGGTCTTAGTTCTGCGAGGTCTTCATGGCCACCAAGTTCTTTTCGTCTTTGAGGTCTTTGTGTTCTTCATGGCCACCAAGTTCTTTGAGTTCTTCGAGGTTCTTATTTCTGAGCAAATATCAGATTGAAAAATTAGTTTGTATAACTGAAAAAGACAAACTAATTCCTGAGGATTCGCTCTCTGCATTTACCTCAAACATTTAGAAAGAACACAAACACACTAAAGCAACTTTAGTCGGGATGAATTAACATCTGGAGTCATTTTACAGATTATTATGACAAACGATGAACGCACCATAAAGGAAGAAAGATTACACTGAATATCGACACTTCTCTTCCTTTTGTGTATCGACAATTAGCTGGAGACACACACACACGTTAGTTACTATGAGGTTTTGTGTGTGTGTGTGTGTGTGTGTGTGTGGCAGTAAACAGCAGGTTGTCTAATAACACACTGAAGCTCAAACCAGCTGCTGTTCCACTTTTAATACTCAGCGGGGACCACAGACACACACACACACAGACACACACACAGACACACACACAGACACACACACACACACACACACACACTCTGGATAAAAGCTCCATAAGTAGTTTCTGGACCTTAAACTGAAGCAAAGGTTATTGATGGACTGTAGATCGGACCCTAAAAGACGGATCCCTTCCATGGAGACATGAAGACATGAAGACGGATCCCTTTGATGGAGACATGAAGACATGAAGACGGATCCCTTTGATGGAGACATGAAGACATGAAGACGGATCCCATTGATGGAGACATGAAGACATGAAGACGGATCCCTTTGATGGAGACATGAAGACATGAAGACGGATCCCTTTGATGGAGACATGAAGACATGAAGACGGATCCCATTGATGGAGACATGAAGACATGAAGACGGATCCCTTCCATGGAGACATGAAGACATGAAGACGGATCCCTTTGATGGAGACATGAAGACATGAAGACGGATCCCTTTGATGGAGACATGAAGACATGAAGACATGAAGACGGATCCCATTGATGGAGACATGAAGACATGAAGACATGAAGACGGATCCCATTGATGGAGACATGAAGACATGAAGACGGATCCCTTTGATGGAGACATGAAGACATGAAGACGGATCCCTTTGATGGAGACATGAAGACATGAAGACGGATCCCTTTGATGGAGACATGAAGACATGAAGACATGAAGACGGATCCCTTCTATGGAGACATGAATACATGAAGACATGAAGACGGATCCCTTCTATGGAGACATGAATACAGATGGAGACACAAGAGACAGGAATCTGCCCTTATTGTCCCCTGTACGCGCCATATGTTTGTAAACCCGTCGGTCGAGACGCATCGAGACGCATCGAGTCCTCAGAGATTCTGTTGTTTCTCGGCGTCCCACAGCACAGAGCCTCGGGGGGGGGACGCTCCATCAATAATTTAACACATGAAGCTGAAGTCTGTCCCCCACGGGACACGGTTTGGGGGACTCGGTAGGAAAGAGGGACGGAGGGACAGAGGGACAGGCTTACTGATGAAACACACACACACGTGTTGTCACCACTCAGGTGTGTGTGTGTCTCTAACGAGATCCGCTTAATGGCAGATTTTTCTTTATTAAAGCTGAATTAAGATGTTGTGTTCATCTCGAGTCGACTGCAATAACACCGTCTGGTGCTGAAAGAGACAATAACAACGTGTCCCTGATGCATGAAAACATCTTTTAAGACGTTGATTGCAGAATCATTGGTGCGGTAAAATATATCTGCAACCCGACAACTCAACAAAACAGAAATGGACGCACAGGAACGTTTCCTTAAGGGAGGCGTAAACACACAATCCAACTACAATGAGACACAAAAGACCTAGAACAACAAAATAAACCTCTACACAATCTGTGTGTGTTGTTACTTTTGTGTAAGAGGTCGACGACTCGTGTGTCTTCTGTCCCGTCCGTAGTCGGGACGAGTTGCGGCTCGGTGGCAGCTGAGAGGACGGATTCGGGTTTTCTTTATTACCTCGATGTGATGCGTTTGTGTGTTTCAGCTGTGTGTGGGTTTGCTTGTATGTCAGTGTGTGCGTGATACACTCACCTGTCAGTCAGCACAGCAGCGCTCGCTGTGATGCTCCTCTGACTCTGCGTCCGCTCTCATTTATCTTCTCCTCAACCAGCAGCTTCTTCACCAACACAACGCACAACTGCACATGAACCCAACGGTGTGTGTCCTCTGATCTGCATCGGTGTTCATAGATCATATTGATGAGCGCCATCACTTATTTAT